GTTATAATGTGTGAGGACATAACCACAACGGAAGACACGACTGCAACGCTACACTCCCCTTCGTCTCAAATCTACCCGCGGGCTGAAAAACGCTTGTTCTGCAGGGCCTGAGGCTGGTCAAACCTTTTTTTCCCATGAGCCCCAAGAAAAAAAAGAATACAAATTAATACAAAACTAACGAATTACTAACGTTAAAATAAGGAAAAATGATAATAATGATAAAAAGAAACGCCTGAACGAAATGGTCGAACACGCACAGCTCGAGATGACGATCTCAGACTGTTTTTTTTTAGCCTGTTTGTCATTCCCTCTGGAAGTCTCTCTGTAGTCCAATAAGCAGATGAATAGATAAGGAAGAGGTTAACGAACCGGTGACTTGATCAGCTCAGAGGGTCTCTGGCATCTACAGAGAAAAACAAACAACTATGTACACCACGGAGACAGTGCCAGAGATAGAGGCATTTTTTTTTCAGTTTTTTACAGTTTTTTAAATATGTCAGTGTTTTTTTGGTGTTCCCAGACTCGAATCCCTATTATTTCCCAAAACCAACCAGCCACACTAACGCTCTGTCAAGGAGACTGGGAATGAATTAAATAAAAAACCGGTTTAGCAGGTTTTTTCCTAAATGCGCGAAAAACACGAGATTGGAAAGTATGTGCGTTTAGACCTGCTGTTGTGAAGCTCTTTTATTTCTTAGGAGTATCGATAGAAGTTATCCACAATGGCTGACAGTGAAAACGAATGTAAGGTCTACGTTGGTTCTTTAAAGTTTGAGACGGACGACGATCGGCTCAAAGATTATTTTAGCACGATTGGAGACGTTGTAAAAGGTAAGCTTACGCTCTTTTGAATGTCTCTCTCGTTTTTCTTTTACATCTAAACCCAAAGCTTATTCATGTTGCCTAAAACTGACCTTTGAAAGTAACACGTGTATCGTGTTGTAAAAAGGATGAATCTTTATTTGTTTGATCGTTAAATGTGTGGTAATCGTACTTTTCTTGAAATTGATGAAACGACACGTTTTTTGACATGAATTTCATATTTCGGAAGCACGCGGTCGTAATGTCGGTCAAAATGTGTCAGGCATCTAATTAAACGGACCTCTTCCGAAAGGATTTTATCGTCATCCATGCATCTTTTGGTAAAAATTGCCAATCGACTAAACAAATGGATTATCGAGTTGTAGTAGATATTTTATAAATTGGATAAAGTAAGAGTAATTTCCTTGTAATACATTGCGCATCCTTTCCGTGCGTAATACTCAAGAGTGAGTAGCATTGACCAGCATCGACTCATTTACAAAATAACAACTTTTTCTATGGTTGGGGAGCTTGCTATGATGCAAATGGTGAATCCTTGGAATATGTGGATGTGGTTTTGGATGGATGCTCTAAATGTGATGGTGATTTGTTTTCAAAAAGAGGCTGGAAGAGTGGTACATGATGCGATGAAAAGGACTAATGGTGTGTCCCTCTGAAAGAACTTTCTCTTGTAACAATTTTCGTTGGGATAAAACTTCCTAAACTTACTTTTATGTCAAGAATGGTCTTAAAACTTTCCTCCCCTTATTTTAGCAACCTTTGTCCTATTTTATCTCTGAAAGGCCTTGTTAGTGTCTTTGTTCTTCTAATCTCTTCATAACCTCTGCTTGTAGTATCTTCAAAGTGATTGGCACAAACACTAGTTTCTTTTTTCAGCAACATGATGGTGAAACAGTTTTCCATTAGAGTGGTGCATGTCATCTACTCTTTTCAATCGATGTTATGAAATGCTTTCATAGTCCTACTTGAAATGACCTCTTTTACTTTGGAATCATTTAGCTTAAATAGTTCATGTTTCTAAGAGACTTGATTTCGGTACTTGATTATCATCTTTTTGGGAAAAATTATATACCATCAACAGCCTATGCTTCTTTTGACACACCTGTTGAGGACCCCAAAAGTGACCTCATCCTCTATTTGTTCTGTTTGTCCTTGTGTCCATTGATAAGGAAAAAGATCAGTTAAAATCTTGGACCACTTATGCACTCTAATTGAGGAAGTTAATGAAGTGGCACATGAGAGCCATATTAGCCTGTGGTGGGAACTAGATCTGTTTTTAAGCAAAAGAATAAGGACGTTATTGAAGTAGATTTCCTTGAAGCACACAGAACTTATCAGTCAAACATATTTAGACTCTGCATGGAACCAAAGGATAAACTGACAAGCTAAGCCATCATTTGGCCAGATTTGTATAGGTGTGGTCAAATGGAAGATAACTTCTTTTTTTGCTATCCTTTTGACAGGAAGTAACAGTATGCAAAGTTTCATTGATTGTCTAATGTAGTCTATTTGTTTGTTTCCAGAATTCCAGTGTCTTGTCATCCATGGATTATGTATTTTTCATGTCAGAGAATATGAACTGAGGCACTGTTTTTTGGAGTTTCTCCCCTCTCACTCCCTAGAACTCATTAGTAGTTCTCCTTACTGTCTGCTACACAATTCCTATGATGTTATTTTGGAGAAATTGGTATTGAATCAACAAATAATTCTCTAATTGATATTTTCCTTACTCTCCTCACTTCTCTGTTTGATTTTGTTTTGACACTGTAAGGAGAAATTCTGTCTTAATCACTCATGGGAGTTAAGGGGAGAATAATTTTCTAAGCATGGTTATGAGTGAAGTGTCCATCAGAGAACTGTCTACAAGGATTTGTTTCTATTATTTCTACAGCTGAAGTCATAAGGGATTGGGAGACTGGAAGATCTAGAGGGTTTGGTTTTGTCACCTTTAACAACAGTTCATCAGTATCAGAAGCATGTGATAGGCTTAATGATACGGTAAGAATCTGATATACTCAAGTCTATTACAAAATTGTTTTCTCAGCTGAGAAATATAATTAATCTGTTGCGTTTCTAATGGCATTGTCAACGATGCTGTCTCTTATAGGCACTCTAATATACGACAGTACATATATTTTGATGAGGTGTTTACAATAAGCCACTTTGCTAAATTCCATTTAAACATGGATTCAGTGAATGAACCAATTTGTGATTGTTCTGTGCTAAGTTCTGCCCATTTATTCCTTCCTTTACATATCATTTGTTCGTTCATTTACTTTTTATTCACTATTTTTGTATCTACTATTATTATCTTACTTAAGGTCTACCACCTTAAAAGTTTATACTTTTTTCGTTATCAAAAGAGTGAGATTTCTCTAAATTTTACCCATATTTTAGGAAATATTGTGTTGACATCTGATAAGTTACACCAAATAATCTTGACTTTGTGTATGCATACTCAACGTGAAGCAAACTTGGTCCTGGATAAAGTTGGTGCATGCACTTTAAATGTTTGATTTTTCTACTGAGGTATCAAAAATTATTTTAGGGGAATCAGTTAGTGTCAAATTTAAATCAGGTGTTAGGAACTTTCCTGTCCTTAAGAAAATGATATTTTGAATCTGCATAATGTTTTTTAGCAAGCAGGTTACAGTTTGTTAGCCCAGCCAAACACTTGTGAACAATGAAGGTTATAAACTAGCACCCAAGACACTAAACCAATGAAAGCTTAAGAAAAGCCTGAAAAATTATGGTTATAGTAATATGAGTGTCTCTGCTTAGAGGTCTTGTTATTGATAGCCAGGAAGTTTTTTAGTTCACGAGTTCATGATGGTTTTTAGCAAGCTAGTCACCATATCACAGTTTGTTAGCACAGCCAAACACTTGTTGGAGGAGAATACAATGTAGGCTACACACTAACACTCAAGGCACTAAACCAACCAAAGCTTAAGAAAAGCTTAAAAAGTTATGATGATGGTAATATCAGTGTCTTGTCTAGAAGTCTTGTCATCGATAGCTGGGAAGTTTTTTAGTTCACAAATGATCTTTTTATTCATTCCAGTTATGCATGCTGGGTACTAAATTATGAAATTTGATTCTTGCAATTAATAATAAACTCAGTATAAGATAGGCAATCCAATGATGTAATCATTTAGGGTGGCATTGACATAGTGCCACATCAATAACAACAGTAGTGGGCATTGGTCAGAAACAAAATCTTTTGATGAGTAAGATTTTATTATAATGCTTGTTTGACTGTGCTAAACACTGCAACAAAACAGAAACATTAGTTCTAATTTGTCTTCAAGGAACTTGATGGCAGAACAATCAAAGTACATAAAGCAAACTCCCGTGGTGGAGGCGGCAGCTCTGAAGGGCGAAGAGGAGGCCGAGGAGGCAGAGGTGGAGGATATGGCAGAGGAAGACGTGGTGGTTTTAGTGGAGGTAAATTCATAATGTTGATGCAAACTTGCATGAACCCACTTATGACTGACCTTCATAGATCTACATGGTTGTTTCTCTCTGGAAAGGAAATGCCAGTTCTATTTTGGGCATCACATTGTTAATCCAAAGAAATGGTAACCTGCTCACTCCCAAGATCTTATGTCAAACTCATTATGATCTTAATCAAATGAATTTCCTCAGTTGATATTTTTCATTAAGCCCATTACCTGTCTGTTTTATAATGTATTTTAACATTCTCTATCTGGCATTGTTATGTTTTTTACAGGACCCAGTTTAAATAAACTGAACATGCCAGCTGTCTAAATATTGCAAATAAATTAATAAAATTTAGGACAGATTGAGAGTCCATTCTAGCATTACCATTAGAATTTTATTGTGTTTCCTGTTACTTACTTATGTTCTGCTAGGGATAGACTTTGAGAGTTAGGAGTCTTGACCAAGAGTGAGTGTGTCTGTTAGATGTTCCCCTGATTATTTGGCTTCAAAATTTATTTACTTTGTTTTTTTGTTTCATTTTCCATTTATTCAGTTTGGCTAAAAATCTTACTTCAAGGCAGTTTTGCAATTTTGTGTCCTTTCTTTTTAGCAACACAGTGTGCCTTCAGACTCACCAAAATATCACTTGCATGTATACCATAACAAATGGCATTAACAAGTACAACAATTGGCAAGTTTCACAGTTGTTCATTTAGCCATATTAACCAAGACATTAAAAGTTGTTAAGCCAATTTTATGGGCTATTGTTTCTCTTTGGTAGGTGGTGGAGGCTATGGAGGTGGGAACTTTGGGGGTGGTTCAACCTATGCACCAGGCTACACTGGTGGTGGTGGTGGTGGCGGTTCTGGAAACTACTACTACAGTAGTGGTGGTGGTTATAGTTATTAAAAAGGACATGACCACAGGTAAGGTAAAGATCCAATATTACCTTGATGATAGAGATGTAGTTGTTCTTCTTAGGCATTATATCATTGTATATAATTGGGGATGATGTTCCTTAATAACCCTGTGTGACTTGATGTAGAATATTGCATTTCTGCAATAGTTGCCAGGCTTCTTTTTAACAGGAGCAAGGCTGAGAGTTACCTCATTATACACTGAATAGAAATATTGCAGACTACTCGGTCAGCCTGGGTTAAGTTGTAAACTTACAATCTAACTGTTTATTAATCAAAATCAGGAATGGTTCTGTTGGGTGATGTTTTCATGATTCAAGCTAGGTTTTTAGGGGTGGGATACAATTTGCACAAACTTGAATGACTCAATTTCTTCTGTTTGTTCATTTTCTAAAAGGCCATCTGTTCTACTTCCGTGATTCAACTATGTTCCTGTCAGTCTGTTATGCATTGATGTGCTGAGGTCATAGAACAAGACATAAAAATTCAGTTTGCTGTCCTGAAACGTGATGAATGATAAACCTCAGCTTATGATGTTCAGTGCTCTGAAGTTTCCTGTGTTATTGTCCTGTGTGCTTACTACTATGAAAACCTCAGCTAATGATGTTTGGCTCTCTGATGTTCTGATGATCCATTTATTGTGCAGAAATGGTTACTTATATGAAGAGCAGAAATTCATACATATTTTAAGTTCTTGTTAATTTAGTTTAAGATGTTTAAACAATTTTTTTTCTATGCTCACCTGTTCAAAATAGTTGAAAAATGATCATTGTACCTTATTAAAAAGAAACATCAACTGTGTTGTCACCACTGCTGAAAGTCCACTTTCCAATCCAAAGTGCCATTTTTTTATTATTTTAATATATTCCTAGTCTTTCCTTGTATCATGAATTACAGCTACAAACACAAAAGAGTGTCAACAAAATCAGCCTTGTTTTCCTTTAAACTCCATGTGCGTTTGAATAGATAGTTTGTGTTTTTGTAGGCTTTTAGGAGGATTTCTTTTTTTTGGTATGTCATTATGGTAATTATAATGTACCATAGTATTATTAGAGCAGTCAACTAAACTTGAGTCACTTGATTTTGTTGTTGATTTTCTTGGTACATTAAAATTATCATATTTGAATTATCTATAGATGGAGATTGGATTTGAGGATATCTAAGGGGGGATGGGCTAGGTTTTCTTTGACCCATAACCCTTTGTAGCCTAACCTTGGCATTCATATTCTCAGTGTTATCGTAACATTTTTTTCTGGAACTAACAAGGAGCATTTGTTCGACAATTGGTAGCTTCTTAAATTGGTGATCATTTCCTTTATTTTCGTAGGAAGAATTTAAGAGTCGGTTATTCTTAGGGGTTAAAAACCCGGTTATTATGGGGTTTTTTTTTTTTTTTGTTTTTTTTGTTTTTTTTTTTTTCAGTTTCCACCTCTCAATTTGTCGTGAATCTGTTCCGTCATACATGTAAAAAGACTGAATGGCAAGAACGTTGTCTTAGAAAAAAGCCTCTTTTTAAAGGTAAAGCCAAAATAGGGATTTAAAATTTAAAACTAACCTTAAGCTCTATGCCCGGCAGCCATCACAGAATTTCCACTCAAAAATTATTTCAAACCTCTAGAGATTAACAGAAGTTGTATAGAAATTTCAAGTAATTCCAAACGTGGGGGAAAAAGGTAATTATAGTAATTTATTAGCATCGTGTGCGTATGCTTCATGGTGATTAATTTGAATCTGGCTTTTTTTTTCCCCATTATTCTTTCATCGCTTTTTTCTATGACAAAGTTGATTCAATTAGATGTATCTGTAAAAATGTGGCAAAAACATGAGAGGGACACACGAGCCGGTTAATGATGTCTGTACCACGTTTTGGTGTCTTGTGTGATCTTGGAAAAAGAAAGAATGAGAACAAAGGGAATTCCAAACTACTATGTTTGTATTCATCGGTTAAAGATGAAATCTGACGTTTACTCTGACCTATAATTTGAACAGGAAAACGCTAAATGGAAGTAAAGTACTACATTGCGATGAGCAGGGATTGAGAAAAGACCGGCAACCTGAGCGGGTAAGATGGGCGCTTTTTGCATTTGGAATCACAGGAAACGCCCTTAAACGTTGTTTTCCTCTGTTCGAAAATGTCCACTTTGTTCCCACGTCAAAGGAATTTGTATTTATAGTAGCTGACTACATCCATGTCATTTTTTCTCTTTCTTTTTTTCATTCTCCCTCCTCTTATTCGTCACGTTACAAGAAACAACGTTTTTCGGCAGTTATGATATCAGCAGTGTTCGCAACGTTGCGTAACAGTCCTGTACGGGTATTGTGAACTTACTGTCATTTATCAGTCACGGTTGGTAACGCATAAATTCTTTTATTCGCGTTAGAAAGGGGGTCATGAATGAAACTGTAAAAGAATAACTACGGCGAAGTGCAGGAATAACAAGACCATTTGATATATCAACTGAGTTGATAATGTAAACTGGCCACCGTAAAGAGTTAAATTCAAAACTGACGTTTCGAGCGTCAGCCCTTCGTCAGAGCGAATGAAGCGAACTACACGACGTTGCAAAGAGTTTGAAGGCTGATGTTTCGAACGTTAGCCCTCCGTCAGAGCGAAGTGTAAGAATAGCCGATCTAGTCTTGGTGACAGCCGTATCTCTTTCGTTGTATTTACTTTCTTCTCCGAACTCCTCTGAGGTTCAGAACGTTAGTTCTGTTGTTGATCAGGAAACCTCGTGCTCGTTTCCAGACCAATGACAGACAGTAGTAGTCAGGTGACTTAGAAACCGGTTTGACCAGAATTTCTAGGACTCCGTGCCAAGTAAGAAAGAACACGAGGTGTGTGCAGTCAAAATGGAGGAGCACAAAATCTATGTTGGTAATTTAAGCTACGACACTGACAATGAATCTCTCAAAATCTGTTTTGATAAAGTAGTGGAAGTTGTAGATGGTAAGTTATAACACGGCCTAATCTAATGGCTGGTGAGCTTTTTAATCAGTTCTTAGAAGGAAATTCGTTGTAAGAAAATTTAAGAAAATGGCGCAATTTATTTCAGTGTACGTTCGCGGCGTTCATGGTCAGTTTTCTAGTTTATTATCATTACAATCGTCGGGTTTTTCTCTGTCAGTTGTGTCTCAATCAAGGAAGAATTTGGAATCTAAAGAAATTACTTGAACAGCTACTATAATGGTAGCTTCACGTCATGTCGCCATCGAGCACGCGGTGGGTTGATGAGAGAGCGAGGGAGTTTTCGAGAACTTCACTCATCAGTGTAAATCGTTAAGCATTGACTTTATAGCTTATAACTAACATGGGAAATGCAAGCCACGATCGTACTAGAGTGTACTGATCGTTAGCAATCCAGCGTTATCGGCTGTTAGAGTGAGAGTTGATGATTCTGATACTACAAGGTCCGTCATTGACCGAAGGTGGAAATCGGTAATCTCGAAGTTGTGTTAAGAGATATTCAATTGGTGGTGCCCACAAAAATCTCCTAAGTTTCAAGTTGTTAAAGCTGTTGTTGAGGGGAATATCAGAACAAACAGTGTACTTTTCCCAGCCTTCGAATTGACAGGGAAGCCGTGAAATCGGAGAAATTACGTCTTAGATTTCAGATGTTGGCCTATTTCCACAGTTTTGTTTGTTAATCTCACGCAGTGGCAGAATGGAGTTGGTGACTTATTCCTGTGCTATTTGTGCGGTTTCAGTTTTAAAGCAGAAAATTTAAATTAGGACTTGCTAACTAACCAATTCTTTGGGTGAATTAGCTAATAAAATTCCCATAGAAATAGGTCAAAAGGTAGACCTACAATTACCTATGAAAACTCAGTGATAAGAGTCATAAACTTTTAAAGTGTGAACTTGAGTATACTTTTGGAATTCTTAGTAGGGTGTTTTCGTCTTAATGATTCTAGATTTGTGTTTCTGGAGAGCAACTATTGAATTTTAGATAAGGTGGAATTGATGTAGTAGGTAGATCTAGATTTAAGCTTGTCATTATGTGGGTTTTTCAATGATTCTGTTCGAAAAACATCTACAAAGAGGTGGAAGAAACTTAAAACTCGGGTACTTTTATCAGATAAATTATTTGTTGAAAGAACAGCATCAACATCTCATCACAAGAGTTCCTTGTAGATAGGGTTGGTTTATTTTTGTGGTGTCTTGAAAGTTGTGAATGTATTCTCTTTTGAAGAATTAGAAAAATTCCAAACAACAATATAAATTTCTTATGTGTGAACCTCTTTGCTTTTCAACAGCTAAAATTGTCATGGATCGAGAAAATCCAAGCCGATCAAGAGGGTTTGGCTTTGTAACAGTGAATTCAGCGGATGATATCCAAAGGGCGGTTGAGGAATTGAATGAGACTGTAAGATTTGACTTTTCTAATTCTCAGATTGTATTTTGCACACAATTGTTTTTAGTTTAGGCAATCTCATCTTGTCCCAAGGACTGAGTCAGTTGCTCAGTTTCTCTATACAATATCACCCCTGGATCAAACAGTAGGGTCCTGAGAATAAAGGAAATGATCACCAATAAAATAACCTTGATTCTTAAACAAATTCTTCTTATCCGCACTCAAGGACATGCATAGAGAGCAGTATGGAGAATATGCATACTGATGTTGGGGTGAAAGGGGTATATTAACATGTGATAAGTTATTTCTTCTTGGCTGCACACAAATTGTTAATTAATTATTAATTCTTGCTTTTAAAATTCATGTTGTGTACAGGCAGTAATGATAAAAGATGTGTTTCTCTCTCTCAGTGCTTTAGAGAAAAAACAGTTTCTGTTTTTGAATTGATAGAAAAGATATCAGAGGAACAGTTTAATAGTTTTAAGACTATGTGAACACTGCTAACTTTAAAAATTCTTGAAAGGATTTGGATGGTCGAACAATCAAAGTATCAAAAGCAAATGCAAGAGGTGGAGGAGGTGGAGGAGGTGGTGGTGGTTACAGACGGGGTGGAGGAGGAGGATTCCGAGGTGGCAGGGGAGGCAGAGGAGGAGGTGGAGGATACAGAGAAAGGGGCTATGGTGGAGGAGGTATGACTAGCCATAACATTTTCTGGCAGATAGGCTGAAGTTTCAGTAAAAGCCAGCTATCAGCAGTCTACCACCACTGTCTGGTTCTCTTGCAAGCAAGCTCTCGAGTTTGGCTTTTGCCTTACAGCACAGCCGCTTATGGTAAAAGTTATAGAGGCCCCCTGTTGCTGACTCTTACTGCAAATATCATCATGTCTGAGTTGCTTATGTACATGTGACTTCTCACTTCCCTTTGGGAAAATTGCTCTTCAATTTTTTGGATACATTAAAGATGTTATCACAATTATCTCCAGTACAACCCTATTGCCTAGTTGATAAGGTATAGTCCTGTAAAATTAACATAGAAAGCAAGTTTGAGGGCATATCCAACAATTGACCAATTTGTAGGACAGTCCAACACTCAGCAATATGGAAAGTCTGGTAAAAGATGTAAAGACAAAGAGAAGTGAAGTGAATTAATTGTCTAGAGCAATGCTAGGAAGTTTATATTTTGGTTAGTGAACACTTTGCATCTTCCTAAAAATCAATCAAAGTGTTGTGTTTTTTCTTTCATAGGAGGTGGATATGGGAGCAGAAGTTATGGAGGAGGAGGTGGCGGAGGTTATGATGGTGGGTACGACGATGGCTACTCGGGTTCTTATTCTGGAGGAAATCAATACCGAAAAGGTAGTGCACATTGAAATGTATTTTCGTATTAGACAAGAGAAAATGAGGATATGCAGAGAGAAATTCCTGTTTCATATCCCCTGGATGTATCATTTCCACCAAACATCTAAAGTTATTAATTGTCCATTGTATGAAATCCTTTTTTTTTAAGTCATCTGGATGAAGGGTAACCTCAGTTCAGTGTCCTAACTGGCAGATGTACATAATTTGTGACAGTATGGTGAAAACTCAATAAAAGATAGAAAAGTATCTTTCTCCTTGATTAAAATTTTAATGTAGAATTAACAAAAATTGACTTGGCTTTCAGTCTTTTTGTGAAACAGATTTAAGTGGATTGAGCATATTTTAGTTACTGTCTTTCCCTTGATCTCATTTTCTCTTGAAATGGTATGTTTAATGCGTGTGTTGGTTAAGTGTTTATTGAATGAAAATCTGGCTTGCGTCTGTTTAGCTCCATTAGACCTGTGGTTTTCTCCTTTGCTGAAATGATATCTGAAGGAGAATGAAGTGTTTGGGTTAAGGCCTCACTCATCATTTTTTCAGGCATAATGCAAACTGATTACCAAAGTGATGCACATTTTGGGGTTTTGTCATTTTTTACTGTAATTTGGAGTTACTTGAGGAGTCTTGAGCCTTTCTGTGAGCTCATCAAGGCTTTTGTAGATTGTAGAAGGAAATCATGATGATTTCCAGACTAGTTCTCTAGACCTATGCTGTTTATTTATAGCAATTGGATTAAAATGGAAAAGAGATAGTGAGGTATTTACACTTGTGACCATATTAATGAAAACTGACAGAATTCCATTTTCCATGTTGGGCAAGTTACAGATAAATTTGCCCACTAAGTTCTATTTCGATGAAATTTAAGATAATGTGACCCCTGGTACACTGCTTTTTATTCAGTGGTGACTCCTAATGATTCCATTTGTTCTGTTTGTCCATTCTCACAAAAGGCCGTGACTGGTAATGATCTGTTCAACTTCCGTGATTCAACTCTGTTCCTGTATATGCATTGATGTGCTGAGGTGCTAGAACAAGACAAAAAAATTCGGTGTGCTGTCCTGAAACTTGATGAATGATAAACCTCAGCTCATGATGTTCGGTGCACTGAAGTTTCCTGTGTTGTTGACCTATGTGCTTACTGCTATGAAAACCTCAGCCAGTGATGTTTGGCTTTCTGATGTTCTGATGAAATATGTCTTAGTAGAAATAGCTCATTGTAGCAGAGACCATATACTCATTTGTATCTTTATTGACTACTTAAGCACAAAGAATAAGTTTTTTTTGTTTTGTGTTGTTTTTTTTTTGTATTTATTCAGCCAACACTGTTGGTTTTGTTCCTTTTTTTACTGAATATTCCATAACTTAGCCCTATTAAAAGAAAATGTTTTGCTGTGTCCGTTGCAAGTGATAAAAAGAGTTGATATGAACAACAGTGGTTTGAGTGGATATGACAAAGAAAGGAGTCATGAAAAATAATCAAGTCTGTCTATCAAATTCATACCCACAGTTCTAATGGTGTTGGTCTGTTCAATTGGAAACTGGGGCAAGGTGGTTTCCTTGAAGACTTAATGGTTATCGGGAAGTGATAACTACTAAGTTCCCTTTGATGTCCACATTACTAGATTACAATAAACTAGACCTCAAAGTCGTGAGTGGTTTCAAAACAGTGTGTAAGAATTTCAAGATAATTTTTTCCCTTCAGTCTGCTTGGCTCGTCAATTATCAAAAACCTCTGGTTGACAAAATATTTCTGTTATATAGTTGGCAGGGTATAAAGGAACAGAATATGAGATAACAGTGATTATTCAAATGGGAAAGGATATCGTTTGAGAGTATTGCTCTCACTTTTGTGGTCCCAAAATATCTTAAATTTATAGGTCAAGGTTCAACACAGGAAAAGTTTGATGTGACATCACTTAAAGGGCATATGTAGAAGTGACCTGATGTAGCATGCAAACATTTGGTGGTGCCAAGTCTTGCACTGTTGGAAAAAAAAAAGTTTATAAGTGAAGCATTCCAGACCTTGAAAAAGTATGAAAAGTAGAGATAAAGTGTGGCATGAAGCCAAGGGATTATGTTTTGGATCAAGAGGATTAGATTTTGCAGCCAGGATTTCATGGAAAAAGCTGTTTTTTTTTTTGTTTTTTTGTGTTTTTTTTTGACAATGCAGTGGTAAGGTTGAGACTTTTCTCACCTTCGTCTTTGAAATAATTGCCACACTATGGGTGCATTCTTTTTACAGTTCATGGTTTTCTTCTTGTTTGGAAACAATTTTGAACTTTACATGCTGAAAATTTTCACAAAGTATCATGGAACATCTTGCAAAGTTTCAATTTCTTTTTCCCTGTCTTATACAAAGGCGTATGAGATAGGCTGAAAGGGTAATTCTTTTAATATTTTGAAAAAATCTGAAATTGAATTGAGTCATTGCCATCGCACCAATTCTCCAGTGCTTTGGATGGAGGGTACAGTTTTTGTGCTGCGGTTCCAGGTGAGGATTGGTGGTTTTGTCAGGAGGCAGAATCACGTTCCCGGAAACGCCTGGTATGTTTATGGCCCATGGTAAGTTGATGTGTTTCGTTATTGTGCCTAGGTGTTTTTTTTTCTTTCTGATTTCTGGACTGTCATGTAGTGAACTACTGAGTGGATGTCTCAAACTGGTTAATTATTTTACAAACTTGAGATAACGTTGATATAGCTCAGTTTAGTCCGAGGGCGAGGTCACAACTTGAAGGATTTTTACGAGGAATTTTCTTTCATTTCAACTCTTGTTTTGGAATCACTACTATTATTTTGCTACTTATATAGAGAAGAAATTAATTTTTTTAGGGTGCCAGGGGTAATCCTCTCCACTTGAATAGGAGTATTGTTTCTTGTTTTATTTATATATATATATATATATTATTTTTTTTTTTTTTTTTGTCATTTATATCTTTCTCTTCCTTTTTTGTGGTTTTTGTCTAGCATTACGTTGTGAATATGTCGCTGGGACTCGAAATTGACTTAGAAAACAGTAGTTCTATTAAACAGCTTGTAGTCCCTCTTAAAAATGAGGCATCGCTTTCCCGAATTTGGAAAGAGGTTAAAATTTCGTCGAGCTAAGAGCTCCCACACATTGACCATTTTAGGTCTACGAAGACGTCTTCGGGACCAAAAGTTGAATTTAATAGAGCGGACGCGGTTACGTAGTCCACAAAGCTGAGCTTTAAGAGGGGAAATACAGCAGCTTTCCGGAAAGCCTCCAAAGCACGTTTGGTAATTGTGCGGTAGTGCTAGGAATGAAAGCCACAATCAACTGTCCTTTGTGTATGTCAAGAAGTGTAGGACTGTGTGCGTGACCTTTTGGAGTGAGAATCGTTGCTGTTTCCCCACATTTAATAAATTTGCATCGCAGTAGTCCCGTTGTCTGTGGTGCAGTTGCTAATAGAAATTTTCTTTTAGAGTGAAGGGTTTCCTGATTAACATACAGCGAGTCATTTCAATTAAAGTATTGTTACTGTATAACCTGTTTCTTGTAAAAGTGGTGGTTTTCAAACACATTCGACCGTTGACGTACTGACACTATCTTTAAAGGCCCATCACTCAACCATGCAAGATTTCCAGAGGCTAGGTCCCACTAAGGAGGAGTCGCCCACTGAAAGTCGATTTCCGACTCTACCCAACACCCCGTTACTTAAACGTGTTTCAGAGAAGCAGTCGTAGCGTCTTGATTTGTCGTTGGGATCATAGGCAGCCAAATTGCATAAAAGTATGAAGAGAAACTGTAAATATTTGCTACTCGGGTTCTCGCCGCTACAGTCCTTTGATCTAACTGACCCCCTCTACAAGTTGGACTCAAACTAGACCAGACGTCTGTTATTCTAGGTTTCAGATTACGTAGCCATGGGAAAACTATAAGTGAAGGAACGGGAATGGTTATTATGTACCACCGAGAGGCTTGACATCTTGGACCTGTCTGTCTGCCAACCTCTGTATGCTGGGAACATCCTCAAAGTGAGATCCAACAATATACGCGTAGTGACTTGTCACGGTCGTGGTCTGGGTGCAAATCCCAGGTTGGATATGAAATAATCCGAGTATGATTTTTCAGCATGCGTGGGTTAAAACACCATTTCTCTCCTCTCCCCCTTCCCCCCCTCCCCCTTTAGTCTTATCTGGATAGCAGGGGATCAGATTCGGTGAGAGTGACGGTCAGGAGATGAAACCTCAATGGCTACTACTTGCGTATTTTGTTTGTTTTTATTTTTGTTTTGTTTGTTTGTATTTTTTTTTTGGGGGGGGGGGAGGTAGGTAAGGGTTTGATTTTATCGCATTTTTTACTGTCAGGTGGTTCATTTGAACAGGGATTCACTCCATATTACTGCGAGAAGGTAAAAACTTAGTTAAGTCTACACCCAAGCTAAGTAGTTAGTACTGTGTAGCGTGTCCTTTTTCTATCAAAGAGAAAGGACGATTACCAAGACCTAAAGGGTTGGTGATAGAAACAAATTGCAACGAAACCTCTCGTTACTGTCATATCTAAAGCTTGTCCGGAGAATCACCCTGTGTACATTTGATGGAAGGTTTCAAACTGAGGCCACGCCTTAGGAATGACTGTCGAAAATTGTAGTTGTACGCGCTGCGTTTTAACTGGAAGTATACTCGGACTACTCCAGCTGGTTCACGTGCATTTCACTTAATTAACACGACAGATACTTTAGATCAACCAAACTTGATTGGGATTACCATGACACAAAGTCAGCTGATGGCCAGGGCGGAACTCAAACCCAAATTGCGAGAGTGATGCACTCAACCATGCTGCGCTACAATCAAAAATTTTTAATCATAGTTAGACGAGACAAAACCGTGTTAGAAAGAGGACACTTTTATTTCGTTGTTGTTATCTGCCCCATTCTGCCCACCAACATTTACTTGATATCGTGAGCAAGAGGTGAAAGGTTCCATGTGGGTCACTGCATGAGAATAATCACGTCTTACTGAAACTCCTTTTTAGGAAATTGTGCTGTTTCCCCTCCAAATAAGAAAAGTTTTTCACCCTTCAGAGCTCCACATAGTGAGTGAGGTTATTACGTTATTACCCTCAAAAGTGATCATATCAAAACCGAGTACTTTTTCTCTCATGGGTTTTCAGGGAAATCACCATGCTCTTCAGGTTGCATGTAAAAGGCTTGGCTTGGGCCAGGGACAGTGTTGGGTAACTGCACCTGCGCGGGAAACACATTTGGCTGCTGTGGAACGTCACTTCTTTGTTGCATGGCCGCTGGAATAGCTGCTTGCTGGCTTATAGGTGATGCCTCCGCTACGTTACCAGTGGAAGCTTGCATCTTCATAAACTCTGCGAATTGGTCATTGCCGGGAGCTTCTGGAGCGTTAGGTGTTTCGTCCTTCTTGGTAGCAGCTGCTGCACCAAAACTGCTGGCTCGCCATTGATCGAACACTGCATTTGCTTGAGATGCTGGGGGCTGCTGTATCTAAGGAAATTTTGTGGTCAAGAGTAAGTATCAATTACACAATGTATTTTTGGTTGTTTCGAACACTACATGCTTCCCACTCCCGACACCAGTTTTAATTCAGTTGATAAGAGCATGGTAGCCGTAATTGAACTTCATATCAGCAGTGGTATAATATGTTGTTCAGTTAAGAGAAAAAATTTCAAAACTAAGCTTTTCAAACTTACTTAAGATGTAGTTGCACTTCTTACAAACAATCTCGAGAAACTTGGACAAATTGCCGGAGTAAAAGGCAGTCACATGGGGTAGTGTCGTTCCTTGCGAGCGGGGTGGAAATTTTGCCCTTATCAGATTGCTGGACCGGAACGTAAGACATTCGTTACCTTCATTAATTCTCATGAACTCTTTCTCTCTCTCTCTCTCCTTTTTTAAACTAACCTGTGTCTCAGCGTCTGGTATGGTGTTCTTGGCCATAGCATTCATGGCCATATTTGGATCTGCGGAATGGAAAGGAGCAGGATTGGCTGGGTACTGGTTCGTAGGATTTGGAGCGAAAGCTGCTTGAGTCTGGTCGGGAACTGGATTCTGAACTGGTGCTCCGTTATATGGAGTCTGGGCTAAAAAATATTTGGAAACTTGATGAATACTTCGATATTTCAAGTTTATTGCAAAGCTTAGACACTAAAGAAATCTCCTATCAAAATGAAATGAAAGTATTTGCGCTTATGTTTCCTCAGGTTTGATCGGTTTGTAAGACAATAAGTGAACTATCGCCTTTGTGGTGGAATGGAAATGCGTTCTATTCTTCGCTTTGGGAGAGAGATGTAAGATGGATGCACCGTGAAGTTAAGTATCTTTGCATAGGTTTGTCCATGTCAATGGTTGAAAGTTCATGATTGCGATGAGCTCTGAGTTGAGGTAATCGTCATGTATACACTGTATGAACTGGTTCTATATGTTTCAAAATCGCTCGGTCAATAATCGTCGAGTTCTGTCAGTTACTTCAGTGGCAGGGAACGTGAGTCGAGTACACAAGGTTGAGGCTTGCAGGTAAACTTCCCAGAGAAATGTAGTGAAATGACCAGCTCCCTCCCTTTATGTCCTATCTTTATGAAATTCCATTATACATCTAAACATTTTCCCATAAGTGCTTACTGAAAGAAAAGCCGAGAGCCAAGCAGAACTATTTAAACAAACAAGAACTTCCATGAAGTTTTAGTTACTTTACGCGGGGAGTGTACCGTTGAGCCTGGACTCGATATACTCGACCCAGTCTTCCTGGCCCATGTCCAAGCGTATTCTGGATTGAGTATAGGCCATTTTTGTAAGTCATCAATTAATTTCCTTCTATCGCAAGGTCAGCCAATTCTCACTTAACCTTTGAAATAGGAGCTTGAACAAGAAAACTAATTTACCCGTATTGGGGTAGTAAAAGGCGGCTTGTTGCGCTGGCATTTCTGGCTGTTGAGCTGGCATGTTGTAATTCTGGACTGTCATATCAGGAACTTGGTAACCAGAAGTTGCAGGGACTTGCATCTTTTTAGCTAAATTTAGGCACACAGAGGTGTAGAAAAACTGATTTTTAGATTAAATAACATTAACGGCTCCTTTGTAACCTGTCACATTTAAGGCCATAATTGTGGGTTTATTTGGTTCTTTTTGTTTGAAACTGTAGGTGGTCGAAGCAACGCAAATATTGTATTTCCTTGCAAACTTACATGTGATGACCAACAGATAGCGTGTAATTAAAACTTGTTAATCGGTTCCAAATGGCAATTTTCCCAACTGTAAATTCCTTTCCTCTCTTGTCTACAATTACCATCATTTTATCGAACAAGTTAATATGCAGTTACAGCTGGTTTAGCACCGTTACAGATTATTCGGCATTAATTAAGAGCGTGGCTTCAACACAGTGGAAATATTTTATAAGCTCCTGAAACTTGTTCTAACCAGATTTTCACCTGCGTTTTCTTCCGGTTCGTCGTAATCGTCACTTTTATCATCATCATCATTGTAATCATCGTCGTTATCGTTATCATGCGCGCTAAAATCGCTATGACCTGTGTCAGAGTCTTCGTCAAAGTCCTCTTTTTGTTCTTCGGTGCTGTAAGGTCTCACATTGACAGCTTGATCCGTGTCAGTGTCTTCTGTCGGTTCACTGTCCGGACGCAACAGTGCTGATTTTGCGTCAGCATCAGCTGTGCCGTCTGTGATTAATGCGTTATACAATGTTTTGAGCGTTAGTTGTTAGCGGGTTACCGTGACTTAAGTGATTATGGAAAGGTTTGTTAGAAACAGGCTTAACGCATTCTGTGTTAGCTTGATGAGGAATGCAAGGTAGATCCAGCGCAAATGTGAACGGTTTGGGGATCAAAGGTTTAAAAGGAAATAACTCCCAGACACACTTTTCTGACACGAGAGGTTTTCATCCAGCTGGTGTCGAACGCTAACTGTTTGTGCATGAAAAAAATAGCCTTATTGAAGCTCTCCCCTCCACTTCAATCCTACAAATTCAGTTGACTGAGGAGATTATAAGTGTACATTACCTGTTAACTTTTTTTTCACGCGGGTCTACCAAACCTCTTTGCCAACAGCCAAGATTTAAAAACCACATGCTAATTACCTATACCTGAGTATAACTCAAATTTGAAAACCCGTTGTATCATCAGATGCAAGTATACCTGTCCATCAATAAACTGTCAATCATCTGTCTGTCAATCAACTGTCAGTCAATCAAACCACTTACCTGCATCACTCTTAGCTTTATTCATGCACCGGTTGATCTGAATTTTGTACTCGTACATTAGCAATTTTCCTTTGGAATAATCGTCTATGATATTCTGGCAATCGGCAGGTGGGTTTTGTGAGAGGATTGCTGTTATGAAGACAAAAGAACACTTTAGAAAAGCGAGAAGGTTAAAAAATGTACATTGCAAGAGTTAACCCTTAAAATTGACCTTATATCGCAAACTATACATAGCTTTCCGAATTGTTCATTGACTCGGCCACCTGATTCGCAGACACCCTTGCCCTTTAAGGACCTCTTAATGAGCCCGAAATGAGGAGGGGTCCAATTTGAAGGGCGACTTTCTAGTAATCCATTATCTAAGGGAATTTTATCCCGCTTACCCAGCTGACATTTCTGCACGACTAAATGTTCACACAGGCGCGAAATGACAGCTTGTATAGAGATAATCATTTACAACGTGGCCTTTGACCTTTCAAGGTTTATACTGAGCCGAGCCAGCCCATCTCCTCGTGGATCATGATGAGATTTTTTTTAAGGGAGGGAAGGGTAAGGTAAGATCTCGGAAATTTTTAGTCAAACCCTGTGACAGGGCTCCGTGGAGTTATAACCTGGAGGTGTTGATGAGTTGTGGCCACACCATTCAGTCATAACACATAGCCGACGTTTCATGTCGCTTAGATTACTTTTGCATCACTTTTCACGCGCTTAACAATAAACCGCCTGTCAAGAAGAGAAAAAGAACTTGTTTTTCGTTAAATGACTTAGATTAGATATTACTTGGATGAAACTGAGTAATAATCGAGTCTGTTATCTATATCTTCACCTCACCGCGTCAGTTACGGATCAAGAGGTTCAAAGCTTTTTCCACTTCAGCTTTGTTTTAACGTGAATCTATATCCTTAGTGATTGAGGCTATTTAAAAAAATGTGTTAAAGCTATGGTAAAGATAAGAACAGGAATATCAACACACGAGTGGAAGTTAGTGTTTTCTGTCAGAAGATGTACTTTTGTTTTGACCAATCATTTCCACCGGTTAACTTCACGGGGTTAACTCAATGACAGTGAAATTGCGCGCTTGCCAGGAAGGATACTTGTTCGGATACTGAATGTAATATCGATTGTAATATAATAAAATACTATCCGAATTCGCTGCAATTTTTCTCAGAACATCTGGATAGTACAGAACTCCCCAGCCTAAGCACCTGGCATGAACTGAATTTATTTTGAAAAGTTGACCGGTACCCGTCATAATAGTCATTGCTCTTGAACCGGCGTTTCCCCGTAACTCGGAATTCGATTTTCAAAATTTCAATTTACCTTTGGTGCTGTTTTCTTTCTTTTCTACAATTTCGGTCTTGTTATTTGCCGTCTTATTGATGGCCTTATCTTCCGAAATCTTTGGTTTTTCATCTTTTTTCTTCAAGTCTTGTTTTTTCTTGGCATCTTTAAGATGTTTCTTGCTGCTGTCTTTATGCTCGTTCTTAGTCTTGTGTTTTTTCGGTTCGTCCTTGTGTTTCTTAGTGTCGGTTACTTTAAGTTTTTTGCTTTTCTCATCCTTGTGTTTCTTGTTCGTGGACGATTTAGCCGCACAAATTGCGATCAACACAAGAAGGATCAAAAGAACGCTTTTCCTCATCTTGAAATCTTCGAAACCCGAGGGTCCGAGGTGAAATTACGGAGAAATGGATTCCAAGGATTTCTTGTTCACGGTTGAGAACCCAAGGGAGCGCGTGCTCTCTGATTTTGCTTTCACTACATTACAGGAAGTGTCACAACTTTATGAATTAAACATGTTTTCCTTAGCATGTCAATTTTTTCATCTTCTATCTACAAAGAGATACCTGCTAAAACTGATACGATCTCCTAAGAACTAGCAGGTGAGTTTTTCGTCGTTCACTGAGGTATGAAGTATCAAACACTTGCGAACGAAGCTTGTGGAGGGTTTAAAGTATACATAGCAATTAAACAGAAGAATCAAAACTTAATAAACGTGTATCTATTGGCAAGTTTTGTGCCATTTTTACCATAAGGATTGTTGTACGTAGACACCTTTTGCGGTTGATTTTCACCTTTAGATCTGACGCTCTTAGAGGTTGCGGAAAATTCATTTACTTGGCAAACTTGTATTTTTTCCGGTGATCCGAAATGCTCTGTTTCTTTTTTAACTTTTACATTTCGACGCACTAGTAGTGCGCGTGGTTCGGTCCATGATGTCTCGTCTTCCGTCTGGATATAATTTCAAACCGTGATTTGCAACAGCTAAACCAGAGTATCCCATGCACAGAGACAAATGGCTTGAAGCTTGGCATAGCTAATCAGTAATGAAAAATCTGGAAGCCTTTGCTTCATAGCTGCTACTACTGATGGTGGTAAGAAATTCTAGCCTTTGTAAGGAATGAAGGAGACGCTGAAATTCCATTACTTCCTGACAGAGTTGTATGCAAACTATGGACTCAACATAGACGCAACATATGGCTAACAGGTAATGGCGCATACAAATTTAAGTATGTGTTACTTGTAAATAAAATTGAACATACACATTATTGCGAAGAAATTGTTGTGCTTTTCCAATCTATCTGTAATGGAAATGATGTAGCATGTAATAACCCGCCAAAGCGAAATCTACGATGTCATCCTTACCTTTTGCTATATTTTGCTGCCAAAAACTGACTCACTTCCGATAGTAAGTTTGAGTGAGCATCTAGTTTCTTTTCATGTCAGTAATTAAGACTCAGCTTGAAAATTTCAGAGCCCATGATAACCCAGGGAATAGTGCAACTGTTTTAAGGGAGAATTGCGAATTATTTACAAGAAGCTACCTGGTTAATCATGTACTCGATCAGCAACTTCAGGTAACTTGTCGTTTCAGTGATGTCGAATGAATGCTGCTCTCTCAGACCCCGAACCATTATGATTTAATTTGTACAGCAAAAAAAAAAATTAATAAATGAATAAATTTATAGGCCGATAGATGAATCAAAAAATGTTGAAGAGTTGGTGTCCCTCCTGCCCTCAGTTCTTGGGAAGCCTATTATGCAAGGGGCAGACTAACAAGGGCTCTTTTTCGGCGCGGAAGAAGCAGTTGACAGCAGTGAACTTGATGAAGTTCTCCTCCCTCCCCTCCTCTTTAGGGATCACGCGGGGGGGAGGGAGAGGGGGGTAATCACATGTAGGCTATGTCACAAGGTTGAAAACAAAATTCCTTCAACCCAAGTTTACCCTAAAATGCCTTATTGCGCCAAAACAAACCTTTCCCACCAACTTTGACCAAAACATAGGTAGGATTAGGAGAATGTGATAGTAATGATTGACAATCTTTACATCGCCATGACTCGAGACCAGCAGGTGTTTTCTGACATTTCAAATACAATTTGTGTTTTGAGATCATGGTTTTCTTTCAAGTGCTTTGTCAATTTTTCTGATGGATTGTGAGCCCCGTTAGGCACGCTTAGAGCGTTTGTGTTGGTAATTGATGATCTTAACATAGCGGGCATAAAATTAAACACTTCACTGACTTACGGTCGTTTTCGACGATCAAGTCCCATCTCTTGACTATCGTCTTTAAGAGTGATGACTTTTGTTTTGCGGGTCTTCCTAACACAGAACACAGACAAAGCGTAAACAGAACCCAAGCAAGTGTGAAGCGCTCCATTCTTTCAAACACACGGTCCAGTTCCGCTTGGTTTGATCGAGTTAAAACTTAACAAATTAAATCAAAACCAGCAAAATTTTGATTTCTACCATCAGCTAAGACACCAAATTTGGCAGTTGCGTTGCTCAAGTCAGATCTCACCCAGTGTTTTGGTATTACGTTATTTTGGGACCAACGATAACCAATTAAAGCCGCGCGCGGGACTTCTATTTTATTGCTAGGTCCACAGTTTATGGAGGTACTCTTCGTGTTGATTGGTACAAATGATTTGGTTTATGTTAACTGAAGCAGGTGCCAAGAGATGAAAACTATAAATCACCAAGAAAAAGAAAATTCTACAAACGCGAAAAAAGGGATCTTGTGGTCATAAGAAAGAAATAAAAATGGGTAGTTTGTAGGGTCAAATCTATAAAACGTTAACAGTCCTCCTTGACAAATTTCAGTCCCCTCCAGAAATTTTCCTTGTTCAGCCTCTCCTAAATCTGAGAAAGATAGCTATCCGTAAAAATCTTTGTATCGTGTTTATCGATTAAAACAGGCGTTAGGGAATAGTTTTCTTGCTCCTTGAGCTTCTCACAGCCATACATCAGTATGCATATTCTCCATACTGTTCTCTGTGAATATCCTGAGGTGTTAACGAGGAAATTATTTGTTTAACAATCAAGGGCTTCTTTGGTTGGTGATCATTTTCTTTATTCTCGTGACTTTAATCTGTGATTCGGGGAGATATTGCAAGGAGGGATCAGATGCTATTCGCTCTTAGGGGTCAGAGGGTTAATGGAATCTTGTTTTAACTTAAAAGTTCACTGCCCTATCCAGCCGATGGATCGGATGCTCTTTACTCGGAATGGATTAAAGGGGATAAATTCGAGGGACACTCTTTGTAATTCAATACGCGTTCATATCCGCTCATCTTGGATAAAGCGTAAACAAGAAAAAGTTTAAATCAGAGAGAACACACTGAATAAATTAAGAAAGAAGTAAGCTCACGCCCGCGTGAGACGATTAGGGGAGAGGTTTGCAGGGAGTCTGGCACTAATAGTGTAGGGGTCCTCATTATTAACTGCTGGACCCTCTTGCAGACCGATTAGCGCCGCTCATAGGCCTCTTTCCAGCGAAGAAAAGCTAAGCTTGTATTGAAGAACTAATAGCAAGGGCCAGCTAGGCTAGAGTAGCACACGTAGGGGTTTAGTCTCACACGCTTGGTCGCTTAGGAAAGATGAACCGAAATAATACTGAAACTGATGACGATATTAACATCAAATTTTTATTTTCCTACAAAGCCTTTACAATTATATATAGTGTTTCATTAATTCAGTGGTCGTTAGTAAGGTTCTCCTATATTTGGTTGTGGGGTAACTGACTGTCTAAAATCTAAAATCAGTTTATCTTTAAAGTATGCGTATACAAAAAATGACTACATTAGGCTAATCTTGATTTCTCGACATGATTTCTCAACAGTACCGTGATAGGTTTTTCTTTTTATGTGACCTAATATCACATGACAAGTAAACTTTGTAAACCACAAAACGGCACGAAACTACATAATATTGATTTAACGTAAGCTGCAAAAATGTTGCATCAAAAAATCAAGGAACGAAGAAAGAGAAAAATTAATCTCATACAAGTTGAGAACTTTATCTAAAGTTACAGTAGGGGTAAGAGAAGATGTTGCCAACAATCAAAGAGTACCCGGCTCTAGGTAGCCTCATCGATTAGGCAAAAGTACAGAGAAAGAGCATTTGCCCAGGGCGCTTACAACCAGTCATAATTGGCTCGTCATAATCGTAAGCGCCCTTCATTACAGCCTGTCCAACTTGCTAGGTTGCGTGGTAATCAGCAATGCACATACAAAGTGTAGTAGGTGAAGATGATGGAGAGGAATAGTCTAGTCCAAAGGCTTGTCTACTCGGATGCATTTATTATGCGCTGTTCACTTATTAACGCTGCGAAAACCTATAACAGGTGACATTGGTTTTTTTAGTCTGAGTCATTTCAAACAGTTTAACTCATGGTTCATTGCCGTTGTATAACCCGTATTGCATACTCTGCAAATTGCTGTAATACGGTTGTCTGTATTGGTAATAGTTCTGGTAATAGGGATTCCTTGCTATTTGGAATTTCTTGGTCAGCCCCGAATAGTTGTTGCCATAAAATTGGTTAGCAGGTCTTATGGCTGCAATCCTTGGGTTATACACTTGATTCATCACTGGGAGAGTCGACTTTTTGGTCGCTGGATAGACATTCCTATAAATCTGGTTAACAATTCCGAAATTTAGCGGCGAAGCTGAAATTCTCCCGTTGTACGCCTGACTAAATCTCTGGACAGCGGACTTCTTACTCAGGGGATATAGCTGATCACCATTTCCACCGGCCAGCGGTGTTGACGAAACTCTCTCTTTATACGCATTAGTGAGCGCCTGGACAGCGGTGTTCGCCTGGGTCACCAGACTCCGAGCAGGGGCTTGCAGTTTCGAAAAGTCTTTGTGATGAGTGATCTTTTGAATAAGCGTGAGCATGCGCCGTAGGAAAGTTGCATTGGTTGTATGCATAATTTTGTTTTTGAGGACATCAAAGTTGACTGAAGGCTGTTGAAGCTTTTCTGGAGCAGTGTTGTGTTGAGCTACAGCATTCTGCGGTTTGTTTACAGATGTAGGGGTTCCTTTCATAATCGGCTTTCCAAGCCCGTTTGACATGTCTGAAACAGGTTTCATTGGTTCTAATTGTACTCTAGGTCTCTGTGACAAAGACAATGAGCTGGGATCATTAGAAGGAATGATGGTGGCTTGGTTAGCTGGTTTATCGTCAATTCCAGGTTCCGGAGTAGGTTTTTCATCGATTGAACCATTGCTGTCGTCTTTTTCGGGATCGCGCATAGCTGCAAGATTTTCGTCGATATTTTCGTCCGGGTTACTTTGAGCATTAATTTTTGTGGTAGATTTATTCAAAACCTGTGGTTGAGAGTTAATACTTGGTCCTTTATATGTACTGGTACTAGCAGGCGTGCTTAATGAGGGCTTATTGAAGTTATTTATTGCATTTTTTAGGAAGCTGGACATTTTGTTTTGAGGATTAGTGGTGGTTTGGACGCGGGCTTTTTGAACGAACAGCGGTTGACCCACAGCAACAGTTTCTCCAGTGTGTGAGCCTTCTTGAAATGTGCCTGGATAAAATGTTTGAAGTAGGTCGTGGTTGGGTTTTGGTTGATCGAGGTGATCGTAGTTGGAAGCCAGACGCGTGTATTGATCCCCGAGCGCGTTAGTGAATAGAGCCTGTGTGTTTTGATTCTCCACAGAGCTTGGAAAAGCCGCGACAGATGGGTTGCTCTTAAAGGAAAGTCCTAAATTCTGAGATTTGCTTTGATAGTCGCTCAAGCTTGGTCTTGCTGGCTTGTTCCTTTGTACCGTGGCTTGGAGAGCGGGGCGGGCGGGAGTGTGCTGTACCGCTGTTTTTCCTGTTGCTGTCGCCACTGTTAGCGACAAGAACAAGATTTATTGAAGGTAGTATAGCTAGAATTACTTCATTGCTTACATCACATTACTGTCTAAATTAGTCCCAGAAAGTCATCTCATTTTCAGTGCTGGTTAAGTATTAAGAACTATAGGTTATCCAAACTGCGCCTACGTCTGTGCCACATTTGCAACATTTAAGGAATATTCACCGGCACTCACTTGACTTCTGGGTGGTAAGAGATACATTGAAAATTAGTGTCCTGTCCCAAAACACGCATTGCTCGCCCAGGGCTTGAGGAAAGATCTATCGTTCGAGTGCCTAAAGAACTAACTTGCATTTGATTGATAACTTTTAGTGGCATGTATTCTTATAACCAAGCATAGAGCGAGGTGTGCATGGATTACACGAGTGAATGTCACCTTCCGTCTAAGCATTAACAGAAACATTTTCTCGGCCAAACAGTGCCAGTGAAACTTACTAAAGCTAAAAAACCTATATTTAAATAGATAATGGGGGTGCTATTAAGGCTTTCAACACTGAAGGAGTACGCCCTAGCTGCATGACTGTTGATTAATCAAGTTATTAGTTAGCTTATTCTAACACCCACCTGGCACAGGTTGCCTGCGGGGCACATAAGCCATTTTATGAGGCTGATAAATGTTGATCACTAAGCAAAAGAAGGAGATCAAGGATCTGTTTCAATCTAAGTATTGATTGAGCAGTTGTTTTGTCTCAAATCATAAACCTTCGGTATGATAATGCCAAAATTTGTATTTGTAATCGTCGAGCTCTTGTATTCAAAAACTGAAAGTGCCTAAAGAATTCGTCTTGATAAACCCGAATGTGTTGGCTGTTGTTTGATGGCGAAAGAAACATATCATTGAGACGCAAATCAAGACACTTTTTGATTTAATGTCGTTAAAACTTATAACCCCAAACAGGGTCAGGGAGACTTTCCCAAGGAGCAATCGGAGCTCACATAAATCAAAAACCAGCAAAGCGCCTCAAACGTGAGGAGCGCCATCTGATTGGTCAAGAGGCTGGCGTGAAATTTCATCGCCAATGACAGAGCGCTGTCAAGGAATTCCGACCCAACAAAAATGGATATCTTTTGACATGTTAAACATTCAATTGAAACTTGCTCCATCAAAATAAAATAACAAGGTAAACTCTCACCTTGAGGAATAGTTTTGAGCTTAGGGACCTTCTTGGCGACGGGCAATGGAGACGGCACAGAGTAGTGAAAGTCTTCAGTGGCCGATTTGGCGATCTCGGCGATGTTTTCGTTGTTAATGTCATCCTCTGTTGACTTTTCAATTCCTTCGATGTTTTTAAGTTTTCCTGCAATAAAAACGTTGCATGATCATGAGATTATAAAGTCAATACATTAACGATCTTCTATTTTAATGATTTATTTTAATGAGCTATTTTAATTAACTGTTTTTAACACATATTTTAGAACATTTTATCACGCCATTAGTTTTCATGCGTCCTACTGGCTAGTTTTACACTATGCTAATTTACAGTGGCACCTCCAACGTTTAAAACCATAGCGCAAATATTTTATCGTCCTCCCTGATGATGCCGTAGAACGGCGAAAGCTCGGAGTGAATAAAGAAAGAATCACAGTAGCACTTAAAGGCTTCATTTGATCAATATCCCACATCATTACGACATGCTACTAAAGGACACGTTCAAACGTTTAGTATTTTTGTATTTGTTAAAAACTCTCCTGAGTTTCAAAGCAAGCATTCAGATGAAAATGGTACTTTTTATTGCAGATTTGGTAGTATTTACAGAAATCCATTTGGGGCCCTGTGTTTATCCAAACAAACTGGTGTCATTATAGTGACAAAATTAAGCGGTCTTTTGAAAGAGAAGAAACCAAGTAAGGCACGATTGATTAAAACGCAGAAGAGTATCAAACACTTTGACACTTAAAGTTGCGCACTGAATTCTGATCATAATTTCAGAGGAAGATTTGAGGTACGATAATCCACCCGAAAACAAGCAGAAACTGACGCTCTAAGAGTTTTGCGCTACCTAAACTTTAGCGTTTTCATGTTAGTGACTCGACACGCTTCTCTTTAATTTACTCATCTCTCTCACATTGGAGACTCTTTTTAATAAACCTTTGTGCCAGGTAAAGCTGTGATCCAGGGAAACTGGGTCAAGTGCATCACCTCGAGGCCAACTGGTAAAATGCTCAATAAATTAATTATAACAAACAAGCAAACGAATTGTTTCACTCTATCCGTTTGGCCCTTCTTCTCTTTGGGTTGTCTCTGCCAAAATTTATTTGGGTTTAGCCATGAACACGAACAGCGACTCAAAAGCCCGAGTTTGTCTTTCAGATCGACATTAATATTGAGCGGAAAAAAAGTTATTAGCCAGCCTCTATTTCGTGCACTGGACCCAGTTTCCGTCTTGCCTTCGTCCACACTTATATATCAAGCTTTTCGTCAAAACCATCCACCTGTTACAGGTACCAAAATAATCCTTTATTATGGTTTTGATATATTCAGCTCGCAGAGAAGAGTTATTAGTAAGTTACCTTTTCTTCCACATCCCCTTCTCCGTTCCAGATACTCTCGCAATCGGATATATCCTTTCTTGAACTGATGTTCTACAAGAGCACAGTCTGTGACCTCATCATCCAGTTTCGTGTCTCCGACGCGATCTGCAAACACGTTCACTGTTTACCTACCTCTGATATCAATTATTCTCATCACAAAATCGATTCAACCTACGCATGGAATAGTTAGCTTTAGATGTAGTACAAAAGGTTATGCTGTGTTGATCGTAAGTTCTTCGAAATCGAATTCATCGTTGAAATTTTATCGCACGGAATTTTCCTCAGACTGTCAAAATAATTCAAAATTCTTATGAATCCATTAAACTGATTTAACATTTACGATTCACGAGGTTGTATTCTTGAATTTGGACTCTAATTCGCAACAAAACCATATGATATGGCAATCTGAAACTCACTTACAAAACTGGTTGTCAGACATGGAAAAATCAGATCGCTTCCCTGGAGCAATGCTTCCAAGACTCGCGGCGACGAGGGTGGATAACACCACCAACCACACGGACAGCATGAGCGCTATCTTGATTCCCTTGTATTCCAGTATATTTTGCAATCAAGTGAGGTTGCTCAAATGAAGTTTTCGACAAATTTTGCGCGTCAAATTTAAGCGTAATCAAGACCAATCTTGGCAGGAAAAATCGCTGAGTCTCAGTTAGCAGATGATTTCATCCGCTATTGACACTTTCCTGAGGCGAGTTCGTGGTCTTTTCTATTAAAAGTAGTGACGCCATTGATGATCTTATTGATCTCTTTATTGTTGCGAGCAGAGAGCAACAGTTCACCTATTAAGAGAAAAATCGTTCACCAAAATAAAAGAGATCACACAGTTTTGAGTGAATTGCACTCACAAGCTTATTTTATTTTTGCACCATTGGAAACACCAGAAGGGCGTTGATTTCGACCCTCGTTTGAGCACACGCCCATTTACATCGTCTTTGGCGGAAACATGTCGATTCCTAGAAAGAGGTTGTATCACATGACAACAGGTTGAAAGATGTTGCATTGAGCGAACCGATTGCAATCTATTATCACCATCTTCACTGACGAGTGACATACGAAATCAGACCTCGTTCAGGAAGGGCTTCAGTCTGGAAAGTATATGTTTACTCGGTCACCAGCAACATAAGCTACTGAGATCTGACCGCTTCTCGATACACATACAGTGGTCGTTATTCGTCTAAATAGGCTTAACTTTCCTGTCAATGTTCTCTAACAATCAAATGAGATAACTGAACTTTTTACCACAAAAAAATATAGGAAGATCTTATTAAACTTGCTGCCAGCTGGGCAATTACATGCCTGCCCTTTTCTATGTAAAAAAATTATCCCCAACCAAGATTTGAATAATTACGTCGAGAAAATGACAGTGTCCATTTTTTCGGGGCGCGAACCTAGTCATCTCAGCTAAGAGGGCCTTGAAAATGTCATTTCCGCTCCAAGAAAAAAAGCTTGTGTTGCTCCGTAAGCCTGGATTCTGACTTGCGGTTCAAGTCTTATGGTAACCTTAATTGCGGTTATAATTTCTTTGGCTATAATTTTTTTCTTTTTTTTTTTACCTATTCTATCAGACAGCGAGTTTTACAACTTTTCTTCCCCAAAAAAAGAAAGAAGAAAAATCAAGCGAGGATTTGAAGAAAAGGTACTTGGCATTTGGCTGACCGGGCTTAGCTCGTGCCATTGAGAGACTCAGTACTAGCCCCAATCCCACTGGGTAAAAATTCCCTCGGGATATCTCTAATCGACGTTGGCGTTCGATCGGTTAGGTCTGAAGCTATTGACGTAGGTGTTTCATCGCCTTTATACTTGTCATCACCGTAAATTTACGTTCATTTGCTTGTTACACGGATACACTCTCACACCAGATAAATGATAAGATAGATATGAAAGTGAAGATTTCGTTTTCTGCCTGATGTGAGCCCTAATTTCCTTAAGGTTGCGTTAGTTCGGGTCAAACATGGCGTCGACAACAGAGGAACAGACGGGAAATTTTAGTCTACCAAGCGCTTTCGGTGGAGCACATCCTGGTAAATCAGTGTTAAAAGAAGCTGTTGATGCTGTCTTGAATTCTTTTGCTAAGCACACGCATGGTTATGGTAGAGGTAAGTTTACAGTTTGTTATATCATTCCCAACGCCACGAACGAACCGAATGGTTCGTATGACAAGGTTTTCGAACAGAAATCAGCTCATTCAACGTTCGTATCTTTGTTTGCACTCCTACTCAGTGCAACCATGACGTTTAAATTTTCCACATGATGGTAAGCTAGGTGTCAGTGTTACGCTGTTTATGTTTACAGTTCGGTATGGGCTCTCGACGCGATTGTGTCATAGAAAGCCTTTAGGCTTTCGAATTGTTTCCCGTGTAGCTTTTGTTTCTTTTATTCCGCGTTTACAATTTTTCATCCTTGTTCCATAAATGAAGAAGTGAGTCAAAAATCATAAACATCTTATTCGCCAATACTTCCTTAATATATTTAACATTATTTTCAAATTTATTATTCAATATGATAGAATGTTGCAAGCATTTCATGATACTGTCAATCGATTGTGCACGAATATTTAATTTGAGCGACTCCAATAAAGCGCCAATTTAGGAGTCATTAAACGTCGAAGGCTCCGACATCATCAATTATATTTTGAAGACGTGCCCAATTTTCATGAAAAGATCATGGTGATTTCGCACACGATAAGCGGACGTGTTATCTGTTCTAACTTAATTGCTACGAGTCGTCGTCTTCGCAATCTAAAATTATGGACTGAAGGGTTGTTGCAATTATGGATTTTAAGCCTCGAGTTGACTATGATATTTACGTTTGTTTTCCCATTAAAATTGAACATGAATATATAATTTTAAGTTTGTAAGCTTCATTGCAACCTGTTTCTTTGGAAGTCATGTGTAAAATGCTCCGATTAAGAGTTCATGTTTACGCTTTATTGCAGTGCCAGCAAGCTTGTTCATTAATTTACACTACATATATCATCTAAATTGCTTGTCAGATAGCTGATATGATTATGGCATGCCAATCTACATTTCACCAATATATAAATTAGGGTCAGAGGTTAATTTTTAACACAAGTATAGGACAACAACGTTTTAGAAAATTAATCTGTTGAGTAATCTAAATTTTGTGGCTGAGTTACCATGGTGGCAGAACATTCTGGAGTTGTTCCATCACGATTTTGTACATTTGCAGCAAATTAAAAATTAATGGAAACAAACTGAAAGCAGTTCTTAGATTTTTTAGCAGATTTTATTATGGCCATTCTGTGACCCAGTTAAATGTCTTAAGAAGAAAAGATGTCATTTTTTCAGAGTAATAAAAAATTTGTTTAACTAAGATAAAAGTCCTAATATAAACTGCCTGTCGAGGCAGATGCACCCCAATGCAATGAAATGAATAAAAAGGTTGAGAGGTTTGTTGGAGGTGGTTAAGATTAAAATGCTGTGGCTTAAAAATGATGGACTCACAGATTAAGGTTAAATTTCCTATAAATAAACAATCCATGATTTAGTTTCTGTCATTCAAGGAAACTTTTGTTTCCTAATCACCTTAAATTGTCACTGAGTTTTCCTAACTCCATCAGAAAACACTTAATGGGTGTGAAACTTAGCTACTGGAGTTAGAGTTACCATTTGGGAGTACAGATTTTTGTTTCCACACAATTATCCTTTTCACTCTGTTATTAGAATACTTACTCTCCATATATTTCTCAAGGCATTGACAAGTATGATTTTGATTTTTAAATTATCACCACTAATCAGCGCTACCACCAGTGCCTTTGTTTGGAAGCTTGGCATATTAACTCTGCCCACGCTCCTTTAAATCATGATGATGGCGGTTTGCTTCCTGACGCCTATTTACACCTTATCAGAAAAAAGGCCACTAATTAGTGATTATATTAAAGAACCTCTTGTTGCAGCATTTAGATCACCCCTGATGAAGGCACTAGACAGGAGTGTCAAAACGTTGGGTCTATGAATTGTAACTTCTTCTGTTACATTCATTAAATCTGCAAACCAGAGTAGCATCAAACTATGTCTGATTGTCCACCTGGTTGCCATGTGAACTTTAATATAAAGTATGATTTCTTTCACAATCAAGTGGCCTTAAATTGGTGATCATTTCCTTCACTCTTGTGACCTTAATGTGTGATTCAGGAGTGACATTGTAAGGAGAAACTAGATGCTGGTCACTCATACAGATTAATGGGCTATGGTCGCTGCTTTTCAAATAATAATTGCATTAAAGCTTGGTACGCATGTAGAGCAATATCATCTCTTGTCCATTTACCTAGTAACAATGTTTACAAACAAACACTTATGTATATTAATGCATGCATGTCTTTTACTCAAGTGTTCATTGTTTTTCAGTTAATGTTATAGAAGCATTACAAGAATTTTGGCAAATGAAGGAAACACGAGGTGCATCTCTCAAAGGTGGCTCTACAGTTCTATATGAGCCAGAGCCTTCTGAGAAGCCACCATACGTTTGTTATGTTAGTCTTCCCGGTGGCAGCTGTTTTGGGAGTTTTCAACCATGCCCAACAAAAGCCGAGGCTCGAAGAAGTGCTGCAAAGATTGCCCTAATGAACTCTGTGTTTAACGAGCATCCTTCCAGGTAATACAGTCAAAAGCACCTCATTTACTAATTAACAATTTATTTACCACAAACCTCATGGTCTCCCTCTAGTTGATGATAAATTTACTCTTACAAACCACAAGCATTTCATGTTAAACTTATAATAGAAATTGTAATTCTTCAAAGTCACATAGTTGTCACTATAGCAATCTGGTTTTCCTGTGATATTAAAGACTGGTCTCTTTGTCTCCTGACTGGCAGTTCAGGGACAGATTTTCATGTCAAAGTTGACTGAAAGTCTGATAGAAATTATTGCTCCAAGGCAGATTTGAATTTTCTGAAATGAAAATTGGTTGCATTTTTAGAAAGTAAGACTATTGCTTTAGTTGTTTAATTTTAATTATCACAAAAAGGAATTTTAAATGATCCAAGCTAGAAAACAAAATTAATACAGGGTCTTGGCCTAAGAGATGCCAGTCTTTGTTAAGATCTTTTGCCATCTTTTGCCATCTAGATCTTTTGCCATCTAGATGTCGACATACGGCCAGGATTTATTGTACAGAAGTGGTCACCAGTCTGTATGACTCAACTGTAGTAGCAGTCTGGTATAATTTCAGTACTACATGTAAAGGAACTTTTGATTCTTACCTCCGTAAAATTTATAGGCTAAACTGACCAATAATTTACAATTCACAGAAATTGAAAAAATATCCACCACTTTCACTGACTGTGGTGAATAATTGTTATAAGCAAACAAGTATACGATACAGATACTGACCAACAAATTAGGTTTTTTTCTCTCTCTCGATATTCCAAGATTAGAAGGCTCGGAAATTATACTCTTGATTCACAATTTTGCCTCTTTGGCTGCTCAGAATTCTTGCTCTTCACTTGTTGGGAAAACACTTGTCGGTCAAGAAAATTAGGAGAATTGATCCATTGGATTATTACTTTTTTCTTCAACAGAAAAATCACTGATGACTTTGTTGAGTCTGCAGTCAAAGAAGCTGAGTCCACAGAAACGCAAATTGCTTTGAAGAGAAGGACAATTAATCTAGGGGCAGACAGCTCTAAAGATCCTAATACTGGTGTGGGAGCATTCCGATTTATGCTGGAATCAAACAAGGGAAAAACTATGTTGGAATTCCAAGATCTTATGACAATATTTCAATTACTTCACTGGAATGGCAGTTTGAAAGCAATGAGGGATAGGAACTGCTCTCGACAGGAAGTGTTGGAGCATTATGCTGAAAGAACTATTGATGATGAGATGAGAAGTCAGATGGCATTGGACTGGATATCTCGGGAACAAGAACAACAAGGAGTGATCAAGAGAGAACTTGACAAGGCTCTAAAGGAGTTGGAACAGTGCCGTTTGAGTGGACGTGAACTGAGGTTTCCTAAAGAAAAACGTGACATTTTAATGCTTGCTCGGAGTCAAATAGGAAAAGTTTAAATATGAAGTAAAATTTTGATAATACTGAAAATACAACTGAATGTAATGATGAACAGAGGTTTTGAATTTTTGTCTCCAGGGAGGGGTCTCCCACAATTGAAGGAATTTCTGAAGGATAATTGTATTATGTGTTTAGTAATATATAATTATGGAGTGTGATTGGTTCCAACATAGCTTGTGTTGCAGTATCATTCAAATTTAATGCGCTATACCTTTAAATACATGCATACTTAATTTTCACACTGATCTTTGTAATTTCACTTGAATCTGAAAATGAGAATTTGTGTGATTATCAGTCAATAGCTTCGTTACTTGATGTGGTTACTTCCATTATTTTAATGACCATGACATTTGTTTCTGTGATGGTATTAGAAGGTGAAATAAGATGCTACACAATCTTATGGGTCCATGACTAAAATTTCCAAAGCTTAAGGTGGCAAAGTATCATGATGGTGATCAATACACATTTCATTCCAGGCAAGAGTTTAAAAATGAGGGAAGTAAATTGACTCATTATGGTCAGCCCAAATGGGAAAAATGACTTCCAGCTCTCTTATGTGTGGACATTTTTCCTATTTAAAACTATGTGAGTGTATATTTAAATCTAATTTCTGACTTTTATGGATAGTTTTGTGCCTTTGAGTTTCCATAGGTGGTGAAAAAGCAGGGCGTTAAGTCTCTATTGTAAATAAATTGTGTTATGGTAGCATGGAAAGGAGTTTCCATCATGGCTTTTGTATATGCACAAAAGAGACTAATGAATGATGCTGTTGGTGGAAAGATGTACAAAAAGATTTCAATTGGGTTTAGTGATATGCCTCAGTGGAAATAATAAGTTATGATGGATGAAACCAGGAGTGAAATTGATATCATTGATACACTGAAATTTAAAAATAAAACTATTACTGACTATTTATTACACAAAATGATGCAATAATGGTACATGTCTATGAACATTGTTCAGTTTTATTGAATAAGTTCATTCATAGGCAGAAGGATGGGAAGTAAAATGTGTCATCTAAAACAAGTACATTAAATTTTACTTAATAATATCTCAATTGCAGTATAACATCATCATAAATGTTTTTCTTGTCTCATAAACTCTCATTAGTTTTATTAGCTGGTTTATATTTGTAAACCATGTTGACCCTTTACACTTAAAATCCGCATGCATATTCTCTAAACTGTTCTGTATAATTTCATAAGGAACTGACAGGAGAATTTGTTTAACAATCAAGAGCTTCTTTAGTTATTGAACATTTTCTTTATTGTCATGACCTTAATGTTTGATCTAAGAGTGACACTGTGAGGAGAAATTAGATGTGGAGTCACTCTTAGGGGTTAAAGCGTTAACCCTTTGCACCCTAAAATCAGTGTGCAAATTCTCCACACTGTTCTCTCTACATTACCTAGGGAGAATTGTTTCAATCAAGACCTTCTTTAGATGTTGATCATATCCTTTATTCTGGTGGCCTGATTTAATGTATGGTTCAAAATTACATGCCGATCACTCATGGAGGTTAAAGGGTAAACAGAATTTTGTTTGAAGATGGGAAACATCCAAGGCGTTCATGAGATAGTACTGATTTCTTTTCTTGGCTCCCAGTGTCAAGTCTACATGTTATTTTCTACCATAACTTGGGGTCATGTATTACGAGTAAGAAGTGCCAAACTTTTGTTTAATGAGATTACTTTTTTGTTTCTCTTCAATCAATTTGTATAGAAGACTTCACGTTGTAGTTTCATTATTCACTTAAATAAAATCATTATCCAATGTCCAGAAGGTTGCTACAGTTATTGTACTTTAATTAATTGTAACGAGGAACAATGAATTGGTCAGGATATTAGAGATATGACCAAAGTATCAAAGGGAAGACAGTGAAATTTTTACAAAATCCTATTGCAGCACAGGGGCTAATCAAATACCACCATTGATCACCAAAAATGTCACAGCTTTAACTGTTGTCCCTATGATTTCCTTTCTAACCACTCACACTACAACAGTACCCTTTGAGATCTATTTAACCCTCTTACAGGAGAGTTTGATCTTTAACTTTGATAGCAGCCTGCAGAGCAGGCAAAATTTTGGTGGGTGAGTGCTCAATATTATCTTAGTGGAAAATTATAGCTGCCATCTATGATTTTTACAGCAGTGGAAGAGTTGGGAGAGAAAGAAATCTGTACCAATGGGGGTTTGCCTTGATCAAAAAAGAGAGGGGAGGGGTTAGAGCAATGAATTTTTTTCCCCTTCCCCACTCCTCTCCCCACAGTTGACTCTAACTTCAGACCAAACATGAGTAAAAGGTTGCCAGCTTCTTAATATTAACTTGCCCTAATGAGACACCTGCACTGTAGGCTACATTGATGGCAATACCACTTTCTGGGACAAAGAGCATCATAGCTGATCTAGGGTGGAGTCCACCCTCTCTTCCCAAAGGCTCATTTTGAGTTGAATTGATTTCTTCACCCAGTCAAAATGGAGTGGAATCCTACGTCATATCAGTTGCTTTAACTCTGCACGTATGTATCTGAGAAGCTAAACTACCACACAGTACATTTGATTACAAGTAGTTATGATATTCTCTTTGAAAGAGGGCTAACACTCAGATTGCAAGTGTTACAACCTCTTTACTGTGGCTGACTTACATTATCAACTCAAGTGATAGCACCAAATTATCTTGTAACACCCCCCACTGATGCAGCACCACAGTTTCTCTAGAAACTCAGCCCCTTAATGAAATGTAAAAAGTCACAAACAAGATGTCTTCAAATGAAATCTACTGGATGGTGTGAAACAAGTTAACTCAAGCTAATCCTTAAGGTGACACAGGAATTTATCAAATGGATCTAACATGTGGTTTTTAGGGCACTGAAGTGTGATTAACACTGCTCAGATAGATGACATCTCATGGTCTCTGCTCTTGTACTTCAACATCTATTGGGGCACATGCTAAGTTAATCCTGTTCTTGAATTTGCTGCCGTACAAGGTCTGCATAAAGTCCATCTCTGGCCATTAATTCTTGATGAGTTCCCACCTATTATAAAAGTTAGTTAAAAGTGATTTGAAGTGACGTTCAACCTCCTACAATAGCAAAGCCACAAAATAACAAAGTTCATGCCTGTTAGTGCATCCAAAAATAGTAACAGTTGAGAGAATTGAAAGGGTCCAAAACTTATCTGTTTCTTGCATATTCCTTTTTTTTTTTAAACAGATGTTCCAACTGACTGGAACAGTTTGAATTTGAAGTAAGCTGTTAGCACTTAATTGTATTCTTTGAAACCCAAGTTATCCTTAGTTCCAAGGAAATATTTAAGTTTCAATGAGAACAACAGCATACTGTTACCGCAACAGCTACAAATTACAACAACAAACTTTATCAGAACCATAACAACACACTTTTAAATTATTTGGAAATTTTTTTACAAAATGTATGTGGGAAAATGAGCAGATTTAAAAAACTTTAACCAGCTGAGGGAAACACCTGATGTGGGGGAAGTACAAGAAAGTGACACAAACTGCTGCAATTATTAATTAAGGACATTGATATGTTTGCAATTATAACTTACCTCGCGAATGTTACCATGGGAAAGAACCACAATCATATCTGTTTTAATTATAAAAAAAAGTTAATGAAGTTGCAGCAACAGAGTTGGGTAAGCAATAAATTACTTATATGAATGAAACTATCTTTAGTTAATAATCCTACTAACCCAGAGTTAGTTCATTCATATCAATCAAATACTAATGACAGAAAACTAAACTTAAACTTTGCAAAGGCTAGTGCTTGCAGATAATATTTTGGCTATGATCCCACCATTCAAGATCAGCCCTACACCAGAGATCATCACCAATTGAAAATACAAATAAAAATAAATAAATAAATAAAAGAAGAACTAATTTGACAGCCCGAAGGGCCTTCAAAAATTGTGTCATAAGGATAACAAATCTTTTTCAATTTTCGTGTAGTGTAACCCTCTCAATGATTTCAGGAGAATCATATGACAAAACAAAGCTCAAAGGACAACTTCATATTAACTTACCAGCATTCTGTATGGTACTGAGCCTATGAGCAATAACTATCACAGTGCGTCCTAAGTGCAGGAATTGAAGGACAAGTATCATTAAAAGTACAATGCTTTTTTCTCCTCCATATTAATCAACTTGAAGAATTCTCTTAGGCTCTACAGCAACTCAAAATAATATTAGTAAGCTGGGAGGTCCTTATTGTGAAAAACTTTGACAAAGCTACAAGAAATGTCAAGTCTATGGTCACAGTTATTCATCATGGAGAATGACCCTTAACTGGTAGAAAAGTACTATTAATTTTCTCAACTTTCTCTTTAAAATCACTCAGGATAAAATACCTTTTCCATACACACCCACTGAGACAAATGGATGCAGTAAACATAAAGAGTGTCTTGAAGTGTTAACCCTTGAAATATGCAACTCATAAAGAGGCTATCATGTGTACATTATTGTACAGGTCAACCTTATAATCAGTTATATTCATTTGACTAATACTTTAGCTATGAATTGAAGTAAATTTAAAACCTTTAGTAACTTTGTCCAAAGCTTCTTGTACAACACGTTCAGATTCTGCATCTAAGGCACTGGATGTAAATGAAAGATGACACTCAACACACTTCTTGGCCCAAAACATTTGTAAAATCAGATTAATTGAATAAATCAATAATGCAGATTCCCCAATATCAAAAAAGTGGAACTTTCACCTAACTTCATGAATGCTAACTCCTTTAGGGAACACCATCAACATGGATAATCTCTGTCGTTTTATGAATTTTTGTAAATATAATAAACATCATTATTTGATTTGAATTAATAAAAAGCAAAAGAAATGAGTCTATATGGCATACTGAAAATACCTTGTTGCTTCATCTAGGATGAGAATGGCTGGGTTCTTTAGAAGTGCCCTGGCAATTGCAATCCTAGCAAAAAACAAACAAACAAAATAATTAAAAAAAAAAGTTTTACCCAACTATCACTCATTTGGCAGCTTCTTCTCAAAAACCGCAAAAAGCTGACTGATACTTTCTGCTTTATATTCATCAAAGTTTTAAATACTACACACCTTTGTTTCTGTCCTCCTGACACAGTAACACCTCTCTCTCCAAGGACAGTTTGGTATCCCTGTGGAATAAAGTGAGATTTGTGCAAAGTTGCGACACATAGCACTAGAACCTTGAAGCTTGAGTACAATATCATAAAAAAACTCCTTTTACTATATCTATTTAATATGAAAACTAGGCTTAATTGTTAAAAACGACAGATAATGCTGTTAAAAACTACCCAAAGAACTTACTCACTAGTTTTACTTGAGCATGCTACACAATCCTCTGTGTAGTGATTCATGCTGTGAATAACATTAAGCACTCTTTGGACAACCCCAGCCTGATCCCTAACATCATTTCAAATGTTGCCTTATGGGCTACTGATTTCATTTTGCAGGGATACTCAGATGGCAGGATACAAAAGATTAATGCCAAGACTTAGGAAAAGTTGACCCTGTGACAACTACAATGTGACATCTGTGGAAACATTGTGAAGAAAAGTTGGGTTTAACTTTTTTAAAGTGTAAATGTTGACCACTGAGATAAAAGAAGAGAAATATGTGCCGCTTTTGATAGAAACTGACTTTGAGGTTATAAACTTAAGCCTTTGATGCCAACTGCATCAGTCAGATCACCCAGATTCAAATTTTAGTTGCTACTAACTTTTTTGCTTCCACAAGCTAGAAACTTTTTTTACATCACATGACATGAAACAGCAGAATTAAATTAATCTGCTGAACAATGACAACCACAAAAGTTGAGCCATTCCAAAGAATGACTGGGATCAAAAGTATACAGTGCAATCAGTTACCTCAGGAAAATCTCTAATGAAGCCATCAGCATTTGCTTGCTGAGCTGCTGCTAAAACCTTCATATTATGGGAAAAAATCAAAGGAAATAATGTAACAAAAAATTGATGAATTCATCAGACAATGATCATGACACAAGATGTTGTCTGTTATATATACCTCATCATCTGTTGCTTCTGGGCGGCCATAACGTATGTTCTCTAAAACTGAAGTGGCAAACAGCACAGGCTCCTGGATGTAAAGAACAAAACACATAAAAATGATAGCAGAAGGCTGGTTGGAAATGATATTTTGAAAAAATGTTTAACATTTTAATGTTTTCAAAAGGCTATTTCTTAAATATTTTTATTCATGCTTAATTTGTTATCATGAGGTGAAATGTCACATTTTTTATTCCTACATGAATGATTTTAAGAGAGAGTTCTGACTGACTTTAACAGTACTTAATTTAAAGCTATGCCCAAATAAATCAATATGAGTGAACAGAATTTGGATTACAACTGTGTATTAACAATAACTAGAACTTATGCTCATGCTGTTTCACACCTGTCTACTCTCTGGTAACAGCAACCTTGTTTAATTCAAAATATGTTTGTAAGTTAATTTGGTTCTTAATAAAGTGCACCTGCTTTTATTCACAGTCTAAATACCTGGTGAATAAATCCAATCACATGTCCCCTCAGCCATGTGGGATCCAAGGAAGTTATGTCATGACCATCAAGAAAAATGCTTCCACTCTTCAGATCATAAAAACGCTCCAACAGGGCTGCTACAGTTGACTTGCCAGCTCCACTACTTCCACACAAAGCAACCATCTTACCAGCTGGCACTGACAGGGAAAAGTCTTTAAGAACAGTTTGCATGGGTCGTGTAGGATACACAAAAGTAACATCCTTGAAGCTAACTTCTCCACATATGTTCTCCAGGGGGACTTGTTTACCACCTGTAACTGGTATGGTGGGTTCGATTGCTAGGTACTCAAACACCCTTGCTCCTGAGCTCATGCCACGCACAATTTGGCCAAACAGGAGAGATATGTGACCTAAAGACCTGACATTGTAAAAGAAGAAAATTAACACCTAATTAGGTAATTATACAAACCCACAACACAGAAGGTTGTCAGTGATTCAAAGGTTTATCCTGGTCTAAATTTTTTCTGACCAGTTCAATTTTCATGTTCCTTTCTTTTTATTCATTATGAAATTAGAATCTACATTGAAAAAATTACAACAACTGAAAAAGTTGGAACTGTTACAATAGCTGAGCATACAGCCCAAAAATCAGACTTAAGAGGGTCTGAATTCTGAAAAAAGCTCATTGGGTTTTGTCTTGATCTTAAAGTTGTTGCTCTTTTGCAGCCAAAATCTCTCATTATTTTATTAAATTTCCCACACAATGAAAATTTAAAACTTATTAACTGTTTCTTTTAGCTATAAAAAAAAGTGCTAGGACCTGAAGAAAGGTGTGTGAGCCATACTGTCCAATAAAGTACCTTTGTATAGTCTGTGTAGCCACCAGGAAGCTCATCAAGTCTCCAGGTTCCATTTCTTTGGCAGCAAGAAGTGATCCACCATAATACAACACTACCAGTGCCAAGCCGTTAATGGCTAGATTTGACAAACCTTGGAACAACCCAACTCCAACACCTAACATCTCATTCAGTGCCTTGGATTTAGACACTTCATCTTGATACAAGCTGCAAGTCAATTTCAGTTGTAAGGTAAAATGATCCAGCCAATGCTAATGAAATTATTGTATTCATTACCATAGGAATAATTACAATATTTCTTAGTATACTCTAATATTTCATCCTTGACAAATTTTTTGCCCATTTTATATTTTTCTTTACAAACACTGTCAAATTAAAAAAAAACTTAAGAATAAAACTCAATTTACAAAACAAAATTAAAACAAAAACCTCTTAACCCTTTAAATCCCAAGATCTGATTGTTGAATCTCCCTTCTAGCTGCTACACAATTTCTTGTTAATAAGTTATGAGAATTTGGTGTTAGATCAAGACAACAACTTCAACCTGATAAGTTTGAGTATTCTCATCACCTGTTTACTGGATACTGTAAGGATATTAGGGAGACGTTACATGTTAATCACTTCTGGGAGGGTTAATTCACTTGAAAGTAACGTAGATAATCTCATTATTGTATTACAACTCATATATTTGCCATAAGATACTTCATCATTTCACGCTGAACCTTCCAGAAAGTAAGAAAGTCAGAAAGTTGATAGACAAAGATGCATGATTCTATTTAGAAAAGATGCATTAAAAAAAAAAATGTATTCAAAAAATACATCTCTGTGAGGGCAACAGTGACTTTGTTATGATCTTACTTAGTTTCTTTATCTTCCATAGCAAATGCCCTCACAGTTCGCACATTTCCAAGTGCCTCATCAGCAACTGCAGTTGCCTTAGCAGCCTGTTCTTGAGCAGCCTTGGAGAGCCTCCTTAATAGGGAGCCAAACAAAGTACCACCAATAATGACAACTGGTAAGATGACCATCATTACACCTGTCAGTTTGGGTGAAATCATATAAAGTGATACCACACAGCCGACAGTCTGAGTTGTACTGCGCAGACCTTGGGAAATAATCTGCTTAAATGCACTCTTGAAATCTTGAATGTCACTGGTCAACCTTCAAGTAAAATTTTGCACCATATAAGATAAAAAAAAGGTTCTAAGTGAGCCACCTACATTTTCAATTCAAGAAATAATTAGCATTCAGTTTGGGGGAGCAGAGAAATGTTTAGGCACAAAGCAGATGACATCTTGATGTCTGCTGTGATCTATTACTGTACAGACTCACAGCAGCATGGAATCCTTTTATGTATCATAGAAAGGCAAAATGTTGGTAATGGTGGCATCATCTAAGCATCTGTCATCTTACAGATTATAAGAATCAATCAAAATGCATGCATGTCATGCAGCTTACCCTGAACAATCCTTTAACCTAAATTTTGCAGTGAACAAAAAATAATATATGAACTTATCTAAAGTTAATTCATACTGTTAGAGGATTGGACCACTGTAATGATATTACGGAAAGTGGTAGCTGGGAGTCCTTGGTTTTTCAGAGTGAATGTTATGTTCATGGTATGGTTTGTATGTCTATTTATCACCTTGCAGCACACAGTATCTCACAATATAATACTTGTATTTTTTTTTTCCATATACCCTATGTATGTGCTATAAATTAATGATATTCCATGAAAATGAAATAAAGCTGTTTTGGCCAAGCAACCCTTAGAAGAGGAAACATACCTGTTGACTAGCTCTCCTGTTTTATGATCATCAAAGAAAGCAATGTCTTGTCGTATCAATGATGCAAATAAAGCATTGCGCATTCGCTCTGCAAGTCTCTCACCCAAACAAGAAAGAAATGAGATATAAGCAAATGTAAGGACTGACTGAGCCCCATAAAGTGATATCAATTTCATTGCAGGTTCTCTTAATACTTGAAATATGTCTGTGTTTAGATTGCAACTTGTTAAACTAGAGACAGCATTTACAAGGTTCCCAAGCAACATCGGTAATTCAATGTTCACCATGGCAACTGCAAAAGCACTCAAGCTTGCTAATAGTAAAAGCCAAATATCAGGCCACAGGAATTTCCAGAATTCTCTGAAATCAAATTTTGGCTGTGATCTCTTCCCATCTTTGTCTTTGCCCTGCGAAAGCTGTGATGATGACTTATGACTCAACTTCGGCCCACAGGAGGCACTAGAAATCTTTGATCTGACAACTAAAGTTCCAACAGCTAAGAGTCCAGTATACTTGAGAAGATACCAGGGATGGGCATAAGAATTTGATCTCTGTTCTAATAATTTCCAGACATGCAAAGTTCTCCATCTGAATGCCTCTGCAGTATATTTTGAAGCACTTTTTGTGATGATTTTTGAGATTTGATGTTCCCTAAGAACTGTTAGTCTGTTACTCCTATAAATAGAAGAGAATTACATTGCTCAAAAAATGAAAAAACTGTCGCAATGGTATGGGAAGTTTGAAAGGAAAAATTTAAACCAGCCAGAACCTCCCAGATGACTGAACAACAAGTATGTGCAAATAAAGCTAAGGTCTGGAAAATGATGAACTTATAAAATTTTGAGTGAAATTTGAAGGCAAGCCCTGGAATTGTTTTTATTATTGTGAGTTTACTTTTAATTGTAATCTTAGCTTTTTAAATTATTGTAAGTTTACTCTTAATTGTAATTTTATCTTTTTAGCCTTTTCATTTTGTTTTTTAATCTTGTCATGTGCATTTGAACATTTTATGGAATTAGCGTATTATAAATGACCTATTATTATTATTATTATTATTATTATTATTATTATTATTAACACCATTTCAGACCACCAGTGAAGGCACTCTTACTACAGTATGTCAAGTATACATGTTTTCTCTCAATGCTGATTGTGCCGAGAGAAAGGCCCTCTTAGGGGTTATCAGATACATAATACTTGGGTATACAAGATATTTATGGAAAAAATTAACGGGATTGGGAATATTTAAAATAGAGATTCAGTGATATTGGACTGGACCTACAAAACACACGAATTAACAGAATATGGGATATTTAGAACAAAAATTAAAAGGATGCAGCAAACTCAGAACCTCCCTAATGGCCTCACCAGAATTAGAGCATTGTTTGTTGCATGCAGAAGGTAATCAATACTGCAACCATGAATTGCTTGCATTTGCACACAGACAAAAATGACTCACTCAAGATCTTGTTAAGTTCTATTGTACTCTGAAGACTGGGCTATTTAGTGGGGGGAAGGGTGAATGTTCGGGGAGAATCTTCTATCCCTCTCCCCTAAGACAAAATTAAAAAATGAGACGGATATTAAGGGGGTGTGTCATAGTTATTATCTCAAAATGTAAATGAAATGATCGCTGTATGCAACACAAAAGTACACATTTTAGATTATAATGATAAACCAAACGCAAAAGCTGAAAGCAAGCAGGGATCGTTCGCAGCTAGCCCAATACAACGATGGGTAAGCTTCAAGAACTACACTGAGCCTTGAATACAAAAAAAGTGTTCTTTCAGCTTTTGCAGCGGTTGATACCTGTACGCGATGAAATTCCTTGGAGTTAAACAAACTAAATAACTTCTCAAAGAAGAACAACCAAGTTTCTGAACCAGGAGAGGGTACATTTCGTCTACACCTGAACTTGCTGGTAACAGACGCCTTTAGCCTAGCTTGTCAGCCATCTTGCTTTCTAATCAAGAACTCGACCCAGGCTCTCAAGCAACAGGAGTGAACGCTTTGTAGATTTGGGCGCGCAAGCAGGGTAGGGTAGGGAGCTGCAAAGTGACGGGGGAGGACAGACACATGGAGAGGTTGTCACATAAAAGAACTAGCAACGATAAAAACAAACGGACAACGACAAAAAATGCAAACAATAGTCAAATAGGAAAAAAAAAATACAACAAAGAAACCGACAAGAAGCTTCAAAGAAACGAAATAATACAATCGAAGGGCGCTCGAAGCGTCAGCTTTTTTACCTTTTACGCTGACTAATTTACGTTTTCAACTCAGTTGTTGACACTAAATTACCTGCTATACTCTCCCACCGACGCAGCACCACAGTTTCTTTACAAACTTACCTCCTTAATACATAAATAAAGATTGATCACGTTATTTTTTTCTCTTTGCCACATACAGAGTATTTATTTTGCGCAGGTAATTGACTCAAGGCTGAGATAACAAACAGTCCACAATTTTTTATTTCAACTTAAGTCAAGGTTATGCTTGTCTTTTCTTACGAAATGTAACGTTAATCGATAGAAATACTTCTTGGCAATACTGATTAATCAAACAAACACACAAATGGCTTAACCAAAAATTTCTCGTCTTTCTGCATTCCTATGGGAGAGACGTCCATGCATCCAGTACTGCATTGTTTGTCGGGGCACCTTGAATATCATTGGGAGAATAATTGAGGAAAGAATCTGATATATTTTTTATCTTTGATTCTAACGGTTTTCACGATTCGGACATTTAGACAACAGAGTTTTAAAGATCAGTAGCCAAAAGTAAGCAGTTGACCTGGTATGAAACTTCCTGATCCCTTTTATTTTCGAATCTCGTGACTTTTCGATTGAAATTTACGATGCCGTGAGCCCAGGAGTAACAGACGAGCGCGTAGTCTAAATCACTTCGTCTGGGTGATCAGCAGGCCACTTGGTCAATTAATTGAGATTTGTTTACTGCATAGTTTCGAAGCTAATTTTTTTGTTAAGTATTGTAAATGACAAATGATATCAAAGCTAGTTGGGCATAACAGTTGTTAGTAAAAATTCGAATTGGACTCAAATCGGCCATGTATCCATTATTGATGTACATATAAGTCGAATATTCATGTGCGTGATAGTAACTTGATCTTTTGCATGACTAACTAAGAGTAGTTATTGCACATATCTTTAATTTGATTATGGAAGATTTATGGCCTGGTTCTTTAATTCGTTAATTTTTTTTATTGCGGTCAAGTGTTTCGATTCAATACAATTTTTTTGGGGCCCGAATGCGAAAAACAAACTTACAATGGTTTAAAGCCGATTTGCATCGAAAATTACTCGATATTTAAATGCTTAGTATTCATAAGTCATATTAGACTACTTACTGAATACCTCAGATACTTTCCAAGTATTTTAAGTAAGTATTTTCGAATATCATCTACGCCATTTAGCAGAACTGAAAAAAAAACTGTTAAATTGTGTGAGAAAGGTTAATATCTGTCAGGTCAATACATTTTTTGATATAAACGCCTCACACGATTAACGCATGGAAATCCATACGGAATAACAAAAACAATTGTCTTACCTGAATCCTACAATAGTTTATTAAACGGGATAAACAGTATTGTTTCAAGTTTCCCGAGAAAGTCTAAAGCTAAAATGTTTGAATGTGTGAAAAGATAATTTAGCCTGACGCAGAAAGATTTTCAAGAGGGTTAAGATATGTGCACGAGGAAGACTGATCAGGAGATTGCTCCTTTCATAACAAACGAAGATGTACGTATAGATAAACACTCAAAAAATCTATGCCCACAGAGTAATGGCCATTGCCTGCACACCTTACGTTTTGCTAAAATTGCAAAATCCTGGAAAATAAATGTTGTTCCCATGTAAACAACGATTGGAACTGCTCTTTACATGCTGTCATCTTCAAAATTGTGCTTTTGTATCAACAAGACTTTCTATGATGACTGTAACGTCATGAAAATATTTTTTTTCATAGGCTTGTGTTTATGACGAACTCTTTCCCTTTATTTGCTTCGGTACGAAAAGCACTAAACAATTAACAGATTAAATTCAAACTGCGAAATAAATCATTTAATCATCCTGAGAGACTCATGACTGAAAACTATCCCTCGTCTGTTTTAGATTACATAATACATATTATTACCATCGGTCCATTCAAACCTCATTTGCTACTTCAGAAGTACATTTCGGCATTTGATTAATCATTGAAGTCATCTCTGACGGCACCACGAAGTTGAACTTATCAATAGACGCTGTCAGTTTTAATCAAGTGACTTGAAGAGATAAACAAAAATTCATTTTCATTAGGGGCAATTTCGACATAATAACAGCACTGACGCACGAAAATCTCTTACCAAGTTCCAAAATAGATCTGGACAGGTTCGCACGCTAATAAATCTATTTTAAGAATCCCCGACAAAGTTTAGGAGAATAAAAAGGCTGTCAAAACTGTTAGTCTATATTGGTCGTATTTCAAGCAATACGAATTTATATCACTGCCATCGTAGTAGACAACTGAGTGCAACTTACGACGGAACACTTTTAAGTCCAAGCATGTAAAAACGGATGGTTGTTTCGCTAGGTACTTCTGGATTTTAAAGCGTGAATCATCACAATTTACTCCGAGGCAGGATTGCATGCAGGAATGCAATTGAAATAAGAGCGTTTTGTCTGTATCAATTACTTTCTGGATTTTTACAACGGATTCTCTCCTCTGTTTTTTTAATCTATGGTCATACTCTCAAAGTTTTTCTGTTAAAAACCCTTAGCTTTGATCAAATGAAATATGAGTGCTCAGTTCCCTAACAGTTTCCTTTGTAGTGTTTTCAGAAATATTAGCGGTGAGAATAAATGTACAGTCAAAATAGCGTGCAAAACTTTATTGAGATTAATTTTTAGGTGACGTCATAAAGCCTTACACGCGATTTATCATGCATGACATGAATTGAAATGTCTTCCAAAAGGAAGCTTATATCGATTATTCGCTTGGAAATGCTTTACATGTTCTTAGGCATGACCGGAAACCCCAAATGTTTGCCTAAGATAGAGTATTAAGAAGTTATCTATGCTATGAATGAATTATACAGGAACCGGGAACTTGAAGACACGTAAGCTACGTCCGCTTATTTCCCGCCATCTGGCAATAAACGACGCGGCAACAGGGAATGCCGTGATTTTCCCGCCAAATTTTGACGCCATATTTACCATTCAATTACTCTATATCTGGATGGTGTAAGCATTTCTGAATAATGACACAGCTAAGAAAGTTGAAGAGAGAAAAATTCTCTGTTTTACAGAATAAATTTATTCCAAACATAACTGGATAACTTTGTCTGAATATTTGTCCCGCCCGTCGAAGTGACTGATTCTCGTCAAAACAATGACACTTAGAAGCGTTTTATGCGATATAAAACGCTAAATAACTTTCAAGAATACTCGGGGTCAAAGAATTGACAAATATAATAAAAACAACCAAGCTTATCCTTTAATATCTCTAAAATTTTGGCGACGCTAGCCTACAAGGTTACATCAAAGCTTAACGCCGTCAACATGCATTAGCAGATCACGGAACACAGTTTGTTCAAACGAGACGGGTCAAGCTCGTTGTTTATAAACACCGCGGAACGTGTTAACTGTCGGCAATTAAGTGCGTGGTCTTACCAAATCGCCCGGTTCAATTAATACTTTGTCCTTCAGGACGTTTTAGAGAGACCTGCTCAACTGGGCGGTGCTGTCCTCTTGCAAGTATTAATAATAGTGAATGATACAATCAATTTCCTTGATAAAGGGGCAAGTGTGCGCTGGGCCAATATAAGTCCATTATTTAAACAGCACGTTGGCCGTGATAATTTAATTTCACAACGAAAGTACAAGCAACAAGATGTATCTTTTGATGGGAACTGTCGTGTTTTGCCTTGATATTGTGATCACATTGGCAGGCCGAACATGTGAGCCCATCAAGATTCCAATTTGCCAGAAACACTTGCCGTACAACATGACAATGTTTCCTAATGCGCTTGAACATCTCACGCAACAATACAGCAGGCAAAGGATTGAGCTATACAGTGACATCGTCGCTATCAACTGTTCGGCTGATGCAGGATTTTTCCTCTGTGCCTATCACCTACCCATCTGTGCACCAGAGTTTAAATCCAGGCCAATTCGTCCGTGCAGATCAGTTTGCAAAAAGGTCATGAGAGAGTGTATGCCTACCATCCGAAAATACAACCGGGAGTGGCCCCCCGACGTCGTTTGTAAGGACCTGCCATCCTATGAAAGCGACGTTTGCATCAAGCCTGAGTCCTTTGTTAAATCTGGTAAGTAAAATCAAGGCTGTATTATTTGCTTCTTAATTAAATCGTTCGTCTTAAAAATTCATCAGGATTATTCACTGTTCATTTGCACTAAGAGGTCCACTAAGCGTTTGATCTCGCAAAACGACAAATATACTCCTTTGTCGCCAGCCCTTCGGATTTAAGGGCTTGAAAGGAATGATCATGCAGTTAACGTTAAGAGTCTCAAATTCTTTAAATGTTTATCTAGTGTACAAAGTTACGAAATATGGCGTTGCTTTATTCAAAAATGTTCTTATAAACGGCGACTCACTCTACAGGTCATGGGTTACTTTTTTTTCATGCGCTTCTCTGAAACCGATCTTTAGGCTACTTTTACGCCACGTAAACTGACCCTATATGAGGTTGGTTAAATGAAATTTCAAACATTTGATTGACTGTCAACTTTTGTTGTTTCTGACTGGGTTGGCGGATTTTTCAAAGCTTTAATTAAACTAGATTAACCAAGCCTTGTAACTTTCAATTATCATTCGTCCGTTTCTTTGAATATCCAGCCTGTGAGTTGCTTCTATCCATGAATTAAGATAACCGGGTTTTAATTTGTAAATTCGATTCAAATAAAATATGGCCAAATTAAAAAACTCATAAAATTTAGGAATCGTACAGGCATAGAATCCTATGTCAACACAGCTGACTTTCCTATTAATTCACAGGAAATTACACTTTTCTTGGTGATAAATATTCAAACTGCCAAACAAATTTGTGGTCACGTTCCTTTAATTTGCTGTGACTCCAACTTCACGAATACGAAAGAATGCTTGCAGTCTCTTAATCCGAGTGTGATTTATTTGTAGGTAAAGACTTGTCAACCATTCATATCTGTCCATTGATTTTTCTCCGAAGTTTTGGAGTGCATCATTTGACTATGCCTCTCGAGCTCGCGTATGGCTTTCGTAGTTGAAATATTTCTCTATCTTTCTACTTGAATTGTAAACATTTGTGAACATCGTCGATAACAACCAAAAAATTGTCTCTAACGATGGAAAGGTCAAAATTATGTTGTGTTCTTGAATACCAAAACCGTGTCATAAAAAGTTCTAAAAATATTTTCAGTTTCTATTAATAAATTTTTACTTTTGCAGTGATATTAGATTGCTGCATTTAGGTTCAGCAATGTAGTTATTAAGCCAGCAGAGTTAACGCACATATGACTTCTTTTTCAAAAGCCCACAGGAATTGCGTGATGCCTTTAAATCATATCATATTCATTATATCCTTGACACAGCAGCTCTTCAGAAGCTCTCTCTCCCAGAGTTCATAGGGCAGACAGGAAATGATTGAAATCCATTTAAAAAATCTAACACGAAGTTAAGAAACGTGTGAAAGTTTGCTTGCCGATCCCAATATCTGGTAAAGAGTACAATGCGGACAAATAGTTTAGTCTGCTATTCCTTTAAAAACTTAAGACACTGGCATTGAAATCGGAACCAAAGAAGGAAGTTGCAAAGGAATCATAATGTACTAAATGAACATGTACTACATTTTTAGAACTACTTTTTCCTTTGTTTAGTTTTTTATTAGAGTTAAGCCTAAATATATTCCAAGTTTTTTGCGGGTGCGAGAGGTATTCAAGAGGCCTATCAAGTCTTTCCGCAGGTCCAGTCCAAAACTAATTTACTGAATACTGAAGGATTATTTCGGACACAGCGCGCGAATTCCATACCGTAGGGTTTTATTTTATTCGAACCCTGCCTCTATGGCAAGACCAACTTAAAACTAAATCATGTTACTGTCTGTTTTGAAGTATTTTCTTTGTCTTCTTTCCGTTCAGGAGATTATGTACTGTTTAGTTTTACTTGTAGAGAGAAAGCCTCGTTATGAGTGCCGTTTTCTTTCGATTTGCCGCCAATTCTTTTCGTCCATCAATCTCACTCCAGAATTTTTCTTTTACTTTGGTGTAACATTGAAAAGATATTACCTCGGCTCTAGAAAATGAAGCCCCTTTCAGAGTAAATTGCCGTAAACCGATTATTATAGTTATTAAAACTTGCCTACAACATTCCTAAAATTTTTGCGATAATTTAATTTGCTTAATAGACTGCACTTATTGGGATGCCTTTGAAAGGAAAACTGTTTAAACGCCGGCCACAGAACATGAAAGAAAACCGAAGTTTATTTTTGGTGAGAAGCCCTCGATAACTTGCTTTATTCTCAACATAGTTAAAGTAAACAACAACAGGCAGTGCATTGGTCTTCATGCGTATTTCTTTTTTACTTCGTCACGCGATTTCGACAGCAAACGCGGTGTTGATTATTGCTTAAGAAAATAAGTAAAATATCGACAGCCACTTGGCTAGAAACACGTTGATTATGCTGATAGGAGCTTTGAAGTTTACGCAAACGCGAAAGGTTCGCCTGAAAGTATTGAGATACACCAAGTCAACCGTATAGTGGAGAGTACCTCAACCGCAGATTGCGTGTAAAAGATTAGTCAGAGGCTGATCCACAATATTATTTCATTCATATGTTATAAGAGCATTATTACCTAAGTAATATTATTGTCATATTTTAGGGGTTACTGCGAACGATCTTGAACAAAATCGAGTATTTCGAAATAGATCTGTTTGAAATTTAGATGAGACACCTCGTTGCTAAAACGTAGCTGCGGAATTAGTTACAAAAAAAAATATAATAGCATGCCTCAAGTAAGTGGTATCAATGCTAGAGCTGTAATTGAAGTTGAAATACTCAAGTGGTATTTGGTTTTCTCGACCAATCAAAATATCGTATAAGGAATATATATATATATCAGCTTAGCTCTCAGGTATTGATTAAGAGATAAGTTAATGCTGTGCTAACCCAAAGTGACCAATAACTGATTTCTAAGGGTAGCCATCTTAAGTACCCTGAATTGATTTGTGAAATTGAAGAAAAGATCAAAGATGAGTTGCAGCACACTGTATCAGTGTGTTGATATCATCATAAACCTTAATATGGTATGAAACTATCAGAATCTAATTTTGAAAAAAGACAATTGCAACAACAACAACAACAACAAACAACGCAAAACAAACCAATAGGCACGTAAGCGATGAGATGCTGTTCAAGATGACAACTTGCGTGCTGCGTCGTTCAACGAAAGATTGAAGATGAAATCAACCCGTCCCACCCGTCCCTTCGCTTCCTCTGCAGCCTTGAAATCCTATTTTTCGCCATTGACGACGGTTTCCTCTCCCCATTACCCCAGTTCCCGATCGCTGTCGTACACACTCGCCGTTGTCGTATTTAAGGTCCCATTGTGGACGCGAAGGGAAAAGGGTTGCGTAACTGACTTTCCAGAGAAAGACCATGAAGTAGACTTAACATGAAATCATTCGTTTCGGTAACTTCTCTCTCACTTGAATGAATTTTGAGTTGACATCTCTCAAAAACCGTCTCCGATTTATGACTGTAATGGTCAATGGTCGACGGCGCGACATGGACAACGGCCGCAGTACCTCCCGAAAGTCTTAGGAGAACGATGTTTTAAATAATTGACAAAGTGAGAAAATCTCGAAACATTTCAAATGACTTGATCAGCAATAAAACTCTGTAAACTATGACGCTTCGTTGTTTCTCTGCGGGCCATACATCTTTTGAAATAGTATCAATTGCATTTTTTTTCTTTTGAATCTTGTTGTCTTAAATACAAACTTATCTTTTGATTATCTTCACCGTTTGTGTTGCAGTGTCATCCTGCAGATGCATCAAGCCTCGTGTAAACTACCAGCGGTATAAAAGGAATTCTTACCATTTCAGTAAGTTGTTTTGGTTTGCATTCCTAAGCTGTTGAATTATTTGGCCCGCATGTACGGCACACGTCTTTGAAACAGTCATTGAAGTATCTAGCGAAAACAATTCAGGGTTTTACGCACAGAATGATACTTGTTATCACACAGATGAGACCGGACCCACTTTTTCATGATATTTCTACTAAAGTGCTACGTTGGAGGCCTCGGTTCAGAATCCGGCTTTATTCGTCCTCACGATCATCGATGTGCATGCATTTTTTTTTTTTTAACAAAAAGGTTGCAAGGTCAAGTTTAAACGCACGTAAAGAAACTGTGTGAAAGCGTTAACACATATATTACATGCTTTTTAAATGCTTTACACAGGTCCTTTAAAATGTTTACCGGTATATAAAGTAAATGTGAAAACCATATTAGCTCTTTACGCCCTAAGATCAATATGCGTATTCTCCATACTGTTCTCGGTAAATTTTTCAAGGTAGTGACATGAAGAATTTGTCCAACAATCAAGAGTATCTTTAGTTGGTGATCATGTCTTTTATTGTCGTAACCTTTATGTGTGATTCAGGGGTGATATTGTTGGGAAAAACTAGATGATAGTCACTCTTAGATGTTAAAGGGTTAATGCCAGTAAGAACAAACGGTTTACTTGCACTGAGTTCTACGAGTGGGTAATTGTTTGGGTAATAAGTCGATAAAGAAATCATCAAGAACTTTGGATCTACATCAGTGTAGCCTTTTAATAACGATTTAATGAGGTTAACCGTTAGCCGTAAAATGGCCCAATTAACAAATTAACAAATTTTAACCGCTAGCCGTAGAAAAAAAAATAACCGTAAAAAATTTCTGGTGACAAAGATGTAATGCTACAAACTATTGGCCGTAAATTGGCCAAAAGTTTAACCTTTACCAGTAAAGGCCATTACCCCATTAAGACCCCCTTTTGTTTTAATAACAAGTCTTTTTTGTTTCTTAGTATGAAAAATTTACGACACAGCATCTAACTGCTACTTTAATTTATGTGCATTCCGTCCACAGTCCTAAAAGTATTCATCACCTCAACTACAGAGAAGGACAATGGCGGAGTAATAGAGGCAAAAATTGAGAGGATCCTACAAAAAAGCTCTATTCACTTGAGGAAGGGAGACTCTATTTACCTGCACAGGAATACCACATGCAACTGTCCACAGGTTCCCAAGGTAGACGCCTCTTTCTTAGTGGCCGGTCACGTGGTTGCTGAACAGCACAAACTCTACTTGTTTCGTGATACGGGTTTGATCGTCCCTTGGGAGAGAGCCTGGGTGGAAAAATTCAGAAAGTGGGAAAGACGTCTAGCAGTGAAAAGTTCTGGACGAAAAAAAAACAGGAGAAATAAAAAGTTGAAAAGAAAAGGTAAGCAGTTTGAGTAAATTCCAATGAATAAAGGGGGTAAGTTTCTAAAGAAAATGTGGTGCAGTGTCGGTGGAAAAGTATAACAGGGTAATTTAGTGTTATCAGCTGAGTTGATATCGTAAATTGGCCACAGGAAAGAGTTTCAAAGCAAGCGCTTCTTCATTCGCTCCGAAAAAGGGCCATAAAACGTCAGCTTTGAAACTTTGTGAGCATCTGCATATGTAACACGCGCAACATAAGTAAATAAATTATTATTACTATTATAACTCTTAACGGTGGCAAATTTACGTTATTAACTGAGTTGCTAATACTAAATTACCCTCTTAAAGTGGTTGATGGCTTCATTGCTAATTCTTGAAGGCAATTTCCCAAAACTTCTTTCAGTTGAGGGGAGGTTTATGATGATCTTTTGCTATTTTCTCGAATTACCAATCTAACCTTAAAAAAACGGCAATAGTGAAAAGGTGGCAATGTTTACTCTCAAAATTCTGATAAGTGAAAAAGTGGCCAATGCCACTTTCGACATTATAAGTCGAAAACTAACTTTATTTATTTCTTTTATTCTTTTTTCAAACAGCATTTTCATCCCCAAATCAGGGTCATTAATGGAAGATGAGTTTGATACAAAGTAAACATCTTGAAGTTCGTAGAATTAGACAGGATTACATGAGTCCTTCTTTTTCCATAGAATAATGTCGAGCTCACTAGATTAATCTCAGGGTATGAAGACTGCTAGCGAGAAGTTGCAACGGTTCTTAGCGAAGTTTTTGTCCTACGGACGAAAAATCAGTGCTAAGAGATGACGACAGCATTGTAAAACGAAACAAATTCAGCACTGAGAGAGGAAAATGATTTTATCAACACAATCAGCAACAAGAAACTTCTAGAATAATACGTAGCACAGATTAATTTTCTAATCGTGTATGGAATACAACACCAGTCGAAATTATCTTCTTGTTTTTAGAGGATCACAGATAGGTAGTTGATTTAAATATTCAATCCTGTTTTTTTTGTACGTTTTTAATAAGAAACAAGGATGTTAAGCTCTGACCCTGCCATAAATGATGATAATCTGGTTAGTTATATCCTCTCCTTAGAACGATTTCATGTGTTTAATATATGAGCGACTTGTGTGTAATTACTTAACAATCTTGTAAAGATTTAACGGTGTTTTGGGAAAAAAATATAATCTTTGATCGGTATCTCAATTTTTTTTTTGTATTCACTTCTGTCAATAGTTTTAAGCATGTAAAAACTGGCTTTTGAGGTTTAAATTGAAAAGAAGACAACCAGGGAAATAATTAGTGTAACGGTAGATCCATTCATCTGTTTTTTTCATGAAGACTTTATAAATATTCAAGACGGTGGACGGTTTCAAAATAATCACAGAAGTGGTGGGCAAATCCACGCACGCCCAACCGTGACACTTTCCCATAAAGTTCTCTCATGATTCAATTATATTAAGCGAACGGCAATTTTATAATCTTGGCTCAGCTCTACAAGAGATATCATGTAATGGGTCCTAAAGCATTTCCGAGATAATAAAACTGTAAATATATTTTGTCTGAGGTCACTGGAGAGTCATAAGTGGAACAGAGACAGTGAGGCTCTCCATAGTTATGATATTACCACTGTAATAAAAAACTTATCCATGTTATCATTGAGGTTCACGTCATTGATATTGTTTAATGCGTCCGCTGTTCACACCGACTATTTTCGCGATGCATGCTGAACGGTGTTGGTGCCGTTCAATAAGTACCTTCATGTTTTAAATTAATACAGTATCTTGTTTTAATTTTTGATACATTATTTTTCGATACCTAACATAATAGTCCAGCAAAGGAAATACCACAGGGTCTTAGAGAAATTTTGGTTTACAATCGTTTCATCCTTTTGCCCCGGAAAGTTTATTAACAACCTTTCCACACAAAACATGGCATGTATTTCCCTTAGAGTAAACCTTAATGAAAAGAATTCGTTTCACGTGTTCTATACGTTCCTTCGAGAGATTCCAAAATATAGGGCTTCGACCCAAGCACAGCAAACAAATGCAGTCACCTCAATCGAATATAAAATTTGCTGAGTTTTCATGGCCGCCTTAGTCTGACCTTGATGCCTCTCCTAACGCTAACCCTTGGTCGCGAAGAAGGACTCACAGAGGACTCTTTACCTCTACCCATCCCATATCTGCAGTAAGGCGAATTGGAACATTGGAGCTTTTTTCCAAACTAAAAACCCAGGCCTGAAAGAACACAACCATATTCAAAGAAAAACAAGAAGAAAAAAACACTCAAGGCAAAAACAAACAAGTAAAACTGCGATACTCAGCGCCCACTATTCACAAGCAAAATCAATCAAAGTCTACATTCAAGTAAGATCCACAATGAGTAGCTAAAGTATAATTAGTAACCTCCCCTTACTAATGGGTCTCACGGGCGAATAAGGTCCATTATTTTTGTGGGTGGTCTACAACCTTCTCGCAACAAATTAAACAGAAATGTTGTGATTCATCTTTAATAAGTTACTTGAAAGTTCCCGCTTTCCCTCAAACAATGTTAAAAAAAAAATAAATGACCATTGTTTTTTAATAAATAACACCATGCTAGCAACATCGAAGTGAGGGAGAGGAGGATATGAATGAAAGTTCTAAAAAAAATTTTAAAAGTATTAGAGCCTGCCAAGACTTTTGCTTCGCATTTTAGTCATAATAAATAAAGAATTCCGCATAAAACAGAGAATTCAAAATTATTCTCCTTCGCACTGTGCGATATGAACAACAGATCTACAGTATAGAACGAAACTGTTGACCTTACCTTGAGCTAGACAACGAACAAAACTCAGCAACGACAAATAGCTGAGGTTACAGTTGAAACAGTGTGTCCTCATTTCAAGAAATCAATTCAGACTTTGGTAAAACCGCGTTCTAAATTGATCCAAATGTGGCCAAAATTTTTCATTGTACGTCATGCATTTATTTTTTGAACGACTTGAAGAGGGTGATAAACAAAACACTAACCCCTGGCAAGAGAATACAGTTGTTATTCTAATGTCTTAGAGTCGTGTAGAAAAAAAAATGAAAACCCACCCTGTGAAGAGGGTGATAGACAAAACACTAACCCCTGGCACGAGAATACCGTTAATATTCTAATGCTTCAAATCCATGCACTACCCAAATGGACCTACTACCTCAAAAAAATCCTATTTCAAATGAGCCACGAAATCACTGTTTCCTTTTCCCCCAACTGGCGGCTCTTGAGAAACAAGCGAATACACATCATCTGCTAAAACAAGGTATAAGCATTTAATTTATAATCTATTATAATTTTTCTCTTTCCCTGTAAACAGTTTTCTGTTAAGGCTACCAAGATTACTGTAAATTTTCTTTCATTTTCGTCGTCGCTTATCGCGGAGTCTTAGAGTTGTGTAAAAAAAACCTGAAAAAAAGATATCTCAATCTTTTTATTGTTTAGAACCATGCCATAAGTTAAACTTCAGGTAAATAACCAGCCTCAAGAGAAAATAATTGGACATGATTGTTTTCTCTCAGGCTTGCCACCCCTTTGATACTTCTGCGGAACAAACGCGCGAATCATGTTTAAAAGAACAAAACTCGACTTTTTGATGAGGAGAATCATCGTTGCTTCTTTAGCTCGAGATTATCTATAAATACAGATAGATACATCGCTTGGAAAGTGTTTAATTAGGCAAAAGCATCAGCCTCCCTGTCTGACTTCACGATCGAAGTTCTATGGTGTTCCTCGATTTAGTTATATAAACAGAAAGTCGTGGGGTGTGAATGGTTTTTGCGATTCTGTTATTCCTTCGTCTGCGTTTGTAGCCTGTGATAAAAAGAGTTTGCCAAAAATTCAATCTGAAAAAAGTTTCCCTTTCCTAAGATTCTTCCGATTTTAATTAAACCCTATCATAAGACTTATACTAAATTACGACTCTACGATATGATTAAAATGATCGATCTTTAATAATTTGGATCGATCTACAACATTTCTTAGATGCACAAAACACGGACAAAGCTCTTTTACTTAGAAAAACTTAGACGTGGGATGTTTGGCTTAGTGTATCAAAGGCTATTTCACTCTTGTTGTTTTGCATGTTCTAAGCGTACTTTGCACGCATATTTTTATTTAACTTTTCTTTAGAGTTTTCTGGCTGAAATATTACAAGATTGTTAACCTCGTACATACAAAATGTCTCCAGATTGAAAGGATAATAGAAATCAGTCCTTAAAGTGTTTGCGAGGATAAAGCTTAGACTTTGTCTCTGTTTGGCATTGTGACCAAAGTTTCAAGGATATCATAATTTACCCAAATTTTTGAATGAGGAATATTTGAATTTATGACCAAGGTCTCAATTCGAAAAACGAAAAGCTTTCTAATCTTATTTTCCCAAAGCGCATTTTTGAAGTGATCAAGTTGTTCCTCATTGCTTCCACAAGAAATGAATTAAAGAATGCTTACTTCAACCCGCTGACATACTCGTGATTGTCTCCTCACACCCTCTCGTTCCTGGGTAATCGTAGTTTCTTACTTCCTTCACTTTTAGTCATCCCCGATTAGATCCAGAAAGTCTTGACATTGAAAAAATTCGCTCAATGCCTCTTATTCTAAGATGGCATCCATTTCCCACAATCGTATCGCCCTTGATTTGAGTTCCTGATGAACGAATTCACAAAGCTGTGGTGAATAAATTGCTGCTTAGCCAAGACCTCGGGAACATTTTTTCACTTTAGCCACCATAGCATTAACTAGACGCAGTTTTTCAGCAGTGTAAACTATTTCACTGGGTTACATAGGGTCAGGGACCTGAACTTACTCCGCTGACATCTTCTACGAGTTGGCGAACAGTGTACACTGAAAAAAAGGTGAAAAAAATGATAATAACGGATGAAAAACAGAAATATGAAAAAATTTACCTTTGGACTTGATACGACACTATACAACTTAAATTCATTTGAGCTTCCTAACACGATGAACGCTGTACGAGTTAGTAGAGAGCTAACTAGAGCATGAATTTCAGTCACGGGCAACGCCAAACGGGAATTAAAGGTGAACTCTGCCTCTCCAGTAACCCTTAGATATATCCTCTATTATAAAATCAAATCATTCCCGTGTTCACACTTTATGCAAATATTTACGTTTGATGAAAAAACTACTTAGAGATGACAGTAACAAATTTGATTCTTGAACTTTCATCGTTTATCATAAACGTCATTCTTATCCTCGCTAGTAACATGTAATACCATATTACGCAACATCAAATATGATATCAAACAGAAGTATTTGCTTGGGAATCTCGCTATCATTTTATTATAAAATTTGGTCCTGTTGTTGTATTTCGTATGAGCATTAAACAACGTGCACCGTTGAAGGTTCGTGTAGGTATCACAGGCCGTGCATCCACGAAGTGGAAAAAAGTGGTACCTCTGATACTGACTCAGTAAAAATTTTGGTCTGGTTACAGCACTGCTTTAACAGGATAGTTATGAATTTGTTAGGCTTATTACGTCTACAAGATCAGGTTTTGATACAGACTACTTTTGTGGTTGATTTTGTGCAATATCACATGCCTTTCCCATCGTTGCGTCACGAAAATCAGCTTTTAACTACGATTTTACTTGGACTTCTAATCAGTTTACTTCAGGGAAAGGATAAGTGCATGGCTGATCTTACAGATACTAATGGATTTGACGATGGTTTCGTTTGTTTACCATTGCGCAATTCTCGGTTAAAAATCAGTGAACTAGGATGACGCAATGTTAGACTTTACTAATGACTTCGCTGGTCGCATGGCAAAATTGATGAGGCTTCACCTTAAAGGTTCTTTCTGTAATCTGATAGTCTTACCTTGAAAGCTTCACTTTTGATGCTATCGCAGTTGCCCGGCATGAATATTTGTTAATAGAATTCGCATCGTTCAAACCTCAACAAAATTTGGCGACATCGTCTTATACACCCCTTGTGATCTTAATCGCGTACAAACATACTTCCTTAATAATCCATTTCAGTCTTATCAGCAGCGATTTACTGATTTACGTGATAAGTGTAAAACATTCCTTCAGAGGCTATTTGATAATTGGCGGTAAAAACTTAAAGAATAAATCGCAATTTTTCAGAAAAGTTTTTTCCGGTGGGCTAATTGCCAGGATTAAGGAAGCACATCTAGCATGGAGCTTTTAGACACCAGTCCCGTACTTTAAGGTGAGATCTAAACAAACCAAAGAATCTCTCGCTTTGTTGACTAAAATTAATGCAAGTCACAAAATTGCGCAGGAAGGGAGTTTTACTCTGAGTACGAGTGATAAGAGTAAACAGAGAGCTGTGCATACTTTGCGAGATTATTTTGATCAATAATCTTACATTGAGAAGATCCGCGGGAGTTTCCTGCTAGAAGAGTTGGAATGCTCCGTTGATTGAATTGGAAGTAATCTGTTGTCAGTTCTCATCTTAGCTAGTCTAAAATTAGCCCAATATCCTGTGTTACCTTCTCCACTTCAACGATAAGTATTGAACTATGCGCCTCTCATAAGAACAGAAAAACAGATGTAGGTCACGATACATCATACAATTTATCAGAAATAGTCTAAAGAAAAAGATTGCCGCGAGGTAACCATCGTGAAAACAACAAGGACTGATATTTCCCCTTAAAAGACGGAAGTGTTGGTTACAGTTAAAGTTTGTACGTGCATATCACTATGGTAACGGACATTTGAAAGCAGAGATGTATACCATGACACTGAAACCACAAAAAAACCGCTAGTCGCTACTCAAGGAGGCTAACAGTGAGCAGGAAAGTAAAATTCTTTCCGTTTCCGTTCGCTTGAACACGTCTCTAAGTTCCCCTATCGTTTGTCGAAAGACTGTGTTCGAGGTTTTTTCATTCGTAAACAAAGAAGATAAAGAAATGTCTCAAGTACATTCTATGAGAAGATATTAAAAAAGAGCAGAAATTCTAGTCAAAGCTTTGTATCTTATTCGGGCTTTGTTGGTGTCCTTTCTGTAGAGCTCGTGTAATGAGTGACGATAAAAATGATCGTTGAAAACAGGAAATTAGTTATTATAAGCACCTGCTATCGTTAGACAGACCAATCTTGTTGCTTGGCATTTTATGTGACTCATACCCGAGACTGCAATTTTCACAGTCCATGATCAAATCAAAGAACCAGGGAATTAGTAACCAAATAAGCTCCTAAAAAAACGATGCATCTGGAGCATTTCATACAAATTATTAGCCCTCGGGGTCTAATTTCGTCGTCGGCGGCTTTTAAAGATTGCAAGTGTCTCTTCGGATCCGGAAAGATGGATTTCACGAAAGAAAATACACTAGATACGTGTTGTCACTGGCATGTCGTGGCTCCTTTGCCTTAAAGCCCAAGGCTTCAAGCACAAGTACTGAGGCAGGCTGAAACAATGGACCACTTCAACGAAAATTCGGTGTCCATTTTGTAAAACATTTAAGGCAGTGCACTTGATAAGCTGCGTCTAAATAGGTCTCTTACTAATGATAGTATAAGATTCACTCTGACGAGGGGCTAACGCTCGAAACGTCAGCTTTGTAACTCTGTACGGTGGCCAATTTACGTTATCGACTCAGTTGATAATAGCAAATTACCCAGTTATACTCTCCCACCGGCGCAGCTCCACATTTTCTTTAGAAACCTTCCCCTCTTTAATGATAATATACATTGGCTTAGGTTAAGGTTTTGATGCTTTTACAAAAAATTTCTCAAGAAAGACCACCCATAATGATCGACTGAAACATGACTGTCTCCCTGCAGAATTCAGGAAATGGAAATAGATATCTACATTATCTCTAGGGATGACCTTTTAAGTAAAAAACATCTCGTTGCCGCCACCGTCGGTAATTGCGGACAAAATAACCCTCAAATCCTTCGTAATTACTGAAGTATCCTCAATACCCATATCTGTAACAGTATTACAAAGGCGGCAATGGTCAAATACAATAAAAACATTATTTGCATGGGAATTGGTCACGTTCACTGGCAACCTGATTGGACTCTCCTACAGGGAGCTGGTGCGTTTTTTATCTTAAATTCCTGTTTTCAATCATCAAGATTATCGTCAGTCATCAGATCTGTCCCATAGAAAGGACACCATCAAAGTACGTATAAGCATCGAGGGCGCTGAACATCTGCCAGCATGTAGAGAACTATATCTCATCCCATGGTTCTTTAACTTGTCTGTTTGCAAATGGCAAAATTTCAATTGCACTCTATTGGCAAATGATAGAGGAACTTTTTGGAACACGTTCACGCGACCGGAAACGGAAATAATTAACTCTGTTGCTTGCTTTTAGCCTGATTGGGTAGTGACAGGGGGTTTGGCGGTTCCTGTGTTATGGTGTGCATTTCTGCTTCAACTCTTTTGGGGATATGCTTGTAGACAAGTACATAAATTAAGGATGTAAATGTAACTTCCGCCTTTTAAACGACGCAATATCAGTCTTTGTTGTTTTCTTATGGTTACTCTCTGGCAACCTTTTTCTTGGAGTGTTTTTCTCATGACTCACTTGATATATCACGACTTACATCTGTCGCTCAAGTGAGAGGCGCAAGGTTCGATACTTTCGTTCAAGTGGAGTAGGTAATGCTAGATATTGAGCTAATTTGCTGATCGACATCGAAAGATATTCTGTCAGGATTCAATTTACTCAGTGGACATGCAAACTCAACTAGCGGGAAACTGGCTCAAATGTTTGCATTATAATAGCATTGATCAAATACAAACTCCAAAAAAGCCCAGCTCATTGTTTGCTTCTTACCAATATTTCTCTAAATAAAACTCTCTTCCAAGACGATTTCATGACTTAGAGTTATTTTTGGTCTTCTAAAAGGAAATTAATTTGCATGTTTAGCTCTCGTCCTCAAGGACCGAAATAGTGTTGGAAAGCTTAATACGTCAGATATGGCCACTTTGCTTTTGGCAAGTGGCCCGCCGGAAAATGGTTAAACGAATTTTAAATTACATGTTCTTATCGATTATGATTACATTCATCATATGAGACAGCACGAAATTTCGCACAGTTCGAACGATGCGAATTCTTGAACGGAAGTACTTGCCAAGCGACCGCAACAACAAGAATATAACAATTTTTCTAAGTAACAAACTTCACGTGACAATGCTGAAATAATGTTAGTTTGGGGTCATTACATGAACATTTAGTGTGTTATCACTAAGAAACTTCGTTTTAATCTCATTCATTGACTGCCAACTAGAAGAAACGGGCGATAATATGACGCAAATCGAGCTGAGTACCATAACTGGATCAAGTAAAAATAAAAAGCTTAGCACATTGCAAAAACAAACTTATAGTGCGGACGTAAACAAACCCAAAATCTTACGATAGCAATATCACGCCAAGGGTCACTGCAGTCTTTTTCACTTTTTAAACGAGTACATAGTCATTCATGTATGCAAGAACCTCGAACTGCAAATCCTGTTTCGTTTTATTAAATCGCAGTGCTTCTGAATGATTAGCGGTTTCTCCAGAAAAATCCTGGTGAAGTTTGATTCCATATTTGATACTGCTCAATACGTTATTGAACGTTACCAGATAGATTAATAAAGGAGTTTTCGGTAATCGGCTCGGGGCAAAAATCAGACATGTCGCTTTCGCCGTAAGCCCTTTGTCGCCAAAATAAACAGATGTTTAGTGCTCTCTTGGGTTGTACATCCCGCTTACTCTTGTTTAGTGCCAAAACTTGTAAACTCATACAGGACTAGATTCTTTCGTAATATCATTAGCGTGGATACTTTTCTTGTTAGAATTTGTGGGATTAATCTAATCATATTCTGCTCTCTTACGGATCACTGGAATGACTTCTAGACATGATTATGAATAACAAAAGTCAGAAATTATGATTTGTGCCAGGCACAAATCATGATTTGTGTTTGTGTTTGTTTCCGATTAGGGTCAACCTAAAATAATTTGACGAGTATTTGGCTTCCATCTCTTAGATCTTTAATTATCTTTTTGATTATTACCACTAACAAGAATTTCACCCGGTGGCGTCGTTTATGCACCCATCTTGTTATATAACGGGGTTGAGCTGGAGAGAAAGGTGAAGCATCACATAATCGACGCTTTGAAATCTTTATATGATTATTGACTTTTGAATTACAATGACTAATTCATATATTTTTCCTCTATCAGGATAATCACTACCTGTATTCCATAAAGCCAATTTGTTAATTTTACTCTGAAATACCGTATTAACCACCCACAACTTGGCGTATTGACTTCAATTAAACCAAGGAATGTTTTGACGAAAACACGAGTGGCCCTTCTTTCAATGCCGACTCAGACCCTAAAGTCATTCAATTTAGAAAGATTTGTTTGCAATGTTCTATTTTATTAAAATGAAGAAGCCTCAGAGAGTCATTACATGGAAACAATTTCCAAACGCTTTTTTCGTGTTATTTTCATACCATTGCGTCGTGTAATGAGCATAAACAGTTCCTCCTTACTTTCGTTTCAAATCACGCTACAACACAATTGACGACATAGTTGGCGAACGACCACTGTCCTCCTGAGAACCAACACCTTCCTGTCATCAAATATCTCCTTCTCCTTTATCTTGCCGCACCTGCTTTGAGTAAAAGACACCAAAAAAGTACTGGACCACGCTGCAAGGGCGTGACCTGGGGGCTCGACAGTCATCGCATGATGAGCATGTACTTACACGTACATGAAGAACATCTATCACTCGCGCGGTACAAAACTTTTGTAAAAGTTAAGATAAAACACAGTGACAATTGCTGTAAAACTTAAAACGAAAACTATCTGGTTATTTGATCAAACGGTACAGTTTCTTTTTCTTTTTTACACAGTATAAAGAACGCTCTTGTCGTGTAATATAGAGTCCTCTCCGCTTCTGCAGAGGACCTACTTAATGAATGCGATTTTGCTCCACAACGAGTTGCGAGTCCAAAACAATCAAATAAAGATTCCATGAACTGTGAAACAGGGCAAGTTGTCTTAGACACCTTGATTATGAAAATTGCAATTGAAAAGAGTGATATGTTGTTCACAGCCCAAAATACGGTGGAAATCATGCATTGTAAAGTTTAGGATAGAGACTATGCTCGAAAGAAACTTTCCAAAATATTCGGAATACGCCAAAGATGACAGAAGATAAGAGATTATAAATGGGCAATAACATGAAAAGAATTCTTCAAAATTCAGGAAAAGCGAAAGGGAAGTGTCTAATGCCCGTTGACAAATATATTAATGAAGGTATTATGTGTCTATCTATTCGTAGGAATTCAGAAAATTGACTTACAAAAAAACTTACTTACAAAAAGCAGATTATGTTAATACGAGACCAATTCTATTTTTAAGATTTATTTAATCTTTTCAGTAGTTTGACCTTCCCTCCAAGGTCACCTCGTCCTCCATAAAAGGCGCCACATCCAGTAAACATTAGAATCAACACTGTTCACAATGAATTTCCTTGTGATATTCATGTTGCTTCTTCCCGCGACGGTTTCTAGCGATGACATGAGAAAAAAAATCGACCATTGTAAGGACTGGAGTCGGAAGATCGTTAGGTGCAGAAGGCACATATTGGTTAAGGGGTATGGAGGTCCACGTAAATTTGTAAGGATAATGGTTCGAATAAGCTGGCGAAGTTTTCTGAGAAGGTACCGTTTCAATCCTAAGTTTCCAGACCTGCACGACATGTTCTATAAGGTCGACCAGAGAATTTGCCCACCCGATATATTTGCCTACACCTGTTCGCTGAACATCGCCACTTGTACTCATACGTTTCATATTGGTATGCCACTGAGGCCCTGCCGTGAGACATGTATGAATTTCGCAACCGCGTGCAAGGATAAGTACGTATCTCCTTCACTCCATATGACCGTTGGATTTCTGAGACATAACTGCAGATATCTTCCGTTCTATGACGATAAACTTTGCATGCAACCTGACATGCGTACAGGATGGACCTATGATCAATCATGGGATTGGTACAGTAAGTATTGAATATGTCTTACTTTGTGCTAAATTTCCGCCTTTCTCTACACTTGTCAGTGTAAACCTTGGGAACAATTTTTTTGTTTGTTTTCCCCGGACCGTAGACTAGATTTTTGAAGATTTTTGTTTGCTCTTCCAAAAAAAATTAGGCAGTTTAAGACTGGATATGGCTACTGATATAACACAGTTTTTATAGCATTGAAAAGAAATAAATGATGTATGATGACGCTACAAGGAGCGTTACAGAAAACTTTTCTCACATGCAAAACAGAAAACCTACCGCATTCCATTGCAATTCCATTTTTGAGAGACTTTTGTTTCACACAACAAGGCATTCCGCGTCGTAGGGTATTCCGCCATCCCACCATTCCACTACCGTTCTATCTTTCCGTTTAATAGGATCACATTTTTCCGCGTAGTTGAATTTTCTGACCAGTTCCTTTGATACAAGCTCAGTGAAAGTTCGTTGAAACAATTTTAGCGGTCAGACATCTATAAACGATATATTTTGGCGCGAAATATGCTCATTATGGAGTTCTCTCGCGAAATGTGAGTTTTCACCGTACTTGAGTCTGTCCTGACTGATCGACAGACACGACAGAAAAAACTGTATTCCTGCGAGCATAATTATATTTTTTAAAAGTTTGAAGTTATCGAACCTAAAAAGGTAAACTAAAAAGAAAAAGACTCAAAATAATTTTTTACAAAATTACAGATAGAGAGGATTACCAATCATTTTGAATTTTGACAATCTTGAAATGCAATGGTGAACTGGTGATAAAGTAGAGGAATAAAAAACGTGTAAAATGGGAAAGGAAGATCTCTGCCTAAACCCTCATTTCAATATTGTAACAAACATTCCCTCAGAAGCGAAAAAATTTCTGCATGTCCAGTTTTATACAATGAAGTTTGGTTGTCATTTATACTAATTGTTTTAAATTTTCTTAATTTTCAGTAATACGTAATTTTACGAAAGATTTTTATGAAGCCTTCTTTAGAAGCCAATATACTTTTGGTGAGTAATCCTTGATATACATATTTCAAAAACAATAGTTAGCATTAACATATACTTCACAGGTGAATAGTACTTTCCTCACGCACTAATCGGTTGGCTCGGAAGTTATTAGCTAGTATCTTTCACCTCCAGGCAGCCAGAGACAAAATCGCATGTCAAAAATTTAATTTCCGACCATTTTTGGAATATTGAAAGAAATAAACTACTTTTTGGGTTTGTGTATGTTATATACTGAGACAATTATTCACCTCAGTGTCAGTGAAAAATTGTCAACTCTGGAAACGGAACAAATGAGAATGTATACCACTGACCAACGCGATAAAACCAAATAATTATTTTTCATACCATGAAAACCAGACCCAAGAGTGTTTACTTAATAGAAAGATTCAGTGCCTTCGTTTTTAATGCCATTGTTATGGTCGACTATCATTGTGTCACCATGAGCACATATGCACATGTGTAAGTACTAACACCGGAATCTACGGTATCCAGTTTACGTTATTCACTACGAAGTATAACTGAATTGCGATATTCAGATATTCTTTGTTAAAAACATAAGCTGATTTATAACAATGTTAGAGATTCGGGTGGTGGGGATCTTTCAAGTAAATCGGTTAAGTTTCATGAGTGACCTTTTTGTTGAAGTTTGAGCGAGAGATTTTTGCGGCTGAAAGAAGAGGCGTCGGTCCACTTGGACATTGCAGTTAAACCCAGTTGTCGCAAATTCCAATATTCTCATAGACTGCCAGACACTGAATTATTATTATTGGCGTTACCAAAATCTAATGATAAAGATCATTCTATGAGCTAATCAAGACAACATCCCTATAATTTATCCTAGGGGACACCCTGGTTTAACGTTGTATAGGGAGTGGGGCGGGTCTGGTAACTCTGTAACGGTAACGGGCTGAGATGTTTGTGGTGTTATTCTTGGTTCTTTCGTGCTATGAAACCTAAATGAATGCAGCTGACTATACTCCTCTTTAACATGTTTCATTTCAGCTTTCACAGGCAAAGTTATTTCCATAAATGAAACCGGTCGCCCTGACAACCCGTACGTGACCGCGCGAGTGCAAGTGACCAGACTTATTAAGGAAGATGAGAGCCGTTCTCTTTCACTAAAGGTTATGCAATTCTATGGCGGAAATCGGAGGTGCCCCACAAGAGGCACTTACGCTTGCTATAGGGAAGGGGGAGAATTTGGCTTCTTTGGTCACGATAACATGGTACAAGGATTGACAATAAGCTTTAGCCTGACACTACCGGATGAACAATTTCTCTTGGACATAGTGGAAACATTGTGGAGGACGAAATACAAGGTAACGCCTGAAGTTCAGTTTAGTTTAAAAGACCCATTTTCGATTATGGTATTACAGTACGCTTCGATCTGATTGGTCGTTGTGATTACTTTGGCCTCGGTTTAAAGACGTTTAATTGCAAAGCAGTCTAATTTGGCAACTGTAAGTTCACTTTGATTGCTCAAGATGACAAACTCAGGGGCAACTGAGATAACACGGGACTTTTTCCGCAAGTTATAACACACTCAACAATGTCGACAAATTAACAACGAAAATTTTGAAATGGCTTATATCCCATCCACACCAGGCAAAAATGTTTAGGTTATTCGAGTTTTTCTGAAAGAAAATCATACACAGAGAACTCCATACATCATACACAGAGAACTTTTCCATAAGATTCAAGTAATCACTCTCTACCTTGTATTTTTAACATGCTAAATTTGGAGTCGAAAAACATTGGTTGAAGCAGCTTCTATGAGGATAACAAAATTTAAAAAAATAGCCCTATAACATGTTTAAGCTGTGGCGTGAACGGGGCATTAAACTATATTCCAGCCCTATGCGGCAGTGGAAGGGGGATTTGATTAGATGCAAATGGAAGGAGAATATAAAAAAACTCCTGTTAAGCTAACTGCATCTTGGTACTTTTTTAGGCTGAACTGGCGGAAATTTTAAAACAAAGACGCATAGAGGAAGAGATAGAGAGGAAGAAGGAGCAGAAGAAGCTGGAACAAAGGAGAAAAAACCAAAGGAAGAAGCCGAAGAAGACCAAGGAGCAGAGGAAGCTGGAAATGATTATTTTGACAGCTTCGGGCAGGCAACAGCATCAAGATGGTGGATGAAGCTGAATAAGATTGATACTTGCGCAACTTCAGAGGTCCCTGTCTACTATTTCTTAACCTTTTTTAGAAAAAAAATTTATCGCCGGGGGCAGGGTGTTCAGTGACAATAACATTGATTTACACACAACGGTGGGTTACGTGCAATCGTTAATGTTGAAACTCTATGCAGGTAATTGTAACATAGTTTAAATTATAAAAGAAACACTCAATATCCTATAATCCCCCTTAATACTCAGTTAAAGACCACTGATCCCCCCACCGTTCTCCCTTAAAAGCATGTAATTCTCCAGATCCTCCGATCCCCCGATCCCCCCGATCCCCGGCCCCCAGCCCCCAGCCCCAAGACCCCCCGACCCCCTGACCCCCTTCTTCCGAGGTGATGAATAGTGACTGGCCTTTATTAGATTACTTTTGATCATTTTAGAATAACGTAAAAGGCGTCAAATTTTCATCAGTTGTATCCACCGATTAATCATTGCGCAATTAGTTGTATAAAAAATAGTTTGAATTCACGCGAACTTTACAAATCAGAGGCTTTTTAACGCCAAGAAGGGAAAGTCAGAAGACCCAGGAGAATACTTCTCAACAATATTTTACTCTATCTTTGAGCTAAATCTCTTTATAGAAATTTTAATGTTTTTAGTTTTAGACGCCATATAAATTATATGTAGTCTTTCTTGCTGCTAATTGTAGTTCTTTTATTATCAAACAAACGTTTGCATCCCAAACGAAGTTTTCAGTTTATTCTTCTACAATATAGGATTGTGCCTGTACATAAAAACTCTAAGATAGCTTTATGACCCTACCCAAGAAAATATAAATAGTGTCTTGGCCCTACCTTAGATTTAAGATTTTACCTTTAGTTAAGATTGAGTACCTGAACACATGTATGCGACCAAAGAGTGCGTCACTAGTTGTACAGTTAGGCTGTCTCTCTGAATACAACTATTTCAATATGCGGGGCCATCTGTAAGGTCAGGTTTTCTTTGAGGGTAAAACTATGGATACTTTACATTGCATGACCAATTGTACAATTAGGGTCTCTTTGAGTGTAAAACAGTGGACATTTCAAGATGAACTAAAGGACTTGCTCTTTTGATTAAAAATGGAAGTGCAAGGTTACAGAAGTATCTCCAACGTGTGGTGAAAGTGCGGCAATCAGTGCTTTTTTACATGAAACTGCTGGAGGAATACCTAACAATTCGGCGTAGAAATAAACCAAAGAAACCTAAGTAGATATCTTAGGCTTTACATTGAGGAAAAACTCGCATAAAAGGCCCACATACATGAGCACGACACTTCAATTACGGAGGCTTGCTTGGGATGGTCGTCTTACCAGCTGAGCAATAAACTTCAAAAAGTACCAAATCGAGCTACCAGAGTGTACAAGTTGTCACTTTGTTGTTAAGCTATGATATGAATTCAAGATACGTTTTAACTCGCTGGTTGGAACAAAATATTCCTTATAGGGGCTAAACAAAAAGCAAACTGAATAAAAAAGGGAGCTAACGATATAATTCCACCTTGATTCTATGTAATTTCTATCAGCCGAGAATATCGAGTTATATGTTCTCCTCGACGCAAAGGAAAGCAATCCCTTTCAAAACCAAGATCTTACCACCTGAAGAGGCGTTTTTCCTGCCTGAGGCACTAATTTTTTCTTTTTTTTTTTTTTTTTTATCACGGGGGTGATGGGGGGAGGGGAAGGGCGGGTTCTGGTTGTGTCAAAATAAACCCCCCTAAACCCCCCCTGAGGCAGTCAAGAATTCTTATTCTCCCCTCATTGGCATTCAATGTTCTTTTGTTTCCCCCACTCATACTCTGTTAGTGACTGATCCCCCCTCAATTCCCCCCAATAGCCATGTGCTTCCCTCCCCCCCAAAAAATTTATTAAATCCTCCAATTTCTCTCCACTCCCCCCGATGAATAATGACGGGTCCCTAATTTCCTCAGTCTTCTTTCAAGAGAAGTATTTAAGACGATTTTCTGAAAAGTATTTCCGCACACAAAAAAAATGTACTAGCCGGTTGTAAAGAATTTTTTAATTCCTCTTTTTTTTCTGACCGACACATTTAGCCGTGTGTAGCTCGGTAAAGTTAGCCCATGCATGTAAAAGATTGAACTATTATTTGACTAGCGTTCAATCAACAATTTCTTTTCCGTAGTGACTTGAGCAAACTCCGCTCTCTAGGTAATTGATGTCTGAGCTTACTCTGCAGTTAATGTACTTTGCGAAGATGAAACAACCCACTTTCTTACCATTGTCTTCTTTTGAATTTTTTTGTCGAGCATGGCCCTTACTAATGCGTCTTCGCTGGATAATCTGCGGTTAATTAGACGACATTTCTGTGAGACGTCACTTTTTCCCTCCAAGTCGACTACTTTTGCGCGAGGAAGATCTTTGTCGAATGTCACAAACATTCTTTTAGTTTTATTATCCGTCAAATTTGGTAAACTTTTGCTGCATTTGTCTTGAACTGTGGGTAGCGTAAGTGAATTGCTTGTTCCCCTGAAATAGTTGCTCGTGGTTGGACGAAATGAAAGAGAGCTGTACCTTTGGGGCATCAAATTTGGCGTCACACAACCTGCGCGAATCGTTGATCTGTTTTTGCTGACGTTGACAGTCTCTTGTAAAGCACAGTCTAGTTGGGTGACAACTCGGGTAGCGAGGTATTCAGTAGATGCAACATTCATTGCAAGAGTTTCTGTAGATGCCACTGGTGAGTGCGATCTACTTAGAATGGGAGATGACCTAGTGGAGGAAATTGTCAAATTATTTCCCTGTTTTCCGGGAACATCAATTCGTTTTTTGTGTAATTTTGCATTATTTCCCCTTGCCTTTTGTCCTTTCTCCAGGAGTAAAGCATTTAACAACTCATCATCCGAAGACTTGATCTCGGAATCACCTTCGACTTCAGGGGAGGGCACCCCTGGGAAATGCGTGGGAAGTTTAACTTTGCATTGTCTTCCCGATAGTAATGGAAGCTCACGTGGTGAACCTGAGGACATCATAGGTGAAATAGGATATGAGCCTCTTCGTAATTCAGAGACTGAAGATAATGGAGGAAAACTTGCATTAAATAGTTCAGATGACTTCCTTCTTGCATTCATTGCTTTTCCATTAATCTTCTCTTCCCAAATTCTGGCTGGAAAGTCTGCTGTTAAAAGGAATTTTTCATTCAATTCCCATGCAGATTTAACATTGGCTTTTTTATTTTCTTTCTCTTCTATTATCTCTACTTCTTCTAAGGGAAGAATAGCAATTGTGTTCCTGGAATTGTCTTTCTCCGTTTCCTCGTCAACCAAATCACTTTCTTCTCGATTTTCAATGCCTTGTATCCTTGGCGACCCTTTGTCAACTGAAATTTCCAAATCACTCGAATTGCTCTCATTTGAAATCTTCCGCATCAGAAATTGATCGTTTTCGTTTAATTTCTCCAAACTTGAAAATTCTTCATCACTTTCAAGTTTCACTTCCTCTGCAAAATCAGTAACGGCTGACGTTGGTCGAGAATTTAAAGATATCATGCTGAGAGAGTCATCAATGCTTTCCTTGTCAAAACTTCTTAGCTTTCGAAAGTCGCATCTCGCAACTTTTAGCTCTCCTTCACTTTGCATTTCATTAACATGCTTTTCTTCGGGGTAACTGCAAATTTCTGAGGCATTTCTTTCAATCGCTGTGTTTTCTTGAATTTCTGCCTCGTATCTGAATGTATTCCCTTCGTTTGTCGCTGCTTTTGTCCTGCTAAATCTTGTCTTGTTTCTGCTGTCAGCGCTCTTCCTTTTCTTCTCCTCTACCTTTGGGTATTTCCTTCGAGTTGCTTTTCCTACTTCTGTTTTCTTCAACATGATCAACGTTTGTACCCTTATTGCCTTTAGATGAAGTCTTCCACAAATCTGTTGAAATATGTGTTTCGTTTACACATGAGCGATACAACTCCTTGTATTGCTTCTTATGACCGTCAAAAATATCATACTATTGAATTTAAACGATATAAAGTATCAAATATTGGGCCTTTACTTACAATTATCTCAGAATACGTATTTTGAACGAAATTTTTGGCGACGCAGATCGAGGAAACCCATTAAATGTTTCGCATGCTGTCATCATTTTGAGTGATCACTGTGACAGGTGAAGCAGGTGACTAATTTTCTTCCATAGTGTTATTGCCTTGCACCTCAGATGCTGAGACCTCGTTTCAACCAATAATGATCCCTCTCTTGGTCATTACGACACCTTCAAATTATTCCTTAAGGAGTTTTTATTTCAAGGTATTGTCGGTCGTGTATGTTGTTATCAGCTGGCACAAGGAGTTCGCGCATACCCGCTGAATATTGCTAATAACGTATTGACTTCAAAGTTATGCAAATCAGGGAGAATGTTCTAGCACACGCGTTTGTGTTAAATTCCCAGGAAGATATCATTTACATTTTGAGGTTTTCTAAAGGACAATGGAAACTGAAAGAAAACATAAATAATAAAAATAAGAAGGATCAAATGAAGACACTGATGAGTTATCAGCATAACTCCATTGACTTCAATTTAATTTCTCTAGATTCAACTCAACTCAACTTAACTCCAAAAACTTTGAGTTTTTTATGGACGAAAACTCAACTTTCGATCGATGTTATTAATACGTGTGCTTCTTCGTTTTCCTTTCTCTATATGTTCATTGTCTCTTTCAGTCTTTAACTGTGCGAAATTCTTAAAGTAAAAATTGATACAAGACAGTTTTCAGTTTAGCTTTGGGCAATTTCGAACAAAGTTGACGATCCTTAAATTAATGTTATTTAAAAGGCGATTGAGAAAGATATGGTTAATAATAAGCAACTTCATTTTTTCAATTCAATTCTGTCAATGAAGACAAAGTAAGTGGAAGATTACCTTGGCTTGTAAGCTCTAATTATAACCCGGGCATAAACCACCCGGCGTGCAACAAAAAAGCACTGCTTGATTTCAATTTTATCCTGGGCTTATTTAGTATCTCTGTTTCAAAAATTTGAAAATAGTCAGGACTACCACCAACGTCAATCATTAGTCATGATTTAAACAGAAGATACACATTTGACACATTTGCTATTCCAGAGGAGGCTGATTGATTAATTTGTATAACTAGCACAGGAGTTTCATTTGCCAGAAATGAACTTCATAATGAAGTAGGTTTTGGAGTCAAAGGATGCTTTCTCAAAGAGACAATTATGAGATAGCGTGTTGTAAAAACCACTTCATCAAAGATATCTCAATAAGACCAAATTCAAAGTGGAGACCTCGTTTTAATTCTCAAAAAAGATTCCTAAATATTATGAGAGCGACTAGTAGGAATACGAATTGTGCGCACTAATATCCTGTATACCATTTAAGAAAAAATAACGCAAGTATATAAGTATTATAAAAAGGAAACCGTTGCAAAAAAAAACAGCTCGGACAACTACAGAAATTTGCTGATAATGAAAAATATAAGTAGATATAAAAATATAAAATTATTCCTTCTAGGAAATAATTATTAGATAGTTCTTCTGATGCACTTCGAATTCCAATTTCAGTGACTGTTGTTTGGAGACGAGAGAACAGTTAGAAGATCATATATGTTACTTATGATACCTGGGAGAAAAATTATTATGGGTAGCAACTTAGCTCATTCTTGTTACACCTGTTAATCTCAAATTGACCAATCGTAGATTAAGTCAGACATTGTTACAGATTATTTCTGAAAATACACACCGAACATTTTTTAAATATCAATAACATTTTCTCACCTAAATTGAATTTCAGTTCAACAGTTAAGTCGATTTTTATGTTGTTTCAGTGCTTCTCTTTATCATGTAGCCTATCGCAAATCTGGGCTCTGTTAGAGCACAAGACTGGCCAATCAGAAGTAACTTCTAATAAATATGGCCATTTACTTTGAAGGTCTATGAAATGACTGAAAATTATTTATCTCGACAGTATGCAAACAGCTTGAAGCAGAGTAAAACACCCTACTTGCAGTCATCCAATAGATTTGATACGTTTTTTACTGATTGAAGCTGTTGAAAACCACCCCTAATGACTCAGGTGTTCTAAGTCATTTTGTGTGACTCATTAACCAATACATTTTGTGTGTACCTATAAGTACAAGACCTTCTTTTCCAACGTTGCTTTGTAAAGACAATTTTAAGGAACTTTTAAGTAAGCAGTTTTAATGAAAGTCTAATGAACAGTTTAGGTATTGATCCGAAGGAACTTTGACAACAAATTAAGCGGCCAATCGAGAGGCGATGCAGAGGCGCGATTTTAAGAATCTTTTAGGATGGCTATTTTATGGATCTTTTAAAGTGGCGATTTAAATGAGCACTAAAAGACCATCTTAATTGGATTTGAACCGTCAGCTGTCAAACACCCTAAAATTTATAAAGGGGGTAAGTTTCTGAAGAAACTGTGGCGCTGCGTCGGTGGGAGTATAGCAGGTAATTTAGTGTTAACAACTGAGTTGAAAACGTAAATTTGCCATAGTAAACAGTAAAAAAGCAGACTTTTTGAGCGTTAGCCCTTCGTCAGAACGATTGGAGGAATTGTGGGTTGTGTGTGGGCTTATATGCAGAAAGTGAAGCTACGCTATTGGTGGGAGTATGGTGACGAGAAAACAAGAATAAATTAGTTGAATGAAAAGCGCTCGTTGATAGCTGTTAACTGTCAAAAACGGTAGTTTTTTTTTACTGTCAACCGTCAAAAAAGGAGTTCAATAGTAAACGCCAAATGGCGTTTACCACGTTAAAGGCACCTATAAAGTGGCGAATCGAAGGAAATTTAAAAATTGAAATTTAAGGAAAAAAGCTAAAAATATGTCCTCTCCTCTGAACGTGACTAAAACAGATGATGAAGAGTTGCACAAGATTTGCATATTGCTTGCGTTTTCAATAATTGTCTAACTATTAAAGGGAAGAATTATACAAGTCTAGCTTACCTTGGTCTTATTCTTTCTGCAATCGATCCCTACCGAGGAATGCAGCCCTCAAAAGAGAACAGATCTCGTTGGTTGGTTTAGCAAGTAGAATGTTTATAGGAAGAGATATAAGTCTTGCAACCGAGGGTTGGACTTTTTTCAAAATGCAAACAGACGTTAAAACTCAGCGTGGGCGCACCAGATGTTGGCCCCTTTAATTTCAATACATAGATTATTCCCGTTTCAATTAAACAAAACACCTCAGGTGTTGTTTTATACAACTGCTAGGAAAGACAGGAAACGCTGAGCTCATAACGATTTTCATCATTTTTATCGAAGAGAGTTTAAAATCTTAAGGAATCTTAAAATAAAGGTTTTTCTATTGGGTTGTATACGCAATATCATTTACCAACTTAAATTTAGAATTTATTTGTAATTGCATGCAATGTAGCTTGAGGAAAGAAATACGTTGTCTTTCCAGTTGAACTGGCTTTGTGACATTTAACTTTTGAGACAATTTAAGACTATGGTATTCGATACCTTTTCACTGAGAACAAACCTCATTGACCTCAAAACTTTGGTACTCTGCAAAAAAGTAATTTCAATATTGAAGCAGAATTTAATCATCCACTAGGCATTGTTTTTATTTCGGTTTCCCTTTTGTCGGGACTCAGCTCTTGAAACTTTTCACCAATCAAATATTGAGGAACGTAGTTTAGAAATAATTTTAGGTTGCTCTAAAAATGCTTCATTCATTTCCATCCAAATGATTCTCTTCAACTTAACTTCACGAGAAATTCGATCAGCAGCTTGGCAGAAGAGTGAAAAGCAATGCTATCGATCCCAGGCCTCTCCCGATACAATCAATGTACAATTAGCTGCGTTGATGTTTCTTATAACATTAGCATAAAGCTCTTGTGCAGCAAGCAAATTACTATATTTGCTGTCAGGCTATTGGTCACAACATAACGTCTCCAGTACATCACCTGGTAATTGAGCTGGGCACTCAAGATGCTATTTATAAAAGCAAAATGGGGAAATCACAGGATTAGTTGCTACTTGATCTAATTCATTCTACAATTGATTCCTAGCGAGCGATGCAACCCTTCAAGAGCCAACCCTTCTCCTTAGTTGTTAATGGAAAAAAAATCTCCCTTTTTTCAATTGCTGCTTTTAAAACTGACTGGATACATATTTTGCTTCTTCAAAACATCAATCTTCTTGATTCATATGGGACTGACCAGTAAAAGTTGGATCCGGGAAACTATGCAAGAATTTAAAAAACAAAATTTTGAAAAACAGGGGCAGCGTAACGGCAATTCAATTGAGTCCTCCGAATCAAAAGAGCAGAAAACGACATTTTTTTATGAATGTTATGATCTTCCTCATGCCGCTTTCCTGAGTAAATGATCGATGCTTAAAAAGGAAGCTACCACCAAAATAATTAATTGAATTATCACAAGGTAAATCTTGATGTGGCGTCCTCTCGGCTGTCGTCAATGATAAAAACCAAGCAGATGCCGGAATTAAGCTTATTTTATTCTAAGCTGCTTCGGTGTTTATCAACTTCAAGAGAATGTTCTAAGATGCTTTATCCGGTAAAAGCTCGAGAAGGTACAGTTTGGTGGTGGTTTCGAAGGGATCTAATTTAGTCTTTTACAAAATCTTTCTGTTTCATAGCGATTCACTTTACAATCTGGCGTCGTTTTCAAATAACCGTGAAAGTTGCCCTTTCAACGAAAAATTGTGGTTTCTGATGAACAATGTTGTGGTTTTGGCATTATTGCATTAGATTGTAAGCTTAACTTAATGAAACTGAAGTGGCAAACTTAATGAAAATGAAGCCGGTACCACCTTGAACAACATTTACTAAATTAATCTATATGTACAGCTTTAGGAGCTGTGGAATATATTGCAATAGTAAGCATGCATTATTGAAAAAAGTACAACGTAATTTTTTTATTTTTCATCAGATGACAGCTTCTTTTTTTTGTAAGGATTTGTCACGCGCTAGTGTTAAAACACCGACTACTTGCTGAATCACTAATTACTTCAGTAAGCAAAGGCGCTACAGAGATTTACATGATTCCCTAAGAGGCACGTCATAGTTTGCGAGTCTTGCGGAAAAGTTATAGAAAGTTTGGCCTTGTATTTCTTTATTCCAGCTCATTGTCCTCTTCACTTTTTGGCCCCGTTTTCAACGACTTCAGCGACCTCCCACCTTAAGAAAAGATGACATACAAAATTACCATATATCTAACAGATTCTCTACGTTTGACACATATTTATCAAATATATCGTGACTTCTCAAAGACAGCCATGTTTGAAATTTCCGATTTGGATCTTCAGTTCGGCTCAGGAGTAGTTGAAAAGCTAAATTAGCCTATTATATAAGGTCAAAGTAAATCGTATTTAGTTGCTTAAACATCTTGACTTCCTGATAGCTTTGCATCGAGCTTACCAACTTCTTTACTAATCTGAAAGTAAGGATAATTTTCCAAAGATAACACAACGTACTCATCAACTCCCTCAACAAATAAACCATTCTTTGTATTCAAAGGAGTTTTCATGACAGTATCCGAATAAACTGAAGCGTATTATATTTTGAACCGATTCGTAATTTACATAATAATGCGCTTGTTGAAGCGAGAATTACATCACCGTTAATCATTTGTGTCATTCTTTAAACAGAACAAGATGAAAGTGATATAGCATTTATGTTTCGTCAAATAAACCAACAGATACAAGCTCACAGGCTCCTGCTATGGCACATCGTCAAAGGAGGACAAGTGTTGCGGGAGTATTCAATATAGCAATCGAGGCAAATGACCTTGCGCAACTCAAATTTGCATTGAAGTTTCACAAAGCGAGGATAAATGAACAGGACGAGAAAGGGAGCACAGTCCTGCATCGCAGCTGCCTCTCTGGTCAGTTAGAAATGGCTCGGTTGTTGATGGAAAATGGAGCGGAGTTAGAGCTGCGAGATGAGCGCGGATGGACTTGTTTGCATTACGCAGCTTTTGGCGGACATGTCGACGTAGTAAACTTTCTAATTAACTCTTGCGTGGATGTAACAGCAATGTCGCAAGAAGGTCAACTTGCTATAGATGTCGCAAAAGGAGAAGGAATAGTTTTCCTTTTAGCTTCAGCGATTCTTAGAGCTGGGAAAGAGCATCTGCTTCTACCCTACATGGACGGGTCAACATCAAGCTTGGAAACTGAGAGTTTACATTCCAGTGGTGATGTTGAAAACTGCGAAAATTGGACTCCAAAAGCTAAGAGAGCTCTTTCTGAGGAAGTTTTACGCGCAAGTCAGCAGTTTCTTGCACAGAGCTTTGGTGCGTATGTAGATGAGAAATTCAACTTGAATTCAAGTTTTGGCAAAAGTGGCGATAAGAGTGACGAAAGCCTTCACGCTGCTCCCGAGAAACCAAAGCTCACAAAGAAAAATTCATGCCCTCGTCTCAAGAATGACCCACAACCAGAAGAGGCACCTCGGAAGAAACCCCGCTTGAAAAGTTTTAATTCGGCTTTCTCTAGCGATGTTTTGAAGCGTTATGCTGTAAGTGAGACAAATTTGTTGGGAGAGCAAAGCGATCTAAGTCAGAAGGAAACTGGTGCGGAAATTAGTCGAGCTCCGAATTGTTCAGACCTGAATAACGTGGACTCAGAAACTTGGATTTATTCGCTGTGACGACAAGAAAGAAACAGCGGGCGGGAGGACCAGTGGCGACAATTTATTTCTAATATCACGGATAATGAACACACAGAAAAGTGTATCGCAGCATGAAAAGCGGATACAACTACTTTACAACATAAAGGACTTCTTAGGATAACAAGATTTAAGATCTCAAAGCAGGCCGCTGAAACATTACTTCACCAAACACTATCTCCTTTTGTTTGACGTTTGTAAATAAGTTAATGAAGACACGAACTAACACTTCAATCAAAGCATTTCTTTAAGAGCAGATGAGTTCTAGTTTGTTACTTAATCGATGTGTTAATTTTGCAGTTCTATTTCCATAGTTCTAAGACATAACATGTATGTTTTGTTTTCAGTATGTTTGGTTGCCACGGATAATGGAGGAAGTATTAGAAGCCTACACCTGGCTTTTGAGTTAAACACATTTCTTTTCTATATTTATAAAACATTCCAGAGAATCGACATGTTTTTCATGAATGCATCAGTTAATTGACGTCGATAGTATATTGAAAACATAATTAACATTAGTAGTATAAAGCATGTGGAATTTTTTCATACCTGTCATATAATACAGTGTAAAAAATAAAATAAAACAGGAAATTGTATTATCAACCAAAATTGTACCATTCAGCCGATGTGAGTCTTTATTCTCGTCAACTAGTTTCGAAATTAAGTAAAGAAATTCTAACGAGAACTCGCAGTTGTTTAGTAAGATAGGGTCACTTGACTAACGGCATGAGATGGCCGCGCGGAAGAATTTAATATGACGAATGTCAAGTCATGGTGATATTGTTTGGTCGAAGACGTTGCTTCTGTGTAATACCGTGATTTGTGTCGCAAAAGCTATAGAATTTCCTACATTTTGCCTGTGGCATCCCTTAGCTAAACAAAATGACGGTTTATTGAAACTCTTCACATTGGACAAGAGATCCAATAAGGATTTCAGCTGATTAGATATGAAGAAAGCATTCAACTCAAGTTTACGTAGTTACTTGTTCTCACCAACTAATGTCGCTGTTGTATAATTTTTCAATGCCCTATTAATACTCACACTGAGTTGCATTTGATTATAGCAAGCCTGAAATGGTCAATCAAAGTGTCATCATTGTTCATAATTTACGGCATGTTGAACTACCCGGTCAGTTGTGTAGATCTAGGCATGTAGGCATCTCAATCCATATGAAACATTTTGTTTAAAAAGAAATCAATCGCTGGCTACAATAAACGACCGATATAAAAGACACGCCCGTCCGATTTCTCTTCCCCAGCGATGGGCGCGATGATAAAAGCAAATTATTTGCATCCCTTTACCTTAATTTCCTGAGGTAATTTGAGTTGCCTTGCAATCGGTCAAAAGTCAGCCACCCCTTAAACCAATTAGAAGCGGACCTAAAACAAATTGCGACTTGTTCACTTGTGTTTTCCTGTGCGCTTCAAGTAGTTTACTTATTTCTACTTTTAAGTTATTGTTGGATAATGATAATGTTAAATTTTCTTGGACTTGGGGAACATTTTGGTTCGGGCGCTTCGACACTAAATAGAAAATGGGTTTGAAGTATTTTGGGGGAATCTCTATGGAGCTAAAAAGGTCATCAATTTAAAAGAAGTATATAATTTTGGTATGATACAGAAGAGAAACACTTAAGAAATGCGCCTAGATCAAAGGGGGTAAAAAGATTGATTAAGGATGCGAAGGACAGAAAAGGAATGAAAATTATAAAATTGAAAATCTGAGCTAAATTTTTCAAGTTGCTGCGAAACGTGACGAAATACGCGGATCAACTGTTTTTAAAGGAACTGTTGTCCTGCATTGGTAGGCGAGCGAGACAGTTTTTTATTATTAACAAGCAGTTGATAAAGGCAGATAAATCGTTACGGTGAGATTCGAAATGCTATCGTTTTAAGCCGGTCAACCCTTTGTCGCGGAGCTATTTGGTCCCATCAACGGCTAACACTCGAGACCATGGCGACTCAGCCCTTTTTTCAATTCGCCATGGTGGTTTATAGGTGGTTTTCAACTTGAAGTTGATGGCTCACTCAGTAGCTCAGCAACTTGCTGACCTCCTGTAGAAAGTCACGCAGATATGTTTGAATGACGAAGTGTGTGGGTGACTGTGAGCGTCAATGTCGCCGGTGTGTGCACCTGCGAGGTAAGAATTAGCATTCTTATAACAGGATTGTAAACACATATATGTTAAATATAGCAACTCGCGCACAATACGGGCTGAGCTTGAAGCTCCCCGCTAACTTTCAAGTTTGCAGGCAGATAAAAGTTGAAAAGCTTTGTTTTTTCTTCGAAAGTTGAAAAAGTCTCTGTAAGACTTGCAATGATTATAGTTTTCTATTATTTTCGGTGTTTGAAAATGATCTTGCAACGGAGAAGCTGGGATTGTCTGTAACCTCGCATTCAGATCCTATCGTGTAATTGTAAGTGACCGTAGAATTGAAGGTTTGGGCACGAGACTAGACTGCCTGTTAAGAAGATGCTTCGGCAAGCAGGTGAGTTTGAATGGTTGTCAGATATACATTTAACATACTGGTATGTTCAAACCTCAGCACTAGGGAGGAGAAAGCTTTTTGTGCCTCTCTTAATCGTGTCTATTACGTAATCTGTGCAGAGGTGCACTGAGATACTGCTGGAATGCTTAGCATGTTGTATAAAGGCATTATGTAGTATTAAATTATAATAAGAATTAAGCGCAAACAATGGTCTGCATACTGTCGTGGTCTTATCCCACAGTCATGTTATGAAAAAAGGGCATAACAACTTATTATTTGGGCGCACGTTACGCGTCATTCATGGAAGGGAGAGTTATGGGTGTAAAGATTTTATTTCTGGAAATGTATTCAATTCAAGAAGATAGTATCACTATAACGCTGAATTTTCCATAACTCTCACGAGGAAAGCTGACTAAAACCTGGAGGAAAACTGCAATTCTACTAACTGTTAGCTAGAACACCTGGTCCCCCCAAAGGGGTTGACTAAGTGAGCGCGATTATGGCAAAAATGTCAACAATGATAAAAAAAAAAAATGGGAACGAATGTATTCTTGAACTACGAGAGAACCACTTTTCGCAAGAAAAATCAGACATTCGGATCAATATCAATATCAGTATCTGGGCAACTGCCCAACTACCCCTCCCCTAACCTAACAAGTTAAGGTTAATGTTGGGTTAGGGGAGGGGTAGGTGGGCAGTTGCCCAGATACTGATATTGATCCAGGCATTCTAGGTCGATCAGCTTTACGTTTGACCACTTTCTTCTTTTTCTTTCTTTCGTTTTCCAACTCCATGAAGAATATCATTGCAATTTTTGATTTTTTCTTTGTGATTAGTAGTGTAACCAGGTTAGTTAACACTTTTCTCGGGGTATTGTACTGCTGCATTAGATGAGGAATACGTTTCCACATATTTTTTTGCCACTTATACACAGTTTTTTTGGGTGGTTTTTCGTATCTGGCGTAGCACAGGATAATTATGCTTGAAGAACCCCTAATTTCACTGTACGCATATTGAGATTGGATCAGGATGCGTATACTAAGTACTGAGACCGACTGACTCATTCAAAATATACTTTCCACATTAAAAGTCTTGTGTTAGTGTAGTCAGAATCTTTTTAATATTTCGTAAGTCATAAAAGTGAAATATTACGGAGATAGATACGGTACATTTTATTCCCTTCCTCGGTAGCTTATTTACTCATATGTCCACCTGAGTCAATAAAAGACTTCAATTCCCTTTTTAGAAACAATATATAGAGCGATAACTGACAAACGACACAATTAACTACTGCAAAGGCAGAGAGGCAGAAACCGCAAACATTAATTCGACTTATAGAAATTGAGCGAGTTTTGACATAGCTCGATAACGGCGCGAAATGCTGCCTGTTATGTTGCTACCGATGTTTATTCTGGGTGCCTCCTTCACTGTTCAGGGCAAGCCTTCTCAGAGGAAAGAAAAGGTGAGTTGGTGATAGAATCGAAAACTAATCGAAGTTGTATTGCTGATAACGATGGCTTGTCATTAAAGATAGAGTTAGATTTCAATTTGTAACTGTGTTGAGAATGAAAATGGAGATCTGATGGCTTGCATACCGTAGAGCTCATCAGCAATATCCTCTGTGGAGGGCTTCGCAAGCTTTATGCCGCGTATTTACTGAGTTTATCTTTGATCACAGAAAGTGAAATTGGGATTATCGGGTCAAATCCCGTAACTACAAAATCAGCTTAAGTTACAGCTCCGCGTTGGGCGATTCCTTCCTCAGCAACACGGTTACCTTACCTTTCACAGAAAAAAGGGAAAGCATCAGATATAATAGGGTGAAATCACATTCATAACACATCTAACCGAGAATAGATTGTTCAAAACAGTTGAAAGGTTTGTTCCGTGCTTGGCCTCAAATATCCAAGAACTAGGTTTGGGTAGTTAATGGTTTCAAAAAAGATCAAATCTCGTTATAGAATGATTTAGAGCGTAAATTCAGCAAAATTTGCCGTTTAAATTTTCGAACATTTAAGTAAAATATCCTAGACTTGTTTGATCTTTTTTAGGATATATTGGTGAGAGTTCATAGAGCACCAAAGCAGAAGAAAGCAGGTATCGTTAATGTTTAATAGCTTGTTTGAACAACTGTATACTTTAAATAACTTTGAGTCAATAATAATTACGCCACGACATCTTCTACAACACCAGTAACACATAACTCATCACATATGCACAGCTGAAATCACATTTGTACCTGCTTCAGTATTAAATACAAACAACAAGGCATTCATTTTTATCTAAAACTGATATAAGCAAGCAATATAGAAGTACATTGTGATTGTCTTTAACTGTATCATTCTAGAAGAGGCACTGACATCTGACAACTTGGTTTTATGAACTGAGCTGGAAATGTAAATTGGCCTCCGTAGAGAGTTTCTAAAATTCAGACTTATTAAAATTTATCAAACTAGTTGCAGCAGATCCTTTTACCTTTCAGAAAAAAATTGTGTGCGAGTTTTGAAAGTCTCTCTTTACCGCTTGACAAACTTAATACATATAGGCAGTCGAACTGAGTAAAATGAAACAGTGGAACTTCAAATCGCACGGATTCTCCAGTTTCTGTGATCCTAACTTTTTGTGGCTTTTTGCGGCCCCATCATACGTCAACGCGAAGACAAAAACAGCCAGCTACGCCGACGAGACTGATTTGGTTACCGTATACTGGTCTAGAGGGGGGAAGGGGGAGGGGAAGAAGGGGGGAGGGGAGAATAAATACGCATCGGTAATAACTTTTCAAGGGTAGCAAAACTCGGTGAAAACGCACGCTCGTGGTCCAAAAGTTTTTAAAGTCACGATAATGATACTTTATCTTTACGCGCAAAACTTAAATTGTTTTGGAGTTGTGAACAGGTTGCACAAGGTTTACACTCCTTTAAGTAAATGATTTGGGTGACATCATTTTATTTACCTCCAGATTGCGGTAAACAGTTGACGGGCTCCAATGGTTCAGTGACGTCACCCAATTATCCGGGACCTTACCCTACTGACGTAACATGCGTCTGGGTTATTTCAGTTAAGCCGTCACAAGTGATTGAACTAGAGTTTAAGTCTCTTGATATAGAGTACAGCAAAAAGTGTAAATATGACAGTTTGGAGATTCTGGATGGATCTACGGTAAATATATCGATAAATAATGTATTGAAACGTGTTTACATGTTTAATTTGCGCTGCGTTCAGCGGGAGTAGATATTTACTGTCTCCGAGACTTTGAATCTCTTAATTTACCAATAACGTTGTTTTGAACATCAAAAGAGCATGTGATGATGATTTTCATCAATTTTACTCTTTGTAGTCCAAGTCAGCCGAACTGGGAACATTCTGTGGCTCGACAACTCCTTCACTTGTTCGCTCTTCTGGAAAATCATTGCACATTACTCTGAAATCGGATGAGGCTGATACAGGGAAAGGTTTCCAGGCAGTTTGGCGGGCAGTCGCTAACAACATGAGTGAGCCCATTGTTGAAATTGTAACCATTGCTTGTCATACATAATATCAATTGGCTGCTGTTATCGTCTAAGACTAGTTAACGACAACGCAGACAAAAGAAACACTCCCTTTCATAGTCTTTCATCATGGTGCTGTTGTCTTATCTTTCTCTTTATCTTTGTGAATTTTAAGTATCTTGACAGTGTTCGTTCGTTCCGTGCAGTTTGAACATGTTTGGTCTTCCGCACGTTTATCTACGCGTGACCAACCTTGTGAGGAAAACTTGATATCAATCTTCTCGTCTGTTTTGAAATTTACTTGAAACTCACCTGAAAGTCACATCATGGTACATTGTTTATTCCACATAAAATAATCCCTCAAAGGATAATCCCCGTTTCGGTTTTTCTCAAATCTTAGTTCCATAAGATGGAAAGCTAGCAGAGATTACAAGAAGCAGGTTCTTTTCATTTTTCAAAAGGGTACTCTCAGTCGTCATTGAAGACTTGACTGGAAGTGAGAAGATTTCATTTTGATGGTTTTTTTTGTTTTGTTTTTTGTTTTTTATCCAAAGAGTGCGGGGCTACATTCACTGACGAGAACGGTAGTTTCCAGACTCCTGGATATCCCAATCAATACCCCACCAATATCGAATGCGAGTGGGTGATAACTGTACCCGTCACTCACTCTCTAACTTTGACGTTTAACAAGTTTGATATGGAAGAAAGTTCAAAATGCAAATACGACCATGTAGAGATCAGGGATGGTGACAAGGCCTCTTCGAATTTGATCGGTTTGTATAAGTGTGATAAACACTGCTGTGCGCGTTTGAAATTATCCATGGTTAAGCACATAGCTATTTATAGACCAACTTTCCCCAAACTCCAGCGAACACATGTTTCTGTAAGTATGTATGATTAATATTTCCATTTACGTGTCTGTACCAAAATGAAGAACGAATTCATCCCTTTTTTTTTTTTCTTTTTTGATTCACTGTTAAAATCTGCAATTGGAATTTATTTCCCGTACCAAAGTGTTCTATATTTCCAGGCCGTTACTGTGGTTCTAGCCTTCCTGCTAAAGTGTATGCGCAAGGAACCTCATTGTATATAAAACTTGCCTCGGACGAATCAGACACGGGAAAGGGTTTCCAAGTGTCTTGGACCAGTAAGCACCTAGGTGGAAATACAGGTTGGTTTTATTATTATATGTAATTAACTTACATAATTTTCTTTCACAGAAGCTGTAGGCTCTCTTGCTAACTCTTCGCTTTTGAGTTGTCTTTGGGGTAGCTTTAAATCTATTGGGCTGATTTCAATGAAGTAAAAAAAAAAAACACGAGTCAGTGGCCAATTCATCCGGTGCTTATCCATGTTGCTGTAGTTTAAAGTGACAAAGAGTATTGCCTTTCCTTCTGGAGGGATGCTAGTCCATTTTACATGTCCACCCTGCCCCTCACCCCCTCCCGCCTCAGCCTCCTCAGCATTTAATAAGGCTTCAGTAGAGGTTTGAGGGCACTCACGGGTGGAGAGAGTCCGCTCTTCAGAATTTTAATCTAAAATGCCCTCTAAACAGGTCTGCAATTGTGTGGAACCAGTAAGACAGGAACAAGGATTGTCGGCGGTATTGTCGCCAAGCCTGGTGCGTGGCCCTGGCAAGCTGCCATGATCTGGGCGTTGGGGTCCGACAAGGGGAAGCAGTTTTGTGGTGGATCTCTGGTGGACCCCGAATGGGTCCTAACGGCGGCACATTGCTTTGATATCACTGCAAACAAGAAAATGATGTTTATTAGACTTGGTTTGTGAAACTACTTAAAAACCTTCGTCTCTATATTTTATTCGTTTATTTTTGGCAACGGCTAATTGTTGCCTGGCCCTGTAAGTGGCGTTAATAAGCCATGTGCGCCAGTTTGACTTTTCGTTTCCATGTACATCATGCAGCAATTCGCGCTCTACTCTTTGCCCACCACTCGCTGAGTTATGATATCGTTTAACCTGTTGGACGATTTTCATACCGAAATCTCCTAGTGATTTTTGCTATTAGTAGTAGTGGTAACGAGGTTTCCATGTCTCTCACAGGAGAACACGACTTGAATAAAAAGGAGGGATTCGAACAGGATTTTGCAATCGATCACATTTACATCCATCCAGATTGGGATCATCATACGACGGACAATGATCTGGCCTTAATACGACTCGACCGACCTGCTAATCTCACTGGTCGCGTAAACACTATCTGTTTGTCTGAACCAGAGTATAAATTTCCACCAAGTACAAAATGTATGATTAGTGGTTGGGGTACTACTCAGGAAGATGGCGCTCCTTCGCCCGTACTCATGCAGGCCAAGGTACCAATAGTAGACCGCCAGGCTTGTCGTCATAACCAATCATATGGGGAGAAAATCACTGAGAACATGATCTGTGCCGGGTTGCGTCAAGGAGGTGTGGACAGCTGTCAAGGTGATTCTGGAGGACCACTTGTATGCAAGAATCCTGTAAATCGTCGGCAGTGGGTACAGATTGGAGTAACCTCCTGGGGAAAAGGATGTGCCAGGGCTTTGAAGTATGGGGTCTATGCTAACATCAAAAAGTATCTCCCATGGATCAACTTCTTAACCAGTACTATTGGAGGAGGTGAGGGTGGAGATGATGTGTCAACACCTATTCCCACCCTACCACCTAGTCTTCCACCCATCCCATCAAGTCTCCCGCCGAGCCTTCCACCTCTCCCTCCAAGTCTTCCGCCTCCAAGTCTTCCGCCTCCAAGTCTTCCACCTCCATTACCAAGTCTTTCACCTCTCCCACCAAGTCTTCCACCCGTCCCTTCAATTCTTCCCCCACCCCCAACAACTTCTCCACCTCTCCCACAAAGTACTCAACAAAGCCCAGGAGGCAATACGGTTCCTCCGCTGCCCCCACAGCCTTCTGGAAATGTTGATCCACCACCTTTACCTCCGCCGCCACCAGAATAAAAAACGTACGACTCACATCTTTTGTCGTCATACTATAATGTAAGAGATTAGTTTTTTTTGCTTTGGAAAGAATGAATATCCGATCACGAAATAAAGCCTTGAATATTACGCCTTGTCAAAGCTTCCGTTTTTTGAGGATCATCATACATTTCCTAAAGTTTTGATAGCTCGAAGAGAGACTTCGCTTGCCTCTCATAGAAACTAATTATCACTTTCACTTTTGATTTAATATTGCTGTTTTGCGTGATTTTGACTCCCAAAATATTTGATTAATCATATGTAAGTCGAACATATATCATAAATCAAATAAGATACATTTTCTCAACATCAAAAAGCAGGATGGGTTGATAAATTTCAATCCTGTCGATATCCTCAGCTAAGGAAGGAGAAACAAAAATATCTATGGTTGTGGCCTTGAAATACACACAAAGGTACGTTAAGTACCCAAGCTTATCGCACTGGTTAATTGGAACATAACCTGTCAGCGGTTGTCAAACTGGTCACGTTTTCCCTTAAGCTCTTCGTTGGCCGAGTTCAGAGACCACCATAGCAGGAGTGGCAGAAAGGGAATTTTTTTAGCTCCAAACAAGACAGAAAAGTTCAGAATTCATTCATAAAAGCGTCATGCATTGTGTGCTGAAACTGGAATTCTATGTGACGCAGTTAGATTACGAAAGAAACCGCCGAGATGTTAATGTTTCATAATATGTCGAAAATTGTCGATCGCATGGATTCTGCCGACGTAAACCTTGGCTTAGCTTTAAGAGAATGATAGTGATGTTTCAAGGAAGGAAAAAAAAGGTGGACTCCCTTATTCATCTTAAGTTTAAATGTTTATATTTTGCATAGTTTAGCGTTCTAAATCAAGGACATTCTATTTCCATGCAACGGCATATAACGCGTTAAAATTGTCAACAGTTCACGCCCAACCCAATATCAAGTTATCTGTTAAGGTTTAGCGGGTAAAATTCGCTTGATCTTTGCGGTAAAACGCGCATCCTTCCCTCATTTTTTTTTTTTATATTTGTGGTTGGAATACTTCACAATAGGTCAACGTTTTAAGCCTCTGAGAGGTGCATTTCCGCACGAAACGTTCTTGAGTACCTTTTCCTCGTAGTCGTAAGTTTACATATCCTAAACTCATCACATCTCAACAAAATGTAATTTCCCTAATGGCTGTAGCGAAGTTTTATTGGTCAGAAATGCCAGAAACTTGTAGACTGATATTTAAATCCAACGGCTTACATCCAACTGATCGAACATGATGTAGACTCATCTTCGTATGAAAAAAAATTCGCAGAAGAAAATCTACTTCCCCCGGCACTGACGCTTTTCATTGTAAAACAAGTTGAAGAAAACTCGAGATAGATTTATAACTTGGACATCTATGTCAACAGCTACACGAGATACTACATTTTTTTTTCATTTCTCAGTAGTTTTGAAATAACATCTTTTGTCAAATAGTCAGCTATAGCCCTTCAAGTTGGAGGAGAGAGTGGTTTCTTCACTGTCAAAGGCACATCCAGATGTATGCACTTATTATTCAAGAATGAAATGAAAATGACATGTAATGTTTCGATGTGAACACCAGCTTCAACATCTGAAAGTAATGTGCTGGTAGTTTTGAGAGAAAATTTGTGGTAATAGAGTCAAGTCTAGCCCTTCCAGTTAAAGCTCCAGTTGGAAACTGGATCTTTCGAGTTGAAAATATCCTAACTTCAACTATAACAACAGCTTCAATTTACACGCTGAATGAAAGTTTCTCTAAATCGGATCAAATTGTCTTGCTATCTAGAATTAAACTCCTCCCTCCTCTTCTAAATGTTGTCTTTAGTCACGCGATACTATAGCTCCCATCAATTTTTCAGGAAATACTACAATTCATTTTCGAGTGGGAAACTCAGAACTTACACAACTCAGCGGGAATCATCAAAGTCACTTTGGCAAAGATGTTAAGGTAGAAATTATTATTATTTTATTTTTTTTATTTTTATACAAAACGATTGTTATCATTTAGACTGCTGTCTCACTATGGCAACTTGAAGTTACTCTATAATAGACTGTCAGTGGAAATGGATTTCCATCATTCAAACCTTTTTATTATTGGTTCCCATTGTGTAAATAAGTCTTATCGCTGAGATGTAACTTACCTTCATAGAAAAAGGAGAAATCAATACATTTTAAAATCGCCAACTCTGTCTGTAATTTGCGACGAAAGCTAAAAATGTCCTCTTGAGGCAAATATCTAAATTTATGTTTCACTGTATTTTATCTCAAGTTCTTGATAAAACAGAGTATTTTTTTTCTCTACTTTGACTCGAAAATCCTTCTATTTGCCAAACAAGCGTTGCAAAATCATCACCGTCCATAACAACATAACGTTTGATGATGCTAATGAAAGGCCGCGAACTTAACTGACTGTAGACCTTAAATTAGTTATGTCTACAGCGGTGACCTAACTTACTAAGACTTCAAAATTTTTTCCCGTTTAAAAGGAAAGTACGTTCGGGAATAGGAATAAGTAGTCTTATTCCACAGATGGTGCTTTCCTCATCTGTTTCGATAACTAATCCATGAAAAGTGCCGTTGAGACGGGCACTCAATTAGATCAGCAAGCTTAAGTTTAAAAAAAAAAAGATCAAATTCCGCAGAAAAGAAAAACAAACCCAAATGACAGAAAAAAATGAAAGCTTCGTTTCGATGCAGTTGTCACGTACTGAGCTCCGATAGATTTTGTTCGTTTGCTCCTTCGAATCCTTTTTTCGGAAAAAAAGCTTAATTATTATTAATTGCTTTTTTTTTTCGATTTGAGGCAAAATTTTTGCTCAACTGTAAATTTTATATTAAAGGTCTGAAATGAATCCTTGTGAAATAATCAGTCTTTTAAAATCTAAACAAATTAAGGTTGACATAGATGTTTGAAACTAAAAAGGTTTTCAGTACAAGGGGGAGAGAGTGAACGGTAGACATAATAGTCTTCAGGAGAATCCTCATTTTGTATTCTACAGTATCATGTCTACCGCAGGTGGCCATCTTGTGGAGAAGTCGCTACTTTTCCTCCTTTTCCGGCCACTTTTATGCGCATGATAAACATTTTGTAGGTGTATCACTGATTGGTTATCCTGCAATTAGCATTCAGAACGCATTTTAGGTGACAAAGTGAAAAGGAAAACGGAAAAGCAGTTAAGTAACTGTAGTGTTATTGCAAAATGTACTTTACTTAATTATAAATAGCTTGTGGAAAAAAAAACTGATAACTGAAAGAAACACTATAGAAAATTTTCTAGATGTTTCAGGGCACGACGGAGGATTATTTTTTCTGCCCTTAAGCAAGTATTAGATATGTTTATTTTCTTTATTTTTAAAGAAACGTTTTGTAACCGCAATTTCGATTCCAAACATTAGGCAATGAAAGAATCACTTCTGCCTTAGTAAGGTTCTGAAGCTAGAGCGCTAGGCTTAAAAACATCAAAATTTACATTTATTTTTTTATTTGTTTTTTTTTTTTTGATGGTATGCGTTACGACAAAGGATTTGATTAAATGAAAACTGCATATGCTTATCTTCAAAAGGTAAGTGTGATGGAAAATTTTCGTCAAATGTTACAAGTTTCGAAGACCCAAAGGTTGCGTCTATACAGAACCATCTACATTGAGATAAAGTGCGCTTATGAAGGGAAACAAATGACAAAATACTCAGCAAATCAAATTTTGCAGTTGACTTAATTCATAACTCAAATTTGGTAGATTTCCCTTAAGAAAGTCAGATTGGGGTTCGCATATCGAAATAAGCATATCGTTATCTATCGAACACTTACAGTAAGGCTGCAAACGTTTCCCTGTCTATCACTGACTGTTTGCAAACTTGAAAAAGTTTACAATTGCTAATCCTTCCAAAACACAATTATTTTAAAAAGCAGAAGAATGAACTGGAGTTTGGCTGAGCCATAAATTATCATTTGCTGAAACGAGGACGGACATAACTTAAATAAGTGCCGCGACGCTACAAGTCTTCCTTTTGATCTTCGTTGACAACTTTGTAAGGAGCATTGGAATTTAGACGACGCATTTCTCAAAATTTCTTGGTACTCAGTGTTAAAGTTTTAATGCGTCACGTTCGTCCAAGACAATTAGGATGCATTTGTTCAACGACCGCAAGCAAAATCCTATCACGATATCAATGCATCTGACAACAAAAATTTATCAAGATCATGAAGCTTGGTCCTTTTCTTAATTTTTTCGATATTCATCACTTGCCAAGGGGAGTCACGTTTTCGAGTTTCGTCTTCGACTCATTTTTCGCCAAAAACCGATCGTTTCATATGAAATCGAGTCATTTTGTCTACAAGTTCGATGCAATCGGCTATTTGCTCTTCATGACTTTCCATCACACCTGTCACTGCACTTGCAAGATACATAAGTAGCATTTGATCGGTTCTTGCCTGAAACCTCACCAGCGAGGTTGCCAAACAGCAAACCACTTGTAAGACATTTTCTAAAAAAATACCAGATTTTTATCATACGGCGAACCAGACTAATGAGCTTCAAAGTAATCTTACGAAAATCTAAGCAGGTTTGGCGAATTGAGCATGAGCTGGTAAGGAAGGACGGGTCTATTTGCGACTGGAAATGGATAAAAGTAAAAACTGAGGTACATTATTTTAAGCGATTCTTGTATCACCAAGGGCAGCAATCTGCGCATCGTTTCTTGTCGTTGACACCCAAACCGATGTGCAGTTTTAAATTTGCTATGTTCAAAGACAATCAACCAAAAAAATGTGTTTTGCAATTAGATTTGTGTCGCCACAATGAAGTAGTTCTGTCGCAGTAGGCGTAAAATAGTCTGGTTCAAAGTGATCTATCTTAAATCGTCAAGACTTTACTCAAGCATCACTTTCAATATAGGAAATGTGAATATATCTATATGCTTTTCAACACCTTTCGGATTCGGATCTTTGTTCCTTCGCGTTTTCTGTTATAGCAAAATAGCTATTCCGTTTTAACCCTGGAACATAAAACACATCTGCCTTGCAGCTCTTTTGCAGACCTCACCAACAAGTCTCACCAACATGGCTTCAATGTTTTTTATCAATAATAATCCCAACAATTTCGCTTCTGTAATAATTTTTTTCTTATATCTATCTACTTTCGAACTCTTTTTCACCCATGTTGGTTTAATTAAATTTTAGCGAAAGCTTTGGGTGTAGTTGTTTTCTCCGATACTAATGTACGTTCTTTATTCAAAAGAAGAATTGAAGCTCTCAGTTTTCATGAGAATTTCATCGACCACCTTTGATTTGAGAAGATGTTTAAATTGGTTTCTTTGAATTAACTCGAATTAGAGTCATGTTTTCTGGACAGAGATAGTAGAAGCATGTGTAAATCTTTATGGACTGAACTTTGAATAGTGAAAGATTGAAAAATGTGTTCAACACTCATTTTAGAGGTGGTTGTTTACAAGACACTGGTCCTCAGATTCACTTTTGTCGAGTGTCACGATTTGATTAAGCCTTGTGTATGTTGGAAAACATTTGAATTTGTATTTTTGTTCTTTTTTGATGCCTCAGTTTAACGTGATACGCGCTTTGAACGAGCTCTGATGGACGAACAAAATGGAAATCAAGGTTTCCCTTATCGTTTAAAGGGTATTCAAAATCCTCGTTAAATACCTGGAATAGGTAAGAAGACTGCATTATTTTTCGACTGAAACATCTTTCACACTGGTAGTTAAGTTTAAGTAGTAGCTGTGCTGTTAGACTATATAATGAACATTTTTTTGGGAGGTATTGTTTCAACAACTTAGCTAAGATATTAAACTTGCAAGGAGGTAACACATTCTCCTCCCACACGATAATACAGATCCTGAATAAACCACGTCGGCGACGACAACAACAACTTTGCAAAACAAAAGATTTAATGGGAAAAACAATAGCTCAGAACGTGTGTCTCTAAACTTTGTTCATCTCTTTGCCGTCCTCTGCGAAACAAACACTTGAAATCACTTAATTGCGTGGGCTGCAGGCGAAAAATCCGACGCCAGGTTATTTAAGTTTCCATTTCGAACTCAACACTGCTCACCCATGTTATGTTGAAGTTGAGGTGTGGCGCCGTATGAAAAGGTAAACACATCTAGCCATTCGTGAGATTCTAGCTAAGATTATAAGTTCATTTTTAATGGACTTTTGCTTAGGTTCCCAAATATTTATTTTAATCCCTGTAAGACAGGAAAAACCCCGGCACAAGTTATAGTCAAATGCCATTTCAGCCAAAGCGAAGCTTGATTGCTCCAATAAGATACAGCACGAGAGGATCCTAATAATTTAGCTGGGTTAGGGAAGCCTTAGCTCTTTCTTCACCAGAATCAAAACATTAAAAAGAAGGGTGCTGTCTCGCTATATTCTCTGACAGCTTTCAATGTAATATTTGATTATATCAAGCACATTTGCCTTTATGATATCTCGCATATTTTCATGGTAAGCGACAGTTTATAATCTCTTGTTGTAACTGATGTGGAGGTTTTGAGCAAATGGAATTAACAAAGATTCGAATATTACGAAAGCCACTTTTTTATGGAACATACGCATTAACAATGCGTGTATTTTTGCTATTTCATCATTTTTAGCAACCTGGACAATTCGGTAAAAAAGGCAATGTTCCGATTTTCCAGTGAGCTACAGAGAGTTTTTAATCCAGTGATTCCATTTCCAGCTTTAAATGGCCAAACTAACCTTGCCTTATCTGAACTTGTAAAAGCTAAAGTGGGCCAGCTGGTAATGAGCTAAAAGTAGTGGCGACCGCCTCGAATGGCCCATAAGTTTTGAAGTAGCTTTAAAGACTGGGTCGAGTGAATGAGATCGAGGTTGATGGATAAACTTTGCGCGGGCACCGAAGACAAAGCTGCAACATTTTCGTATTTTGTAAGCTTGTTTTCTTCCTCTATTCCTTAAGCACGTCCAAAGCAGAATAGCCATATGGTTCAAAATGCTTCCCCTGTGAAATTAACTGAAAAGTGTGCTGTGCTAAAACCACCGGCGCCCGAACAACTGCACCTGACAAGCTGGGTTCGATTTTTGCGTTTTACATTTAAGACTCAAGCAATTAAAGTATCACGAAATTAACCTGAATAAAGTTTTTTTAAAGGAAAGACGAGCCATTTGACCCTCCCTTCGATGTAGATATCAAAGTTTTTCCGTGGGCCAAAGCTACTGGAACGTTTGTAGAAACGGTCCCTGCTCCATTTGAAGAAAACGTTTTTTAAAAACTCAGAAATTTGGACCGGTATGACATTTGGAAATTCTTTAGATATTCTTACCTTCCTTTTTTTCGGCGATCCAAAGGGTTGTGATTTCTTCAATTCTTCTGTGATAGGTTGCGACAGTAGTAATTGCATCTTGTTTTTTAAAAACAAGATGTGTCATTTCTTTTTTTTCAAAATGTGTAAGATACATCTTCTCTTCGACCGCGAGCTAAATCCTACCACGAAACGTGTAATTACTTTAAGTCTGTTTTAATAAGACAATGTAGGCAGAAAGAAAGAAACCCTCTTTATTAATGCGATATATAATCTCTTTCTATCAGGAATCGGTTTGAGTGTTTCACATCAAATAAATTTTTCGTACAAAACCGACATTTTCTACTCCAGTATTCCTCTTTTTCTACAAATAAACAAAGTAGGTAGCGAAACTGTGGTTTTCTGTTGGTGGGGGTACAAGATGATTTGGTTTCAATATCTGATTTAATAATGTAAACCGGTCACTGTGAAGAGTTGCTAACGTTGACGTTTGGAGCGTTAGCCCTTCGTCAGAGCGAAGTTCGATCGTTATCAGTTACTCAGTAATCAAGTGGCTTCGTATTTTTCATAAATAATTGATTGCACATGGTACATTGGCGGAACGTCCTCGATTTTGGTTAAGAGCACCCCAAGCTGTGGTAAAATCAGGTGGATGTTTTTCCTAGAAGCTCTCATGAAGTTTATGATAAGCAGTCTGAGATAAGATTTTGCTTACCTTACAATATTTCTGACGATATGTTCCTCTAACATCTGCAAAATTGGTTTTCATTTATTGGTATTATCCTGCGTAAAAAAAAGTATCTGAGTTTCTGTGGCACAAATTTTTGAAGGTTTGTACACTTCACACGTAAACCATCGGAGTAGACAGTATGGCTTTGTTTTCTCACATATTTTAATTTCGGCGTAGGCAAGACATTGTCCTTTGCCAGGTTAACTAAGTGTTTGTTTGTTTTCGTTTTTTGCTTTGCGCAGTAGACTACGTTGAGAGAGAGATATTACCAACTTTGGTTTGATCTTTCAGCATTCTGACCAAGTTTGAGAAAAAAGAAATCATTGATTTAATGCTGGTAAGGTAATTATAACAATCCACCGACTTCTGGCGCGACTACAGGCCTGGTGAAAACAAGAAAGTTAACCCAAATCGATTCGTTGAATTCCTTTGTTTGTATTATTTTTGGTTCCCACGGGTAAAGACAATCGACCACGCGAAAATAGTTTAATTATATTTTTGGTGTAGAATAAGTAAACTCGAACTGTATAATGTTTCCCCCATCTATTTTATGTCGGTTTCATCGTGTGTTTGATATTTGTACGTATGGTAAGTTATGTCTAAGAGAGCCACATGATCTCAAGCAGTGAAAAGCCGTAATTTCTGTCAGGAAGATCTCTTCCTTCTGTAGAAGATGCTTCGATCACTCTGCTCCGGTCATGATTTTCACAAATAATCAATGTGCTATCTATTTACCAATCCTAATATTGAACTTTAAATTGGCAGCCGTAAAGCTGAAGTTTCGAGTGTTGGCCCGTCGTCAAAGCGAAGCCTCAGAGAAATAATGTTTTAAAGGAGACAAAACAAAACAATCGAGAATTTTAATTAAACAAAAAAAGAAAGAAACGGTTTCCCTTCGACAACGAGGACCTAAAAAGACCTGTCTATTTTTCAACCTAGTTATTACCTACAGTTTCCTCTTCTTTTTAAAATATGGATCGAAAAAACAGTCAGTTCGAGTTGTCACAAAAATATATATATATGAGAAAAAAAAACAAGTGATGTTGCCGTCTTGATAACGAGTGTCCAGCGTGCTAAACAAATGTATACGGAAAAGAAATGGATTCACACAAAAACAAGTACACTCATTTAAGGACTACTGAATTGACAATATGTTTATCTGGCGTTCGCTTCGAAGAAAGAAAATTGTATGAAAACCTCCCTGTCCTTATTAAATATAAAAAGTTGAACCTTTTAACTAAAATCTGATATGCTCTATCTTCACGTGAAAGATGATGAGTAAAAATGTCCGACGATCGGCGCCCTTCTAAGTCGATAATCCAAAGGTACTTTTAAATTTAGAGCGCGAAACAGAGGAAAAGTTCGACTGAACATGTCTCAATTCTTTAAAGGGCAGGAGCAAGGCAAACGAATACAAAATAGCCAAAAAAATAAAACTTCAATCAATCTTTTGGAAGCAAGTGGATTGTACTTCAACAGGGTGTGTTCAGCATTTACTTCTTGTTCCATTAGAAAAAGAATATAAGAATCTGTCGAGAAATGAAAGAAACTGTTGGCTTTTTAGAGTTGGGAATGCGATGAAAGCTTCCTTCTAAAAGTTATCACATCAAGATGAGACACTCTCATCATTCTCGTCGTTGGTAATATACCATTTCATCATATTTCTGTATTTCAAGAAATTTATCAAACCTTTCAACAATTTTGTATTTAGAATATACCTAGAAAGATTACAAAAAAGAGGTAAAACAGACAACCAAGGTCAAACTGTTTTATTATTTGAAATCGGCAAGCATAAACCCTCTTTTTATCATTGGAATGTTATTCATTCGAATACAACAGAGCAATCAAGTTTATTCTTTGGTACGCATTTGAGTTGGTCGAAATGAATTATCGCATTGCTATGATTTTGCATACAGGGGGTCTGGAAATATAGCAAAACAGTGGGAGACAAGGCAGAAGCCATACGTGCACAAGAAAAATAATAATAGCTTTCTGGTTTACTTGAAAGCAGCTTTCAAAGAATAGTGAGAGCCACAGGTACGAGGGAAATTAAACACGAAATTCGTTGTTCTGTTGGAAGACGAAATAATTCACGAATATTTGGTACCTTATCACATTTGTTGACCGATAGATCAGTTCGTTTATTTTCAAATGTCTTTTTCGATATTATGCAATCCATATTCAAATTTCACAGTAAAGAAAAATTAGATGCAGGTCACGAAACAGTATGAATAATCTTTAAAAGTGCAGGGCTTCAAATGACTATTCCCGGTTATTAAAATCCTGTAATTGTAATGTTTTCTTGCGAAATTTTTATGACCTTATTTAGAACAAAAAGCAAAATTGTTGTTAGTTATGTCGATCTCGTGTTTTTGGTTTCCGTTTGAAAATCATTTTAAAGGCTTTTTCTGACTTATAACAATTGGTTCATGCGACACATCTCAGAAATTTGGGACGTGTTTGGAAATTAGAAACGTATTTAATGATCCCGGTTAGGTTTTTAAAATCCTAGACGATCAGAAATGTCTTAATTTTCGTTTTCTCCTCCCTGCGCTTCCGTACATTTACACTAATCATCAGCGTACATAATTAGGTTGTAAGGCGCGCTCGCGTGACAGACATAGATTTGATTACTTGAATAAGCTAAGTTGTCATAGAAGGTCTGTTCGTTTCAAGATCATGGAAAGCCACGGGTCTTTTTATCATTTTAGGATCGTTAAATGGTATGTCTCACTTTTAGTGAATGATTGATACATGCAATCGACTGATTTATTTATTGATTTATTTATTTTTTAAGTTACAAACGAAGGAGCTGAAAACATTTTTTTTCTGTGTTTCCTTTGCACGCTTGTCGCTTACGCTTGTCTTTACTTGAGAAATATACGAGCGATGAAAATGAGACAGATGCCATGTATTACGAAACCTCTCATCGGAATTACAGATTTATGACTTTTAGTGGAGATTATCAGCTTGGCGGAAGATATGCGGGATACCTTTGAAATAAATTACTTAGGATTAAAGTGAAGTGGAAACCTGACCTGACGCCATTTAACATCTTATTATTGTTTAAAAGCTGCGTTTCAGCCATGACACGCAAACCAATCTATCTTGTTAATTGTTTCAAAAGAGGAAATTTTCTTATTATTATTACTGAATTTTTATCTTGCATCCAAATTGAATCTGGTACTAGCGGAGTTTTTAAAGAATAAACATGGCTGAATGAAAACTTAACTAGGTATTGCGACAAGGGAACGTTTATGTCAATCACATGCAGGACCTCAACTCCATTTCAAGCTAAACAAAGACAATAACACCACGACGCTCAGCCGCGTCGCAAACATCAGTTGTTCTGGTAATCGTAGAAAATCGTCATCATTTTTTAGCCAAGGATGCCGTGTTCTTTTTCTTCTTTGTTTTGTTTTGTATTTTTGGTTTGCCAAAGAAGTAATAAGGTAAACAAACAAACACGTTTCGAAGAAGAAGCATCCATGATCGAATATTAAAGACGAATTTCAAAATGTTAAGTTACTCCTTTAAAATTACAAAACACTTTAAGAGTTCTATCGTCATATATCCTTTTTAATGACAGAGAGAGGCATTTTATGGCTTTTGAACCAAATTTCTCGTCCATAAGAAGTACTTAAGTTGAACTTCAATTTATAATCCGGTGGTCCTTCCTCAACCTCCTATCTTTGATGTGACAAGGGCTGTCTTCAACACTCATTAGCCAGCAATTTTCTGAATATATTGGATTTTTTATTGCTCCTTTCCAAGAGTTCCTTTGTCAAATATGGTTGGTGATCACGATCACTAACTAGCTGCAGTATTTCACTTTCCTGCGTGATCTAATGAGGAGTATTTCTTTAGAACAGTATGAATGTCAGTATACACGAAAAAGCTAAAGATAGCGAACGGAAAACAATATTGTGAACAAAAAAAAGGCAATTTCACTCGCCTTAAATTACTCCACCTGCTTTAATTTTCATTTATCTGTATCCTGTGAAACATTTTACTTATTGTCGTTCGAGACATTATCAGTCAGACCGACAAAACATTAAATAGTTTGACTCCGCTTTCACTCAGTAATTTGTTTCGCATCGTGTTACAAATTTGACTTCCAAAAATAAATGAGGGAAGGGACCGAGTGACGCCCATTTCATTAGTTTTTTACTTTTGTGCGCCTTAAGCTTATTCAAATATCCCTTCTTATCTAGTGAATGATTCAGGATTGCAAACCAAGCTATAAACACTTTTTCGTCGTTGATGTATTTCTCTTTAGCGTTAAAAACTAAAAGCTTTTTCTAAATTAATTCGAAACACTTCCTCTGTGACAAGCAGAGATCGTGAGTTGTCAAGACTTTTGCGAAACCCCTATATACTTTATCTAAGGTATACTTGATGAAACTTTGATTAGGGGACAGGAGGTTGTTCTTAATGATGATAACATACAAAGCGGCTAACGTCTAATTAATTAATCAACTAGGAAATAGTGAAAGCACATTTGTTTTCATGTTTAACATCTGTTCTCTGCTTGCTAGTTAAAGGAAGGGAACACGAAGAAAGCGCTGAATATTACCCAACACCCGCCATTGCCATTTGCCGATTTTGTAAACTGAACAAGCCATGTCTTTCAACAATTCCACCGACGTCCCAAGTGGCAACTTTACCCAAACGAATACTTTTACTGCAAGTGCTCTAGAGCCGCTCTGGTTGGCTGTGATACGACTTTCTGTTGAAGCATTTATTGCCTTGGCCGGTGTCATTGGAAACTTAGCTGTGTGCTTTGCAATATCACAGCATCGGTCACTGAATACAGTTCCTACAAATACGTACATCAGAAATGTAGCTGTTGGCGACTTAGCCTCCCTCCTTGTGTCTTTTCCTCTCGGAATAGTCACGGAACGTTTCGCCTACTGGCCACTTGGCGAATTCACATGCCGATATATTTTCCCGCTGAGCGACACCTTTTTCGGAGTGTCTATTTGGTCAATTACCGCCATTGCCGTTGAAAGGCATCGTATACTGAACGCAAGGTTCCCCCAAATGGCTTCCAGGTCATTGGCAAAACCAAGAATTGTATGCGCTGTCATTTGGATCTTTTCATTTCTTGGGATTTCTTTGCCTCTGTTACTTGTATTTGATTACTACCAGCAATCAGACGGAATTTACTGTGTAGCAGAGTGGCCTAACAACGAGCTTTTTTACATCTATAGCATGGCATTGACCTTGGTCACCTATGTTATACCACTTTCCCTCATCCTTATGAGTTACTGTGCCATCAAGCGCAAGCTGCGCAAGAGCGAATCGTTCAACATGGAAATTGCAGAAAATAGCTGCACGGGAAGCTTCAGAACCAGCCAAGTAAGCCTCGTGAAAACACGCAGTAAAAGAGTCAGTAAGATCATGACCCCAGTAGTTGTAGTTTTCGCAATCACTGTTCTTCCACTCAGCATTTTCCGATTAATTCCAATCGATTATCACTTCAAATATCAAAAATTTTCTTTCATTTATTTTAGGATTTGCATATTTTTTTATCTTTTCAATTCTGCTTGTAACCCTTTCATCTATTCCCTCGTAAGCAGGAGGTTTCGTCAGTCATTTAAGGAAATGCTTTCTTAAACCTCAATGATTAGCGGTAAGTCACTTTTAGAGTTAGGTGGAAAAAGACAACACTTGTAGATGTGGCTGTACTACCTGAAAATATTATAGTTTAACCCTTGTAGACTAGCAGATTGCATAGTCGTTTTTCTACTGTCTTAAACTTAACAGTAATTTGAGCTTTCGTGTTTCTCAAGCTTAATTACCGTGGTAAATCTATGTTTGATTGGTAATAGGTGACAGCTTTGTGTTAAGGAGGGCTTTAAGAATAGTCTGTCTGAAAAATAAACCATTTAATCCATATTATCTTGTCTAATTTAATGCAAATGGATTCTGCTGTTGTTATAGTTGTTATTACAGTCAAACCTGTATTTTAGGACAGAGCATTAAGCGCCACCTTATTAAGCGATCGGTTGTTAAACTCCCATATTTGTTTCCCCTTTGTTACTGTAATTTTGACCCCTAATTAGCGGTCACTTCTATTAACCTTTTACAGCCTCACATCAGTAAGCATATTCTCCATACTGTTCTTTATACATTTCCTAAGGTCCTGACAAGGGGAATTTGTTCGCCGATCTAAAGGTTCCTTCCCTGGTGACCATTTCCTATATTCTCATGACCTTAATGTGTGATTCAGGAGTAATATTGTTGTGAGAAAATAGATGATAGTCACTCTTAGAGGTTAAAGGGTTAAGCGGTCGTGGTCACTCGTGACTGAGATCCAAAGGCCTGTTTTTATTGTCTTGTCACTTAAAGAAAAACTGCTAAAATAAAACTACAAATAATTTTTCAAGTAAAATTCAATCTGTTTATCTCCAGAAATAAAAAATTCAGAGGTCAATTATGATAAACTGGTGTTGTTTCTCTTTCTTTTTAAATGACACCTCTATTCTGTACAACCTGGATTAAGCGGTCACCCTGTCATTTACCGTTGGTGACTACTTAATACGGTTTCGATTTTATGAGTAATTGTTGTAAACATAATCTATAATCTAGAAATTTTCAGACTAATGAGTCATGCTGACTTGCATACCGTAGAACTTTTCAGAACATTTCATATAGTCGCGTATTTATTATGTAATAAAATAGTTAATAATATAATATAATAATAATATGTAATAATATGTTAATAATAATATGTAAAACTACAATAGTTCTTGTGTAAGCGTCTGGAATGTTCCAGAACACTTTTTGAAGATATATAAAGCCTCGCTTATGTATTAGTAAGAGTAGTTGTTGTCGTCGGAGCGACGACTGCTATAAAAGCTACACCATGAGAGAGTTACTGCGGAAGATTACTCGTTTCAATGGACTTTGGAGACAACAGTGAGATTGCGTCAGTGGTGAGCTAGGATATAGACTGTGTTAGGCTTAATTAAGTTTATTAACTATAAGTTTTGTACTGCTTTAAGGATTCGTTCCTTGTTAAGAACATCACTAGTTATTACTCGCTGTTTAATAAAGTAGTTGAGTTTGTGGAATTGTAGCGTTTTTCTGTCGGTAAGATTAAACCGTAACATCGACTGTATTTTAATTCGGTCGGCATTAATTGAACTTTGCGCCATACGTCTCCCTGCTAAGGGATGGTTAGAATATTTCCTTTGGATGGAAAATTTGATGGTTTATGTTTCTATTTATATTATGCTCGGTATAAATTTCTCATTATTTATGAATAATTTTTTCAACTCGTTCATTTCATCATTGTGGGTGTTTTTGGATTTAATTTTTTGTTGTTTAATTCTACTCTATTTTGAGCGGAAACCCGAGCAACAAAATGGGCGCACTGAGCGTTTTAAGCTTTGATAGTTTCAAGGCTCAACGTTTCAAGCAACGAGTTTTTAAAAGCATCAGATTTTTTTGTGGTCATAAGGAACACTTAGGTGGTTTCGTTTGAGTTGTTTATGAGTTTCGAGCACGTCTTATGCGGTCGATACAAATCAAAGCAACTCAAAAATTATCCGCCTGTATGACCTCTTGAATCATCAAATTAAGTGTATTTATTATGTCTTGAACATAGCCCCATGCACATTGCCGCACAAATGGGTTCGCCTATTTTACCTTTTTATCATAAAAAGTGTTCAACAAACTCTCAGAATTACTTCCGCCAAATCGTTTATTTATTTTCGGTTTTTTTTCACCAGCGACGGTCTTAAAAGGCATAAGTTATCTTTAGAATCACAGAGTAGATTATAGATGCGATCATATTGTTCGACGAATCACGAATGCTTCAATGCTTGCTTACTTTGACAACAACGTTGTTTTGTAGCTAACTCGTCGCATCCACCTTAACCTTGGAGCAGCGGAGAATTGCCTTTACTTTCTGTCTGAAATTGTGGTTGAGCAGGGCATATACGAAAGGGTTCACTGCAGAATTGAATAATACTATCTGATTTGAAATTGCATACACCACATAACTCATCCGATAAGAAGAGGGTAGCCGTAAGGTGTAAAATAACTGAATGGAGCCATGACAGATTCCAAATATGATGCTGACAACCACAGCCATTGCGGTAACCCGCTTGCGAACTCCCATTATACCCTGGGGTTTAGATATAAGATGAGAAAGAAAAAAAATTATATAAGTATGGTTTAATTATCTTCAATAAAAGGAGAGATCGAGGTTTAATCAGATGCAATTCATACTTAAAATTGAGTTCTCTCGGTCAATCATTCTCTTAGTAATTTTTTTCTTAAGCTTGGCTTTTTCGCAAGAATAACATCTCTCATTTCATTTTGAAAACTGCCTCAATGCAAGCACAAGCACAAGAAAAAGCAAAAGTTCTGATCCTTGTGCCTGTGCTTACGTTGAAGCCGTTTTCACGGCGAAATAAGGGGTGTTATCTTTACGTTTGTGCTCACGGCGCAGTGAAAACCAGGCAAGTTAAAAACCTCTTTAAAAAAACTTCATTTGTCTAAACTGACTGCCCTTAAGAACGATTTCGAAGAGCACGTTCTCAGAACATGAGCATGTCACCATACGCCATTTTGAATTGTTATGCCGATTACCGCCATACTTCTCGGTTCCAGACTCCCCTTTCCCATTCCTGATTTTATCAACATCCAACATCCCGTTTTCTCGTTTCGAATCGGTCCAGCCGAACCATTTAGGTATTTGTGTATTAAGAGTGCTGTTATATTCAGATTTATGGTATTTCGTCACAATACGCGTCTAAATTATCTCGTCTTCAAGAACTTTTGGCATTCGGTTTAAAAATACATACAGTGTATCGGCAATCTGGGTCCCTTCTTTGAGGGAAACACTGAGTGTATTAGACTCTTCATATCACTCTCTTCCTTGCCTGATTAGACTTGTTCAACGTGCGTTCATTTTTTTGGAGCGTTTTCACTGAATTGAAATTGGAATTATTTGAGCCATCAAAGAGGAATTTTTTCTTGTTTACATGGCCTCATCTAACATTTTTAAAAATTTCTCGACATACGTCCTCCTGTCTCGAAGTCCTAGTTTGAAGAGGAGGAATCACATAGATACAGATGGGAAAATGACACTGTTTTATATATTATATATTCCCTAAACGTTTTGAATGAAATGATTTCCAATCAAATGACACGACGAAATGATCAAAAGAATACATTATAAAAAAATATTTGAAGTGTAAAATTGCTAAAGGTAACCATTAAGGTTTTTGCCATGCAATAAAGACAATATACCAAAATATCCCTAAAGAACCGTGGGATTATTAGTGCTGTGAGTTGTTCACATCAACATGTCGATACCATTTTCCTTTTGCCTATGTTTTCCTTGATTTCGAGGCCTCATCTAAACACTCATGACCTTCAAACAGTTCTCGAAAAATTGAAAATTATGCACGATTAAAAACCTAACCTTCTCGAATTCCTAGCATCAAAGCAAAAAATGCAATATTGTTAAAAAAGCAAACAGAATGGCTCAGTTTTATGTTGACTAAACCTTGGGCTTTATTGAATTAAAATGAGATGGAGAAACGAAGAAATTCCAAGGAAAAATGAATTTAAAAAAATTAAAATGTCAATAGGCAAAGAGTAATCATTGAAATCTTCGCCCTAGAATAATTGATTACCTTTTATGCCTGAAAAAGCCACGGGATTTCTTGTGCTGCGACTCATTCATATCCAGATGTCGATTTTTCCTTAATTGTTAAACACTCTCTTCTTTAAAAATTCTTTTTTTCTCACCTCTCGACAACATTACTTACATTTATATTATTTTTTTATAATCAAACACGAACACGAAAATACATGTAAGTTCAGACTGAACTTTCTTGTGGGTTTAAGGTCTCTATAGAATTAGATGGACTCTTTTAAACGTGATTACTTTTTCACCTTGCGGCATATATCTTGGTTTATATACCTGGTATTCAAGGTTCGTGTCATTATCTAAGTGTAATAACCCGACGCTTACAACTGACATGTTGGCAACCAGAAAGTTATTTGCTGTAAAATTCGAGCAACCATAGAATTTTCCACACTTTCACCGTCGTTTTCAGTTTGCTCTACTGAAAGTTCCATTCGTTTAAAGATCCAGAAGGTTTATTTCAGATTATATGGAAACTGAAAAAAATTCTTCTCGTCGGTAGACCGCGTGTGGGGGCGACTTATGGCTCAGTCCGCTCTTAGGAGTACCACGACTTCATTTAGCTCATTCTCTTATATATGTAAATAAGTCACTCGTTAGGGTAGACTCTAAGGATGTAGATCAACAGTTGCACCAGTCTTTAAGTTGCACTTCTCTTTTATTACAGAGCTTGTATTCAGACTTAAATATAACCTCATGAACTTTATGACACGAAGTGGCTTTGTTTGCTGTTCGTAAAACTCTTTGTTAAAATGGCTTCTGTTAATTTATTTATTGACTGGCGACTTCCAAAAACAGGAAAAGTTTCAGAAATCTTCAGAGGGCGTGAGTTCACTGCAGAATCAGAAAAATTCAGCTTATTATTTTATTTCTATGTTACAAATGTTGTCAAATTTATAGGAAGAATCACGATTGTTTACTACTCGCTTGTGTTGACATCGTTCCTCGTACGTCTCGTCACATCAACCTTTACCTTGGAGCAGCGGAGAATTGCTTTCACTTTCTCTCTGAAATTGTGATTGAGTAAGGCATATACGAAAGGGTTGACTGCAGAATTGAACAATATCATCAGGTTGGAAAAAGCATACACTGCGTAACTCATCTGATAAGAAGTGAATAAGTGCAAGGTGTAAAAGAACTGGATGGAGCCATGACAAATTCCAAAAATGGTGCTGACAACCACAGCCATTATGGTCACTCGCTTGCGAACCCCCATTATACCCTGGAGTTTGAATATGAGATGAGAGAGATAAAAACACATGGTTCAGTTATGGGCAGTCATTGCTTCTAAAGCCGGGAAAGGCTTTAACAATGCGTGTTCATTGATTATTGATGATAAACCCTTGTTCTGAAAGTGCCAAAGTTTTCGAATTAAGCTTATGATGTGCTTTGGATCAGTTGCATTCATTAATTCAGTCACCTTTACACCCCGTTTATTATATCCGTCTAAAGTCACTGGTAATTTTTGCAAACTGATTGGCTCTCGGCATTCTGATTTATTCACGAATAGCACCACTTTCTGCCCTAAATGGTGACATGTTTTGGGGGTTCTCGTGACGTTATTTAGTAAAATGACCTAAAAGTGAAATGCTTTTCGGCAAGCCTGAGTAGAATAATTGGCTCCGAAGAGCCAATCAGAAACCTAGAAATCAATAACCGTGCTTCAGTTTTTGCTCATACAAGATAACGCGTCAGAGCAAATGACGAAGCGGCCGACGCTCGAAAATCACTTAAACAATCTCTCTACGGTGGCAAATTCACAATACACGATCCATTATTCCATACAGCATCTATTCATATTCTTTGAGTGGTGCCTGTGAGTTTTCTACGTGATTTCTTTTTTTTTTCTTTCTCTATTTTTTTCTTCTTAGCTTGTCAAATGAGCGTTTTCTTTCTCTTATATGTTTTTGTTTGTAGCTAAAAAACATATGCTCGTGATGTTAAGATATTCTTATCGATGGTGAATTCTACGTTTCCATTTTTAATGTATTACGAGCAACATATAACCAGAATATACCAAATAGCCTGTACGAAAGGTGAAAATGCGTATATGTGAACATACAATTGGCAATGTAAAAACCCGTATCACTTATTTAGAAACTAATTTGTCAGCACTTACTTTTTGCTGAGGTGTCACTGCATTAGTACTATTTCGTTTAAACCACAGGGCAAAAACGACCCTCGAGTACAGCGTGACCATCACTGACAAGGCAACACATACTTGTGTTGTAAGAAATATATTATAAGTCCTGATCTTCCAATCGTCGGGCCACGTTTCATAGCATAAGCCGTTGGTGACCTTCAGGTGAATGAAAGTTGGAATGTTGCTTGTCACCCCAATAAGCCAGGCGATGGTTATTATAACCTGGAAAGGAGAAGTTAACTTAGGGAGTCTACACACTGATTGGTTTATTACTATCGTCATCGTCATCGTCATCGCCATCGCCATCGCCATCGCTATCGCCATCACCATCACCATCGCCATCGTCATTGTCATCGTCGTCGTTACCTACATTGTCCTCGTCTACATCCTTCTTATCGTCATCGTCATGGTTATTGCCATTTTCATCGTTATAGTTATCGTTGTTGTTGTCGTCGTTATTGCTAACCTTTTCGCTTACGCTATCACTTTATGTTATCGTTATCATGATTTTTCTAGTAGAAAGTTTTCTAGGGAGACAAACCTTCAGTTTACGATTGGTGAGTTTCCATCTTTTTCCACGCGGATCAAATACTGCATAATATCTTTCCACAGCGATTGCAACCAGAGTATAAATGGAACAGGCTGCTGCAACCCATCCAAAGCCTCCACCAGTTATGAATGTGCACAAAATTGAACTAATCCAACCCTCTGGGTGCCTTAAATTGGCACCTACAATAAGTTTGGGTGAAATAAACGCCGCGAAGAGGGCATCTGCCACAGCAAGATTGAAAATCAGGACATTTATGGGTGTCCTGCGGGATAAGCAAATATGCACTAAAATAACTATATTATTAATTATTCTATTTATCCCCGAGAGGAGTGTGGGAGTAGAGTGGTGACAAAAACCATGCGGTTTTAATTTGGCTTCATAACGATCGATTAGTGTGGCTTATCGGTTTTTAAATCCATTGCTTAAAGAAGAGTTTTAGTTTTGTTCATTGATACCTTTTATCTGTTGAGTGATTATGATGATTTCACGAGAGAAAGAGAAGATCAGCGGAGATCAAGAACAAAAATTTGAGCAAGGCAGTTTTGGACATCAACTTTTTACCAATTCCGTAAGTTGGTGAAGGCTACTAAGCTAATTCTGGAGAGCATAAGTATTAATTTAGAACGAGTTCTACATGTAATTACATGGCGAAATACACTAAATGGGAAGAAAAGGGCTTGTAAACATCTATTTTTTGACGAAATATTTCAGCTGATTGACAACATACCTTTTTACTCCATATTAAGAGTCAATTTTCGAGAGACTTTTTCATAAAGAAACTTTTTTAGGTTTGTAGGCAAGTGATTCCAGATAGGTAGCCATGCGGCGGCGACGTTTAGGCGAACTGATAATATGTAATGTTTCGTAATTTAGCTACTAAAACCAGTCCAAAATACAAGAGTGTCGAGAAGGAATTCAGTTCTGTCCTGCTACCTCCAATGAGAATAAAAGGAACTGTCCACGAATGTATTTTGTCAATGCTTTTAAAAAAACTGATTGATCTCAGACCTTTTCACCCTTGCAGTAATTTCCTAAAGTGCACTTTTATTTTTACTGAGTGGCCTTAAAACACCACCAAACGATCCTTTAAAAAACCAGCTTCCTATGAGTCGAGTTTAGAATTAGCTGTTCATTTTAATGCAATTGTTATACCCAATTTCTTACTATCGCTTGATATTGCTTCACTGTAAGAAGTAGCGCAAGAAAGCCACACCTTTACGCAATGCAGGCCAATATTTTGGCTAATTACTAGAAATTTACCTTAACATGTAGCTACGTTTTTAGCCCATGGCGCTTACATTTGCACGTTACTAGTTAAATCAACAACAATCTGCGCGACTGTGGTACACAAATGAATAACTTTCTGGATTCAGTCCTCAGTTTTTCTCAGCGGACCATTTTAAAGAGGCACCCATAAGGAGAAGTTCGACTGCGTGAAGATTTTAGGCATACCTGAGATTTCTATTTTTCCATATTATGACACAAACGAGAGAATTTCCCACGATATCCACTAAGACAAGTATGAAGAGGGTCGTTGTTATGGCAAAAGCAACAGACATCTGGAAATGCGTTCCAAACTAGTAATGATGTAACCTAAATGGGAACAAATCATTGCAGAAAGTTAATTCATCTTTCGTAGTTGAGGTGTTATTTCGCCTTTAACCGAGAAAAGCAACAGTAAGGTCTAACAACAGGTTTCATTTGTAAAAAACTAGTTATAAACTTCCATCTTAATGTACGGCATTCTTACTGGATTGGAATTATTTGCCAAAACGTTTCGAGTAAATTGATTTCCAATAAAATGACACGACGAAATGTTCGAAAGAAAATAATAATATGAAAAACAATTTAACGTGTCAATTGCCAAAAAGTGTCCATTGAATAAAAACGATATACCACAATATCACTAAAGAACCGTGGGATTTTTAGTGCTGTGACTTATTCACATCCACATGTCGATACCATTTTCTCTTTGTTTATGTCTTTTTAGATTTCTAGGTCTCATCTGAGCACTCACGACTTTCAAACAGTTCACGAAAAATTGAAAATTATGCACGATTATAAACCATATCTTCTCAAATTCTTAGTTTTAAAGCAAACATTGCAATGTTGTTAAAAAAAGCAAACAAAATGGCTCAGTTTTATTTGACTAAACCTTGGACTTTATTGATTTAAATAAGATAGAGAAACGAAGAAATTCAAAGGAAAAATGATTTTAAAAAATTGAAATGTCAATAGCCAAAGAGTAATCTTTTAAATCTTCGCCATAGAATAATTGATTACCTTTTATGCCTGAGAAAGCCGCGGGATTTCTTGTGCTGCGACTCATTCAAATACAGATTTCGTTGTTTTCTTTATCGTTAAACACTCTTTTGCTCACCTCTCGACAACATTACTTACATTTATTATTTTTTTTGGAATTGAACACAAACACGAAACTACTACAGAGTCAGATTAAACTTTCTTGTGGGATGGACTCTTTTCAAGGTGATTATTTTTTCACCTCGCGGCATATATCTTGGTTCATACGCCTGTTATTCAAGGTTCATGTAAGTATCTAAGTGTAGTAAGCCGACGCTTTCAACCAACAATTTTGGCAACCCGAAAGTTATTGTTGTAAAATTAGAGCAACCATAGAATTGTCCAAATTTTGAAGTCAGTTGTTTTCAGTTTGCTCCGCTCGATCCAAAAGGTTTATTCCAGATTTTAGGTATGGAAACTGAAAAAAAACTACCTCGCGCTTTTAGAAAGGAGGCCGTGCGTGGGGACGACTTATATCTATATCCCTACATCCGCCTTGAGGTGAACCACGACTTTATTTAGCTCATTCTCTTTTATTTGTAAATAAGTCACTCGTTCGGCGTTTTATCTTTTCCATTTTCCAAGTTCAAAAACTACAACAAACATGATCATGTTTGTGTTTGAAATATATGTTATGTCAAGAAGACTTTTTTTAGCCATCAACAAGAACGGTTAGGGTAGATTTGGATTTTGATAAACTATTGTTATCTTTATATTCTTTAGTTACTTTAATTAATTTTGGTTTCTCCACGTTGCACGCCAAAAAAGGAGCTATTTTCTTTTAACTCCCTTCCCCCCGAATGTTTTTAGGGGTGGAAAAAAACAATTACCGAACACAAGATCTTAAAAGATTGCAAAAAGGTAAATGTAACGAGCTCACAAGGTACTAGAATGTATTACTAAGAAAAAGTTTTGTCGATGTAGTGATTTTAAGTTAGATTAAATGAACTTAGATTTAGTCGAAGAATTAAAAATTTTAATGCCAAAACACCTCTATAATTATCATGCCGGAAAAGAAACATTATTTTCTATTTATCATTGTCATTGTTATTTTTTTAAGTAGCCCCTAATTGAGGAAAAAAAAAATAATTATGGACAGATGCCATTTTTAATCTCCCAGTTCGGCTGTCTAAAAACTTAAAATCATCGTCTTCAAAATGTTCAGAACATGCTTTGGTACTAAATGTTATTGATTATTATTTCTTTGGATCGCTTTTAATCCTGAAAGTCCATATCAGTTTTCAAAAAGACTTTTAAGTGATAGTTGCTTTAGAAAAAGCAAACTATCATAGTTTAAAACCGAGTCAAGACAAATTACTTTTCTGACCATTTGTTCATGCAGATTTGAAACACAGATTTGTGCAAACAGTGTTTAATGGAAGAATGCATCGATAATTAACTTTTAAAGCATGGGATAATATAAGGAATTTAGGAAAAGGCAAATCCAAATTTATCTTAGTAGTGAAAAACGCAACAATAGTCAGTGGAGCATTATTCACGCTTCGCCGTAAATCTATTATGACTGTTTTTTACCCATGTAGGACCAAGTTAGCAATCTATAACGAATGACGTTGAAGGGGAAAATTTTTGGATCTTTGATTTCTGTGCAAACGAGAAAATCGTCAGACACCAGACATGAGAGCGCCCCTCTAAAATGGTGAAATAATTTTTTTTCGTCATTGACATTATTTTTTATCTTTGGAAAGATTTTAAATAATTGTTCAGGAATATTATTGCACTTTACCATCAAAGGTCGTTTGAAGAAGCAATTTTCCAAAATTTACAACAAGTCGTGATTTCTTGTGCTGTCACTTATTCAAGCTTAACATTTTCACTTAATTGATTTCAAATGGAAGGACAAAACAAAAAACTTCGTAAGCAAAATGATTGACTAAAAAACGCATTATAGTAGTCATAGAATGAATACAGTGTGATAACATCTTAGGACTAAAGAACCGCGGGATTTCTTCTGTTGTAGCTCATTCAAATCCAGATGTCGATGCTACCTTTTTAGTTCCACATCCAATGTGTTTTATTTCATTATTTTTCTAATTTCTTTTTCGTATTGCGTACATCTATTAGTTATATAATTAAACATGAGTCTTTTCAACACGATTTCTTTTTCCTTTTCCTTTTCCTTTTTTTTTTTCTTTTTTTTTTTTTCTTTTCTCAAAGCAGATTGAAACAACATGACGGTTCATTCTGCTATCCAAGAATAACTCGACACTAATAACTGACCATTGTGACAACTCGTGGGCAATTTGCTGTAAAAGGACAACAACTACGGAGCAGAGTCAATTTCTTCGCTTTTTTCTCGACAAAAAAAGGATTAATGCACCTCACTCAACTTCTGCATGAAATTTCCATTGTTTAGCCAAATGTTTACTCGATTTCATGAACGGAAAATTCTGCTGCTTAGCGTCAGAAATTCTAACAGTTATTGAATTCAGATCAAAATAATTTTTTAATTATACCCATTGAAAATGCTATTATCCAGGCCTCATAATTATCCCAATCCCGCAGAACATATTTTGAGGTCAGTAGTTTCTAAATTAGTTTCGCTTTTGCGAATGGATGAATCTTGAACTCTGAAGTTTATTTCGTCGCTAGTTTTGAGCACATTTTCTTTCATTTGAAGAACCAAAAGGTTTATTCAAGTTTGTGAGGGAACCGAAAATATTGTCTTCAGTCTTGATTTAGTAAGCCACGGGCGGGGACGACTTCTTGTCTGTTTTCCTAGAACCGCCATTCCATATAGCTGTCTACGCAGCCTTTCCATAAACTGGTGATTGGTTCGTTCTGATCATGCGCAAGCTGGTAGGAGTGTTCAAACTCCTTTACGTCACTGGAGGTAGAATATATAGACAAAACCAACAACTGCACTATACTATTTTTTTATCCAACAGCACAAAGTAGAGTACAAATAATGCGCGAATAGAATACAAATATCCTGCGATATTCTACGGTTATTTGGACAGTTGGATGACTTTTCAGACGTTTTAGTGTGTAGTATCGTCGAATTAGTTTTACTCGTTGTTTGAATTTTTACTCGCCCTATCGGCTCGTCAAAATTCGGCACAACTTATAAAAATACTCAGCGATAGTACACACCATAACGTCTAATAAGATACGTTTCAGAATTCTAGAGAAGGTGTAAGTTGACTGTAAAGTCAGAAAAAAGTGCAATTTATCATTTCGATCCTAAGTTTCAGATGCCCTAAAATTGTTTGAAGAATCACGAATATTTGAAGGCTTTTTTGTGTTGACAACATGGTAGGTTTGTATCTGACTCGTCACGTCAACTTTTGCTTTGGGGTATCGGAGAATTGCCTTCACTTTCCGTCTGAAGTTGTGGTTTAGCAGGGCATATACGAAAGGGTTGATAGCAGAGTTGAATAATACCATCAAGTTGGAAACTGCATACATAATATGATTCATCTGATAAGAAGAGAATAAATGCAAAGTATAAAGGAACTGGATTGTGCCCCAGCTTATTCCGAAAATGATGCTGACGACTACAGCCATTAAAGTGACCCGCTTTCGGACTCTCATCATACCCTGAGGTTTAAATATGAGAAATACATGGTTTAGTGACTGACACCTCTTGCCTCTAAAGTCGTGCCAAGGTGCATTCATATTTTAAGTGTTTAACATGTGTAATGATATCGAACCGTAGTACTAAAAAAGTACCATAGTTTTAGAATTTAATAGCTCTTGATATATTTGAGATCTATTGCATTCTTTTAATCATGTTTATGAAACGTCTGACATCCGCTTAAAATCGCTTTTGATCCCTACGATCTGATTGGCTCTTAGAAGTGCGATTCATTTACTAATCGCACCATTTCCTGTAGTAAATACCATCTTTTTCCCAGCCAAAAAGAAACTAAACTGAGCAAGACTAGAACAGAACAGCCAATTCCATGAGGATTTCAAGTCCTGTTCAAAGTAAACCATCAAACTACAGGAAAATCAAATACAGAGGCCATTATGTTATGAATTTTGTCAGCTTTTGTCCCCCCAAAATGGATGTAATTAAGTTGTAGTTGAACCACGTGTCGAGAAATTCTGGTTTAAGAACATACCCATCATTGAAGTGACGCTTATGATTTAAGACAAAATTTGACCCCACTCAGTTCAATTACCATTTGTTATCACAACGTCAACACTTACTTTTTGCTGAGATGTCACCGCATCAGTACGATTTCGTTTAAACCACAGGGCAAAAATAACTCTGGAGTACAGCGAAACCATCAACACTAAGGCAATAATTACTTGCGTGGTGACAGACAAAGAGAAAGCCTTTATCTTCCAATCGTCGGGCCACATTTCATAGCATAGGCCGTTGGCGACTCTCATGTAAGTGATATTGGGGATGTTGTACATCGCTGAAATAATCCAGGCGGCAGTTATCATAATCTGGAAAGGAGAGGTGAACATAGGATTTCTGATATTATTGTACACGTTCTCGTCCTCGTCAGCGTCAGCGTCAGCGTGAACGCTGACACTGACGCCTGCGATGTAATTATTGTTATCGTTATC